TGGTGCCCCCGCCGGAGAAGCCCAGGCAGGTGCCCTCTACCTGTCTCAACCAGCGCTGGGGAGGGAGGACCCCGCCACTGAGGCTGGCCAGCTCTCCTCCAGGCTGTGGCTCTGCAAATCCACCCCTAATTCCTGCCCTGGACTCACATTCAATTAACAGTTACAGAGCCAGCTGCTGGGCTAAGCACTTTCCGCTCCTCGGTCGTCATATCTTCTGGTTTCTCATAAGCAGGGCAGCCAAGGACGGTTGTGCAGGCTCCGCACAATTGGCACAGTGGCCCAGAAGCCTTGGCAGGAGCAAATAATGTCCCTCTGTGATAGAGACGGGCTCAGAGATGCCACTGAGGCTCAACGTCTCCCAGCCAGACACAGGGTCTGAACTTGAGACTGTCAGTCTCCAGAAACAGTTTTCTTCCCATCCTATGTCACGGGTGCCTCCTCCAGGAAGACCTCTTGGATTGATGCCACCCGGTTGGACTGCTTCCTCCTTCCAGCCCCCCTGGAACGCATTTGCCTTGAGGTTTTGCACATCATGGCAGGCTGCTCCGAGGGTGCTGGGTGGGTTTTCTCTCTTATGAATCGGCGTCATGGTTACTTCCTCCTGGAGGATTTCCCTGGGCCCGCCCTAGCCCCAGCCTGGGTTAGTCCCCCATCCCCCCCTCCCCAGTCCCACATGGAGAAACACTACTGGACACACAGCCCTGACGCATCACTGCCTTCCCTGCTAGTCTGGGAGTTCCCTGAGATGGGAACAGAGATCGAAAGGATCTGGTTTCTGTGTTGAGACCCCTGTGCAGGGTGGGGGCGCTGGCACAAAGCTGGAGTGACACAGACTTGTCCTGAACGATGTTGCTGTGACAGAGAAAGCACCCATCACAGTGCCTGGCTGCCAGTGGCCTCTCTAAAAATGACTGGAATCCATTTACTCCATCAATGAACTCTCTGGGCAGGTGGCGGTTTGCCGTCTTACCTGTCCCTGAAGGTGGAGTTGGGGGATGGCGCCTTTTCTCTCACCCCGCCCTCCCCCACACCAGACCTGCGCCAGGTGGGTAGGGGTGGGGATGGCTAAGCATCCTGCAACAGCCAGCGGCTCCGCCCCAGCAGAGAGCGCCCCAGCCCCGAAGGTCAGGAGTGCCCAGTTTGAGAAACCCCATTCCAGCCTGACCAGTCACGCTTTGGGTTTCTGACTCAGGGGCCCTGAGGTTCTCTCCAACTGGGGAGGGGGGCCTGGAGGAGGGGAGTCACCCATGTTCCTTCAGTCTCACCCTCCTGGCTTCCCCCAAGAAAGCACCAGCCCCAACACCCACCTGGCTCTTTCCCTCCCTCCCCATCCTTTTCCCAGGTAGCCACACTCAGCCAGACGGAAGGCAGCCTCTCCTCTGCTGAAAACACGCAGGGTTTATTTTATTTTACTTTTTATTTTTTTTAAGTTTATGTATTTATTTTGAGGCAGCATGAGACAGCATGAGAGAGGAAGGGGCAGGGAGAGGGATGGAGAGGGGGAGAGAGAGAGAGACAGACAGACAGAGAGAGAGAGAGAGAGAGAGAGAGAGAGAGAATCCCAAGCAGGCTCCGCACTGTCAGTGCAGAGCCCAGTGCAGGACTCGAACCCACGAATGGTAAGATCATGACCTGAGCTGAAACCCAAGAATCGGACACTTAACCGACTGCGCCCCCCGGGCGCCCCCTGCAGGATTTAATAAACAGCTTCCTTCCGAGGTGGCTGGAAGGCCAAAGGCTCAGGCCACACACACACACACACACACACACACACACACACACACACAGAGGCCTCTTGGGGATTATTAAACGAGATAGCATATCCGAAAGCACCCCCGTCAGGTACCAAATACCGCGCCTGTCATTCATACCAGCTCTGGCAGCCCGGGCTTCAGAAGGCAGCAAGGGGCTGTTGTTCCTTTAGGTTCCATTTCCAGTCATGGCCTTGATGCGCCCCCTGGCGGCTGTGACACTACACCCGCGGCAGGGGCTGTTTCCAGACCTCCCGGAGCAAGTGGGGGTCACAGGAACTTCAGCTTTTTCAGTTAATCCATGAGGCTTCACCGCACCCCGTGAGGAAAGAGAGAGGTAGATACCCACCCCCACCCCCACATCGCATCAGGAGCAAGTAAGTGAAGGAGGCAAGCCAGGAACCAGCCACAGGCCATTGTGCCTTGATGCCCAAGGTGGGCAAGCCCAGGGTGCCAGGCAGACCCACAGAGCAGCTTGGGGTGCCACTCCTCTACCCCTGCTCCCCCAAGCCGACCATGAGCTCCCCCACTGGAGGACCCCCATGAAGCCCCTAGAGGAGCTCACTCCTCATCTCGTACTGCCCTTGGCTCTCTGGGTGTGTGCTGCATGGAACAGCGAATCCCACCAGCCTTTCCCTCTGCGGACTTCCTGCCCCTCGCAGTGGGTCCGGCTCACCCATTCCCAGCAGGTCTGAAAGGACCCCGAGCCCAAGGTGTGGCTTTCCAGAGGGAGAGGACCAGAGGCTGCAGGTGAGGCTGGAATGAGACCACCGCTCCCACCCCAGGGCCCCCTCCAACCTCTTCTCCCCACCCCCACCCCCAGACCCTACTGGCCACACTGAACTATTTCCAGAAACCGAGCTATGCGGGAACACGGAAGGCTGCCTCTCAAGTCTGCAGGGCCCACGCGGGGCCCCCGTTGCATTTCCTGTGCTGCGTGGGGCTCAGTGCCACCAGTGCAGCGTCCAGCCTCCGCTCCGAGACACTCACTTTGGCTGTCCCCTGACCATCGGGGTCATCTGTCCATGAAGCATGACGAACGTCCCTTAGGCTTCTTGCCTCACTTTCCAGGAGCTGCTGTTTATTTTACTAGTTGTGCCCCTTGCGGGGCCGGAGGGAACTTTAGGTACTTGAGCAAATCTGCCTTCGTGTTCTGTTACTACACATCTATGTTCTCTTATGATACAAGTCAAGAGGGTGAGCGTCTGTCTCTGGGATCGCCGCCCAAAGGGAGGGTCAGCCCTTCCCCTGTCCCCTGTCCCTGAAGGTCCTGTAGTGGACAGAAGCACTGGGCATTCAGTCAACAAATATTTTGCAGACCTACTATGTGCTGAGCGCTGCTTTGTCCTAACTCATTCCTCTCTCCCTCCCTCTCTTCCTCCAGCCCTTCCTTCATTCTCACTTCATTTAGTGAGTGATTTCAGACGACAGAAGGTTCCCTGGTGGTGCTGACAGCCACGCAACACAGGAAGCCCACAAGGAGCCCAGGGTGGACCCGCAGGAGATGGAGATCACAGAACCCTGTGATGTCAGCAGGAACTACTGTTGTGTCCACAGACACTGAATTTTGCGAGTTATCAAGGGGATGCTGAGCCCCATTCTTGTCTTCAAAGAAAAGACGGCGCAAATGTCTCAGAAGTTTAATACTGTCACACAGTCTGTCGGGAGTGTGTCTGCTGTGCCAGTGACGAGTGACAGGGGTCAGAGGGGAAGGGTCCTGCCTGAAGGTGGGGGTGGAAGCTGGACAGGACTCAGTATCAGAGGGGACAGCAGAGAAAGGCACCTGGAGCCAAGAGGTGCCAATTGGTTGGGCCGAAAAGCTGGCTGCTTGTGGCTGAGCAGTAGGGGACAAAAGACCAGGCAGTCACCAGCCTTGGATGGAGAAGGGCTGGCAAAGCCAGGCTGAGGCATTCGGGCATGTTTTTCTCAGGTCAGAGCTGAGGCTCCCATGATTCCCAGGCTGGACCCCAACCTTCAGATGATTTAAAATTAGGCTCCTGCCAATTAACATGCCCGACTGTTAATACCCAGATACATCTGTATTTATACATAGTTTGGCTTCTCTTAAAAGGCTCCCTAGCACAGTTGGGGCCCTTCGTGATTTCCCTGGGGCAAAGACTGTCAGTTTATCCTTCCCTGTGTCCCCCAGAAAGAGGCTCAAGCTGGGCTTATCTAACAGAAGGCAGGGAGAGAGGGAGGGAAGGATGGAGGAGAGTAAGTTCAAAGCAAAGTTCATGGTGAAGTACTCTTTGTCTTCAGGTGAGCTGCTCTGTAATAATAAGCGCACGGCAATTACATTCTGTCGTGCAGTTATTAAATTTGGGGGGAAACAAATATAATAAAATGTAGACATTTGTAGAGAGGTTGAAAATCGAATAAGAGTGGAAGATAAAAATAAGGTCGATACCCTCAGGTTTCCCAGAGCCTGCCTGAAAAGACGTTGTATGAGAGCTGAGGGTAAATGCCTGCGGAGAAAATAAGGCCAGGCATGGGATGGAGGCTGGGAGGAACCGCGAGGGCACAGGAAAGGTCCTGCCCAGACCTGCCAGCCCGTTTCAGGTGCACGGCCTCCGAAAGCAGTGGCGGGGAGCCTGGGCCTAGGATCCAACCCCCGTGGGGTTCAAGTCCTGGCTTCAGTTTTCTCCGAAAGGACAAACCTTCATTCTCCCCATGGGTAAAACTGGGGTATCAACAAGAGCCACCTCTCACAGGTGCTCCTGGCGATCAGAGGCCCCACGGGTAAAGTGCTTAGCACAGGGGATGCCCTGTATACGCGCTCCATAATTGTCAGCTATTTGAAGTGTTAGTTTATCCTTACTGGACACCAGTTCTTAAATGAATTGGAAACGGCATGATGGATTAGACATCGGCGGAGAAGATGATCAGACAGAAATGTGAGAAACCCCTAGAAAGAAGTTCTAAGATGTACATAAGAGGATCCCTTTATTTAAATAGGAAAGTCTTTGCGTAGATGCCAGACACACAGATCTAATGAAAATAGTAGATAATTAGTGTTCGGTCTTTAAATCGGATCTGAAATAAAGCCTAGGAAAGCCCAGGTGAGGGGCTGGGGGTGGGAAAGGTAAAGAGAATTAAGAGAGGAGGGAGGCGGCCCATTTCAGTCCTCGATCTGCACTTTTCATATAGGCCAGAAGGGGGCAGAGATGCTGCAACGGGAAGGATAAACGCCTATGTAATGCTTGACCCTTTGCAGACACCGTACCCAGTTTCCTTCGGGGGAGGGTTTAACAGCCAGGAAACGGAAGTCTCGTTCTTTTCCGGCCTCTCTTCTTACTGTTTGCCGTGAGTGTCTCTTGGGCGGTAAGCGGGACTCTGGCGGGTAATCCGGGGTAATCCACGACGGAGTGGGGCCTGAGGAACTCGAGTGTGGATTGAGGGTGCGGGGGAGGAGTATGGAGTGCGACGGGGTCGGCATTTCGGGGGGGATGGGGAAGAGAAGCGTGGGTCGTCACTCCCCGCACCCTGTTGACGCCAACGTCTGTTTTCTCCGCAGGTGCCGGCCGCGCGCTCGCCTGCGCCCCTCGTAACCATGGTGAGTACGGCCCCTGCCGGGACCTTCCGGGAAAGGCGCTGGGCCCCCGCGGCGGGAGCGCCTAAGCGGGGGTCTCCGATCCCCGCTAGGGGCTGGTGGCGGGGGTCAAGTCACGGCCAGAAAAAGCGTGTCTGCAGCTCATGGCTCGTTTCTTTGTGTTGCAGCCTCGCAAAATTGAAGAAATCAAGGATTTTCTGCTCACGGCCCGGCGAAAGGATGCCAAGTGTAAGTGGGCGCCTTCACCGTGCGAGAGGGCGGAGTGGTGGTGGTGGCGCGCGCGTGGGGCGGCCCCTACCCCGAGCGCCGTCCCCGAGGAGGCTGTTGCGGAGAGCGGTGGTTCTACGGCGCTTCCCGAAGGAAAACCTCGTTGGGCAGCGTGTTTCCTCCCTCCCTCGGCTAATTGTGAACGTTGTAGGAGCCGTGCGTAGTTAAAACAGGAGGTGCGTCCCGAGTAGAAGCCTTGCTGGGTGGGGGTCCGGAAAGGTGGGTTTCCGAACCCTTACTCCGGTGCAGCAGGCTGGGCTGTGGGCCCGCGGCGGCCGGTGTCCTCGTGATTGACACGTGGGACTTGGTTTCCCGATGTGTGAATAAGGGAAAGGGAGGGGTGTTGAGGTCCGAAGCCTAAAACCGCAAGCGTGGCCGCGGTGCCCGCGTGATATTGGGGTTTGCAGCACGTGTGGGAGGGAGTTCTGTTCTCCCTTCGTTGTAGTTTCGAGAGGTTTGAGGGCTTGTGCTTAACGCGGGGTAGATCTTGACTTTATGCCTTGGAGGGAGGGTGGTTTATAGTTCGAGCGAGCAGGGAGGGAGGAGAGCGAATCTTAGCAGGCTCCACGCGCAGCAGAGTCCCAACTCGGGCTCAACTCAGGACGCTGGGATGGTGACTTGAGCTGAAACCAAGCGATTGGTGGTCCTTCAACCGCCCCCCGGGCACCCTTTTGGAGTTTTTTCTGTTTTGTTTTCTTTTGTTGTTTGTTTGTTTTTTAGCCCGGAGTCCTCTCTGCTACATCAGATACTCCGAGATAATCTGTGGAAGTGGAGCTGTGGATGGAGGCAGCTCGGGCCCTGGCTGTCCTGTCCCATGGCTTGTCCTGGGAAGGATGGTGGGCGGGGAGAGCTTTCTAAGGGGGAGGGGGTCCCAGTGCCCCTGTTACCTTTGATCCTCTGGTACTGTTTGTGATGGTGGCCATCTGTGGGAACAAGTAGCTTCTGGTACAAGAACGCCTGTCTGTCTGAGGGTCCTGGCGGCCGCAGGCGACTGGTTCACATCCCAGGTCTGTCGGCAAGTAGCCGTCCTCATTCACTTAAACAACACATTACCCTTTGATTCAGTTGAAGGCGGGATGCTAGCATCTGTCCTGTGGGATTGGTGCCAGGGTCACATCAGAGGGTCCTTTAGAAACTTTACTACGGTGAAGAAATGGCACCAAATCCGACAGATCGGTTGGTGTTTGACTTTGGGGCCTGGTTTTACAGTGTGGCCTGGGAGGTCCGAGTTCCGGTCCTGCAGACACGATAGGGTGTGATAGGGTGTTCCGTGTCCAGACTGAAGGTAAAAATATGCATAATAGGAAGTTTATTTTTTTTGTTTTTAAGTTCATTTAATTTAAGAGTCGAGTGCACGCATGGGGCGGGGCAGAGAGAATCCCAAGCAGGTCCTGTACTGTCTGTGCGGAGCCTGATGCAGGGCTCGGTCTCAAGAACCATGAGATCGTGGCCTGAGCCAAAGTCGAGTGAGACACTTCACCGAATGAGCCCCGGTGAAGCGTAATTACTGTAAGTGTTCAGGTCACTGGCCCCAGTGCCTGCTCTCCATGCTCCGCCACGATGTCGGAGCGCTGGATCTTGAAAAACTGAGCTGCACCCGCAAAGCGGTAACTCCCCGCCCTCTCCCTGCAATCCCTGGCAGCTGCCATTTTACTTTCGTCATGGACTGTTCCAGATCCCTCCTGTGAGCAAGAACCGGGTCTGTGCTCTCGTGACTGGCTTGCTTCGTTGGCGTGGCGCCTTCGGGGTTCTGGCATCTGTCAGAATTCCCTCTTTGAGGCGAATGATCCATCGCATGGATGTGCCGCGTTGGGGTCGGTGGGCATTCGGTTTCTACTTTTTGGCTTTTGACTCTTGCCTCGAACGCTGGTGTGCAGTCTCCTGTCCCTGCTCTCGGCCCTCCTGGGTGCGTGCCCGGAAGTGGGGTTACTGCACGCCCTGATGTTGGATAAACATTTTTTCTTCAAAAGATCCGTGGGCATCACCCACAGACGGGTCACCGGGTTCACAGGCATGCAGCAGCCGCTGGGGGCAGTGCAGTGTCCTTGGCTGTGACACACGCGGGTGTTATATAGCACAGCAGGTTGGTGTGAATGAAAGCCCGGGTTTCTGAGTGTGTTAAAACATCAGCAGAGGCAGCCATTGCCTGGGGCGGGCTTCAGTGCTGCTTCCCGTGCTGTGGCCTCTGTCTCCAGCACTCACTGGCAGACGCCCGAGTTGTGGCTTGTGAGTCCAAGTTAATCTCGTGCTGCGTCCGTGGGGGCTGATTGCTTGTGTATCCGTCTGGTCAGGTGCTTGGGCTGAGCCGCTGGAGCCCTGCCTTCCATAGTCTCCAGGCTCTTGATGGAGGTCGATAATCCACTGGTGACGGTAGTGCATTCTGGGGAGTGTGTGCTGCCCTGGAGTTGGGTGGGCACAAGAAACATGTAACGTGCAGGGAGTGAGCGGCCACGGGCAGCAAATCTCCAGCCCTGCCCTGCTAACTTGGGTTACACTTGGGGCTCCTTGTGGTCACGCTGTGGTCCTGGGAGAGGATTTGGTGGTAGGAAAGAGGCTGGAAAACGGGTTTCATGAATTTAAGGGAAAGCCTTAGCACGTGTCTCACTGCAGGTGATGGGGTCCTGAAGCAAGCTGTTCCCGTTGTCCCAGGGAAGAGAACTGGAGGGAAATGCAGTGTCTTGTTTTGAGGGAGACAGACAGACAGACAGACAGATCCTACATACTGGAGGGAGAGGGAGGGACAGAATCCCAAGCAGGCTTCACGCTCAGTGCAGCCCACAGGCCTCGGTCTCATGAGCCTGGGATCATGACCTGAGCCAAATTTAATAGCTGGGCACTTAACCGACTGAGCCACCCAGATGCCCTGGGAAATACAGGTTTCTGACAACTCTTTAAATAGTGAAGCCGTAGAGGGTCTCTTGTTTTCTCTTTCAGCAGAGGCCGGGCGCAGGGAAGGAGCACTGCCCTGTCCGGGGTTGCGGTCCAGAGCGCCGCTTTCTGCATAAATGCAAAGCAGGTGAACCCCGTGACGTCTCTTTTGTGACACAATTTAATTACTCATTCTGGTCTGTTTGGTAGCTGTCAAGATCAAGAAAAACAAGGATAACGTGAAGTTTAAAGTCCGCTGCAGCAGGTACCTTTACACGCTGGTCATCACAGACAAGGAGAAGGCAGAGAAACTGAAGCAGTCGCTGCCCCCAGGTGAGTGAGTCTGAGGCCGGGGGCCGGGGCACCAGAAATGTGGAACGTGCGTGTGTCTCCATCTCGTTCCTTGAGGTGTCCCCAGACTTCGGAAGGTGCATTTGTGGCGCGTCCCAAGTATCTCTTCTTGCTGTTGGCCGTGCAAGGGGTGAATAGTCGTGACTTTCAGAGTTCGTCCCATACCGGGAATCGTGTCCTTGGGGTTGGGGGGACAGTTTGTTTTGTTGCCGGTCGTGCTTTTCTCATGCATTGTGGGCAACTCGTTCCCTTCTCCCCACGGCCCTGCAAGGTGCTGACTGTACTGGCCCCCAGTGGTGCGGGTCGGGAAATGAAATACTGCAGGCCATGAGCACAGGTTAGACAGGGCCCATCCTGCTGGGGGAGGACCTGGCGCGAGTGCTGAGTGCCCCCAGGGTCCGCCTCCTGCCTCTTCACAGTGAGAAGTCAGCGGGTACGGCCTGGCCTTGTCACTGCTTGAGACCTTCCTGAAGGCTGAGAGAGGGAATGTGTTTTGTTTTGTATGTTGTGGTTGGTGTTGTTACCTTCGTTGTGAAACACTTAATACTTGGAGCAGAGGCACCCTGGTATGCTTAATTCCTGAACTTCATTAGTTCTCTTTAGTGTAAGTACAGAATCAGACAAGAGTAATTCAAAATAAAACATATGTTCTAGATGGCTCACTTTCGTATCTCTTTTCTCCTAGGTTTGGCAGTAAAGGAGCTGAAATGAACCCGGCACACTGATTTGAACTGTATTAAAATTTTAAAAATTCTTAAAGTGTCCTTTGTCTTTGAGGCGGGAAGGGAATTACCACTTGGTCACGGCTTTTGGTGGGAACAGGCTGGGGGCCCGGGTTGCTACCTCCTTGTGTCCCTGATCTTTGACTGTGATCCCAATGGACAAATAGCCTAAGTTTGAAAATAAATAGATGGAACTGGAAAAGCCAGATATTTGTGGAAGGAAGCCAGCACACCCTCGTGGGATTTACCAGTCACTTAGGTAAAGTGAGCTTCCCGAGAATGAAAATGATAGTTACAGGTGGAGTTGATTAGCCTTGGAAGTACTGAGCCTCCCACCAGAGTGCTGCTTTCTCTTCCACCGCGTGGAAGGTTCCCCTGGCGCAGGGGCAGGCCTGAGGCTTTTCGTCCAGACTGAGATGGTTTCCTAAGTGCTGCTGCTCGAGGTAAAGTGGAGCGTAGGAACGTGTGGTATGGGATGAGATGATTGCTGCCAACAGAGGAGCCTTAGTCTAGCGAACTGGGCCAGGCTTTCCAGGGAGGAGGGGACAGGAAACATCCTGGGACTGATGGGTGGGGCACCTGGGGGGCCAGTCAGTTAAGCGTCTGACTTCCGCTCAGGTCGTGATCTCACAGTTTGTGGGTTCGAGCCCTGCATCAGGCTGTGTGCCGACAGCTCAGAGCCCGGAGCCTGTTCCAGATTCTGTGTCTTTTTCTCTCTGGCCCTCCCCTGCTCACGCTCGATCTCAGAAATTTAAAAAAAAAAAAAAAAAAAAACAGTGATGGTTAGGGGTTGGAGCCAGGGCTCCTGCCCCAGATCTGAGCCTGGGCCTCACGGCAGTGGGTGAACATGGAGTTCACAGGGGTGGGGGGCGTGCATGGGCCAAACAGGCCCCTGAGCCCCACTCCCGGCCGAGCAGCGTGCGGGCCCCGCGGCCCCTGAGCCCCACTCCCGGCTGAGCAGCGTGCGGCCCCGCGCAGCCCGCGCTCCTTGCAGGTTCAGTCCAGGTCCTACCACTTGCCCGCCAGCACGACCTCGAGAAATTGCCTCCCCGTTGAGCACCGTGCCCTGGTACCAGCCCCGGGGAGGAGCTGCAAACCCACTGCCCCTTGACCTTTGAGTCCCCGTGGACGAGTCCCGCAGGGATGGGACTGAGCTCACACAGAGACCCAAGCTTCCCTTTGATAGTAGACGTTGGTGCTCCAGGGCCGGCAGGTGCCCTGTGCCACAGCAGGTCAGGAAGCCCCCTGGACCCCCCCCCCCCCCCCCGTGAGGACGCCCGGTGGGGTTGTGCAGGTGCTGTATGATGCACAGATTGGAAGAAGAAAACACAGGCCGGCCAGGCAAGTGCCTCCACACGCGGTGATCGGTATGAGTCCTGTGGGCTCCCGCGTGCCAGCCCCACACGTGGCTGCGTGAGGTTCGCCGGACCGCCTTTCCCGGCGTGGCCTGAGCTGCCGCACGGACGGTTCCGGCACAGAACTGTTGACCCCCCGGTTTCTTGTAAGGGTAGAGGAGCTAATAGGAAAGGTTTGGAAGCCTCTCTGGCGCCTGGCCATTCTGAGATGAATGGGGGCCGTGTCAGGATAGGCCACAAGGTGGCGACACACTACAACAAATGAGCCATCTCCAGGGTTGGTTGACCAGATCAAATCCATTCCCAAGCAGCTAAGTGCCTGAATTCATTGGTTGATTTATTGTTTTTCTTTTCCTATAGAAACTTTAAGAGTGTAAGGGGGGTTTTGAGTCCAGTCTTGAGCGGCCTGGGTTTTTTCCCGGAGGGGTCCATGGGCTCTCAGTGGTCACTGACCAACCCAGAAAGGAGCACCTTCCGTGGCTCCCAGTCTTCCCCATTCTTTGGGTGTTTGAGATTCCCAGGAAGAGGCGGGCTTACCCCTCGGGCTCCCTTTGTCCCAGCACATTGTCCAGAGACCAGCCCCAGCTCCTAGGAGACAAGCCCTGTGGACGTTTGTCTGGCCTCCATGTATAGAGAACGCACCTTTTAATGCCGCGGATCTCAGTGGGTCTCAGCACTGGCTCGTGCCTTGGAGCCATTTGGGGCACTTTTTCAGAATTCAACACTGCAGGGATTCTGATTCAGTAGGTTTGAGGCCTAGGTGTGTTCTAGGCCCTCAGGTGGCCGGGGTCACCCGCCGCTTCGCTGAGGTCGGCTTGTAGGCTCGGGTGAGGTCGTTCCTGTCGCACACCAGCCGAAAGGCCACGTGTGGGCCACAGCGGCCAGTTTGGAATGGGCGCAGCTGCTGTTCTCACTTCAACTCCATAAAGAGTCCCAGGAGGTCTCCTGCTCCAGTTCTGCGGTTTTGCTTCTCCGGCTGGACTGCCGAGGTCAGCAGGCCTCTGGGGAAGTGGCTAGAAGGATCACAGTTGGTCACTGCCTCGCTGGGTGCAGACTGGCCCAGCAGGTTTGGGTGATCCCCGCTGCACCCAAGTGGCTGCAGTGATGGCCTTGAGGGCGAGCCTTTGTAGTTGGTCAGGTGTGTGCAGGCCTGCCCCTTGCCTCACCCCCTCCCTCTCTGGGGACCGAGCCCCAGCTCTGGCCGGAGGCCCCTGCACCAGGTTCAAGGTCAATCCCCCCAAGGTGAGACAGGCCACTTCCCAGGAGGCAGACCCCTCCCACTTGAGGTCTCCGGCTTCTCCCCTAAAGCACTTACAGTTTGCTGCTGAGATCTAACCTAAAGGAATGCCAAATCCTCAAACCTCTGAAGTATTCCAGGGTCAGCAGCTGGAGCCTTCTGCGCAGAGGGATGGGGACGGGGGGGGGGGGGCCATGTGTGCCGCACCCGAGCGGAGCGAGCTCCAGGGCCGTGGCTTCTCGTCCCCGCCTGCCCAGGGCCCTGGGACATCGCTCCGGGTACATTTTCCTCTGCAAGCAGCCATGGCCGTCAAAGACCAAACTCCATGTGTGAAATGGCCCTTGCCTATCTCTCCCCATCTTATTTTTTTTTAATAAAGGTATTGGGGCGCCTGGGTGGCTCAGTCGGTTAAGCGTCCAACTTCAGCTCAGGTCATGATCTCACGGTTCGTGGGTTTGAGCCCCACATTGGGCTCTTTGCTGATAGCTCAGAGCCTGGAGCCTGTTTCAGATTCTGTGTCTCCTTCTCTCTTTGCCCCTCCCCTGCTCACACTCTGTCTCTCCCTGTCTCAAAAATAAATAAACATTAAAAATAATTAAAATAAAATAAAGGTATTTATTTTAAAGTAAAGCTTCTTGAGGTGTAATTTACAGCGAAATTCACCTTTTTAGCGTACAGTTCTATGAAATTTGACAAACGTTTATAACAGGAGAACCACCACTGCAATCAATGTTTCTGTCACCCAGAAAAGTTCCCTCTTACCACCCCCACCCCCGGGGGGCGATCAGCCCTGATCTGATCCCTGCCCCTGCAGTTCCCCATCTCTCCTTGCCATCCCCTCCTCACTACCCGCCCCCCGCATCAGAGGACTCTGGGATTGTCCCCTTCTACACCATTACGCTATATCTTGGCTCAGAATCCTCCCCTAGGACACCCCGAGTTAAAAGCCCCCCCTTACTTCCCAACACCAGACTCTTGAAAGCACTGACCCCTCCCCCCTGAGTGGGGTCAGGGCTGCCTCTCCTCCCAGTAAACTCTAGACCCCATGCAGACAGGAGCATGGGTGTTTCATTCATCGCCGTATCCCCTAGAACAGAGAAGGGGCTCAAAGTTTGTTGGATTAATGAAAGCTCCTACGGGGAAAGGCATGGCGTCTGGCCTTCTGTGCCTCCTGGGCGCCTCCGCTTTGGGCATGTGTGGATGAGATGGCCACACCCAGGCTCTGACTGTCACCCGACCACAGATCCGCACTCCCTCTCCTGGCCCCTGGACCCTCTATGGGGGTCATCATAGGGACGTCAGTGGTCCACCTTCCTCAGGCTGCCACGCTTTCAGGGCACCCAGCTCCCCAAGCCGGAAACTCAGGAGTCTCTCTGGAGTCCCCCTCTTCACTCCAGCTCTCCCCGCCTCGCGACCACCCATGAGACTGTCCCACCCCAGCACGACGCGTCCTTAACTCCTCCACTCCCACTTACCCCCTGACCTCATCCTTGTCTCAAGCCTCACCTCTCCTCACCCGCCCCTGGCGTCCTGCGGCCACACCACGGTGTTGGTGTTTGCAGTTCCTGAACCGACCTTCTCACGCCTGGGACCCTGCATACTCGGGCCAGGCGCCCACAAGGCTTTACCCGATCACCGACTACCGCCAACTCGATCCTGATGTGCCGACTCCACTCTGCTTTACTTTTCTCCAAAGCCCTCTCTCTAAGATGGCAGTTTGCATCTTTCTGTGTGCGCTGCTGTTACCAGCCACCCACTTGAGCGCAATGCCCTCTGGCCAAGGGTTTCCGTGGGCTCTGTTAAGTGCCTGCAGTGCCCAGCACATAGTAGCTGCTCAGTAAATGAATGCTGTTGATGGTCTTGTGTGTTCCTCCCCCCCGCTCCCCGTTCCCCCACCCACACCCAGATGTCCAGTGCTCTCCTACCCTCCCCACTGGTCAGCTGGAGGGGCCCTTCCCCAGGGACCTCCTTACACCTTCCCCAAAGAATCAAACTGCTTTTCTCAGGCTCCAGTGTTTCCAAAGCCGAATGTCAGTTGTTTGGGCAGATGGGCTGGGCGCTCCCAGGACAGAACCACATCTTCCTTCTCAGTCCGCGGAGTTTACAAAATGGGCGCTCACTAAATGATTGGGAGTGAATTTAGAACTAGTGACCCAGGGGCAGACTTGCTCCCTGCTGACCCCAATCTGCCAGCTTACTTACTCTCCTCTGGGAGCCCTAGGAACGGCTGCCTCAACTCTCAGGCCGGGATGGCACTGCTCGCAGTGCTCACTGACCATCTACATCCTGATTTTGTAAAAATAATGAGAACCCAGGGACCTGGAGACTGCAGTGAAGAAACAGGAGGGGTGGGGGGGCCTGGGTGGCTCAGTCAGCTGAGCCTGGGACTCTCGATTTCAGTTCAGGTCATGATTGCAGAGTTTGTGTGCTGACAGCTTGGAGCCTGATTGGGATTCTCTCCCCCTCTCTGCCCCTCTCTCTCTCTCTCTCTCTCTTTCTCTCTCTCTGTCTCTCAAAACAAATCAGTTTTAAAAACAACAGGAGATCCTTCCACCTCTTTGGCCCCTGGGGCCAGGACAGAATCCACAGCAGGAAAAAGCTGCGGATTCCAGGGCCGACCCCCTGCAGCCAGAGGGCGCGCCCAGAGTGGGGGTCGAGTCCGGGAGGGGTGGGGCGGGGCGGGGCCTGCATCGGGGCGGGGCCGGGGCGGGGCCGGGGCGGGCGTCCCGGGCAGGGTAGCGGCGGCGACGGCAGCAGCGGCGGCCGCAGCGGGCGGGCGCACTCGGGCCGAGCCATGCTGGCCGCGCGCGTGGAGTACGTCGCGCCCTGGTGGGTGGCGTGGCTGCACAGCGTCCCCCACCTGGGCCTGCGCCTGCAGCCGGTGGACAGCACGTTCAACCCCCGCGATGAGAGTTACCGGGAGGTGAGTCCGGGCCACGGCCGGAACCCCGAGCCCCCGCGGCACCCCTTCCCCCTCCTGGCCCCCCGCGGTCCACGCGCCTCTCCGACCCGTCCCCACGGTCCCCCGCAGCTTCATCACCCCTCTCCCTTTCTCCCCCGGGACGCTCGGCCACGGCCTTCCCATCTAGGAACCTCGTGGGCCGGGGAAACTGGAAAATTCGGGAGTTGTGCCCGGGATGGGCTACGGGGAAGAAGGGCGCGGCGGCTGCGCGCGGGGGAGGGGGCCGAGCGCCGGGGAGCGGGTATTTGTGCGGGTACCCGGGCAGCTTCCGAGCGAGCTTCGGGGGTGCCATAGGCGCCTCGGGCTTTTCTTCCGTCTGCGGTTCCAAGACGGGCGCTCTCTTTCCGGGTGTGTGTGGCCTGGGAGAAGTTTGAGCAGAAACTGACTGGTCTCCCCGAGTTCGGCTCCACAGCGCCCCTCCCTCCCCAGCCCCTGCCTGCGGCGCGGGAGCCGTTGCCGACACCTCTGCCTGGGCCCCTCCTGGACGGCCGCAGGGCTGGCTCCTAGCTGGCGGAGGGGGCGGCGGGGGGGAACCCACGGCCACGTGTGGGTGGTTGAGGGAAGGAACGTGGCCCCGGTCAGCCCCATCTCACACCGGCGGCCCCCGACCCCGCTCTGTACAGACCCTCCAAGGCCCTGGATTTCTACGGTCTGGGCTTCGTGGCCGGCCACTCCCCTCATCCTTGCATTCTGCCTTTTCCCTGCTCTGCCGGCCCTCCCCCCTGCCGTTTCTGTACTGCCCTAGGGGGAGGGGCTCCCCAGACCTCCGGGCCTTGGCGAACCGCACGCCCCCCCCCCCCCCCCCCCCCCCCCCCCCGGGCCTTCTGGGTCTGGGTCTGGCCAAGGCCGCCCCGGCCTCCTGTGGCTCAGCTGAGTCAATTCACTGTTGGGTCAAAGATTCAGGCTGAACAGCCCGGGTCGGGACCTATCTTGGGACTTTGACCCCTGGTGGCCTTTGCCTGCAGAAGTGTCAGGTTCTCGGGCCTGAGCTGTCAGTGTGGGGCAGGTCCCGGCAGAGCTGAGTCTGCTGGGTCTAGGGAGGCTGAGTGGGAGGCTGAGCCTGGAGTCAGCTGGTCGGCTCCCCCCTCCCCAACCCACCCAGGCCTTTCTCCTGCAGGGCCCCCCAGGGACCCTGATCTGACAGGTTGTGCTGTGCACCGGTGGTGACTGGGAGTCTAATAATAACCCCTAGTGTCCCCGTCACCCTCAGGCCCCAGGCACATGGTGCCTGCCCTTCCAGAAAGAGGAGGCCATAAGACCCCGTCCTGCTAAGAGGCAGTCAGGCCGGTTAGAGGGCTCCCCCCTCCTCTGTGTCTGCCCCTCCCTCTCCCAGAGCCCCGCCTGTGGAAGTCAGCCTTCCCTGAGAATGCGGCCGCCTGGGGGTAGGTCCAGGGAGTCTTCCGCTCCCAATAAATGCATGAAAAGAGGCGGATATGATTTCTGAGACAGCTGTGTGGTTGGTGTGTGTGTGTGTGTGTGTGTGTGTGTGTGTGTTGGTGTGTCCCAAATCCTGTGCCCTAGATTCTGCACCCAGGGTCTCTAACCATAATCTTCTCCTCTCCATGGGAAGAAATCTAAACTGGCTGAGCCAAGAAGACCTTCAGGAGTGGAGAGTGGGGAGGGGGGTAGGGCACTCCCCCCCCACTCCTCCACCCCCCACATGGCCACAGAGACAGCGCCTGTCCAGCCTACAGCTGTGGCTAGCGGGGCCTGAACCTCCCCGACCTCACTCAGTCCCATGGACAGGTGGCCGCTGGGCCGCAGGGACTCACTCCCAGCCCCAGCCCCTCTCCTCCCCGTATTGTGCCAGGTTTAGACCCTGGCACACCGTATTGGGCATCAAATGACTTCCAATGATGAGCGAGCGGCCTGCCTGGCCCTCCTCCTGAGGGCACTGAGTGGGATGTGGGTGTGGTGGGCCAGGGTGGAAAGTGGGGCCCGGCGTGTTATTTAAGGAGGCTCATAGTTGGCTAAGTTCCTTAGTGTCTGACCATGGGGTCTCTCCTGGCAGCCTCTTTCCTCCCAGATGACAGGTCAGTTAACACCATGGATCGGACACCTTCTACTGTCAGTCATCTGAGTGCTCAGCAAACTTGATTGGGGCCAGGGCTGTGCCAGACGTGGGGTCACGTGATCGCCAAGGCTTCTGGGCTCGGCTGCCACAGCTGAGTATGTGTGGCTGGGGCTCTGCCATCCAGCTGCCTGGATAGGAATCCCAGTTCTGTCACTTACTGTGTGTCCTCTCTGGTGTCTGTACATCTCTGAACCTCACTTCCCTCATCTGCAAGTATTGAATGAGACACTGTATGCAACACGCTCAGTGCATGGAGGGCCCGTAGCACATAGTGGGACCCGGTGACACACATCATTAGACTAGCCTGCGGTTCAGTAACGTGTCTGAGGGCAAACTCCTCTTGGGCGATACAGAAGAAAGAGATTTTCTTCTACAGACACTGATCAGGGAGGAGCTAACTGATGCCCCGAATGTTCAAATGAACGATCCGGTGATACGGTGCATGAGTGTGTGCACCAAAGAGTAAGTGGAAAGGGCAACAGGCAGGGGCAGGACTGGAGGAAAGCTCCAGAAGGCAAAGCTGTGCAGGGATTTGGAAGGAGAGGGAGCTCTTAGAAGAGTGGAGATGACAGACTAGTAACTCCCCTGGTGACCTGAAATATCCTGAGCAAATTCAGCTTCCAGAACATTCCTAAGGAAGCAGGGGCTCCCATCCACTTTCTGGAGTCTTGAGGAGCAGTAAAAGCCCACTGAGGGCTGATCTTGCCATCCCTCCTCCCCCCACCCGTGGACTTGACCCTGCGCCCCCAGTTCCAAGCTGTGTGTGCAGAGGGGAAGCCGACCCCAGACCTCTCAGCCTGACTCTCTCACCTTTGATGCACGAGGGGTAGAGATGGAGAAAACACCCATGGTCAAGTGGAGGAGGAAAGGACCTGATAAGTGAACAGATCTAAAGCTTATGGCCAGTGCCTGGCACGTCCTAAGTTGCCACAAGCACAGCTTGGAAAGGAGACCCCACCTGGCCAGGTGTCCACAGGGCGGAGTTGGGGACACAGAGAGAGCACCTGGCCCTGAATCCGGTTGTGTCTCTTTCCCAGAACAAGCTACTTGGATTCCTTCCTTCAGCTGTGCCTTCACCCCACCCTCCCCCAACAGCAGGGACACCAGATGCTGATGAACTGATGTACTTGAAGTGTCTTAGTGAAGTTCCAAAGGCCGTGCAAAGGTTCGTGGTGGCCATGGTCAAGGTGCAAGAGCCACACATGTGCTTCCTGTTCCACCTTTCCTTTCCGGGCTTTGGGAGACGAGCCATCCTTTCTGGATGGGCATGATGACGTAGAGGAGAGGTTTTCAACTTTTTACATTTAGACCTGGATTTCCATGCATAAATTTTGGATGGTGGTTCAGTTCATAGGCTCCCCAGAGAGTCCCAAGTATATGACCTCAGGCCAGGGGTGGGGACAGCGTGGGGGCCAGACCCAGAACTACAGGGCTCCCCCCACCCCCTTCCTTGGGGGTAGCTCTCAGGAGGAAAGGCCCAGCTGGGAGCCCAGCCGAGGAGCCAAACTTGGAATGAGGAAGCCCCATTCATCCAGTCTGAACACTGAGTCATGGTCATCAGACGATCACGCTGCGCCCCCCTCCCCTCCTGGGGGTGAGGGGGGGCTTAACCCTTCCCTCCAGTGGTGCAGCTCCCCTCCCTCTGCCTCACCCCCAGGCTGGCTCGCTCTCTAGCTGTCTCTTGACATCCTGGCATGAGAGGGTGCTCAGGCTGACGCCCCCTCCCCTGCCTAGTGCAGAAGCCCATCGTGGTCCGCGTTCCCAGAGTACAAATCAGTCAGTGCCGCCCCAGCTCTGGGGTTCTCATTACAAAGTGACAAACCAGAACTAATTGAAGTCACTTAGATGAGGAGAGAGGCTGGAGCCCCGAGCCCTGCTGTGGGGCTGCTGTGGGCTGGTGTGTGGCAGTGCAGGGAGGTGGTGGCCACCTCTGGACACTGGGGTGGCATGGCTCACGTGGGAAACTACTTTCTAGGCTCTGTCGGAGCGGGGGACTTGTGAGCAGAGCTCCCAGCTCCCTTTGGAAGGGAGGTTTGCTCTCCCCCAACCCCCACCTGCCACACACACGGACTTGCAGTGTTAATTAGGGGCAAGAAAATAATTGCTCATTCCCGGGGTGCAGGTGACATGGAGGTGGCTGTGGGGTGGTTCTGCTGGTTAGGCTTCCACTCCCTCCTCCCTCCAGCTCCTCCTTCCTTCCTTCCCCAACTTCCTCCTTTCCTTCCCTGCCCCGCACCCCTCCCCAGCCTGTCCCACCCTATCCCCCCAGCACCCAGGGAGAGATCTGGAAGTGAACTGATAACCAAAGGGCCCCCTGCATTTGGGTTTCCCAGGCCTGGTGTCTCCCAGGCTGGGCTGCATGACGGGGAGCCCACTTGAGGCAGCAGCTGCCCGGCTTGGGAGGCCCTGCCCCGGGGACTAGGCTCGCAGGGGTGCCGGGGGCCGAGAAGGCTCAGAGAGCATGACCAGAGGGGCAGCACACGGACTAAGGGCAGCAGCTGGCCTCAGTTTGCAGAGACTGAAATGGCACCGACCCACGTCTAGACTACCGCGTAGAGGTCCTCCCTCGCTGGGTGGGGACACGTGGCAGAGTGGTGGCTTTTCCTGCGTAGGGAGAGACTGGCCAGGAAGCCAGCTAGAAGTCAAGGGTAGCGGGGAGGAGGTCTGGGTGTTAACTACTCTCAGATGTACACAAAAGGTCTGTCTGGGTTTGGTTGCTTTTTTTTTTCTCATCAGGAACAACTTAAAGGAAAGTGTGCGCCTCGTTATGTGCGTACTATACCATCCTGATAACATTCCCAGCCCCTCAGGAGTCCCTCACACTCTTTCCCAGTTGATACCCTCCCAAAGGGAATTACTGTTCCCACCTGTCACTAGAGGTACGCTTCTCTGGGGCACCTGGGTGGCTCAGTTGGTTGAGCATCCGACTCTTGATTTTGGCTCAGGTCCTGACCCCAGGGTCGTGGGATCGAGCCCCGTGCTGGGCATGGAATCTGCTTGAGATTCTTCCTCCCTCTCTCTATCTCCATCTGCCCTTTCCTCGCTTGCTCACACACATGCACATGCACTTTTTCTCCCTCTAAAAAATAAGAAAGAAAGAAAAATAAAAATATAGGTGGGCTTCTCTGACTTTGAACTTTATGTCTGCCGTTTGGCCTGGCCTGTCTCTCCCGCCACTGTGTCCCTGAGATCGCCATCTGGCCGCGTGGAGCTGCGGCTTTCTTCCCCCAGCCGCGTAGTATTGCAGTTTATGACTAGAGCACGATGTGGATGTATCTGTTTTCTTGTTGGTGGACATTTGCGTTATTTCCGCTCTTGGGCCATTGCCACTGCTGTGAACGTTCATGTACGTATTCTCCGGGGACACAGGCCCTGCTTTCTGTAAAGTAAATATCCAGGAGCGGAATTGCTGGCTTGTGGCCACATGCTCGTTGCACAGTGGTTTGCAGATTGGTAAGGGGATCCCTGGGTCTTAGCAGAGGGGCCTTAGGGGCCTGCGAGAGGGTGGCCAGGACAAAGCATGGCTTTTCTGTCCACTCCTCAGTCACAGGAGGCCCTGGATAACCGGCCTCCGCTAAGCAAGTGTGTTCAAAGAAAATGTTAAGCTGCTGGAAAAGGTTTGAGGAAGTCTGTCGACACTAATTGGTGCTCCCAGACTTGCGCGGGACGTGGATCTCCTGCATCATCCCTAGATGCAGTTCTGACTCACTAGGGTCCAGAGTGAGGCTTGAGACCCTGCGTTTCTAACAAGATTCTGCATTCTAAGAGAGGTCCGTGTTGAACGGGCCAGTGAACTTCACTTTGAGTGGTGAGCCCCTCACATCCGTCTTCCTTGGCCCCCTTCACCTTGGCCTGGGGTTGCAGGACCCTCCAGTGAGGACGTGCGGGCTGGGGGCAGGAAGGTGGTCACTCCTCTCTACCCTCTCCCCCGGGTGGGTCAGTCACGGGACAAGCCATGCCTGGCCACACCATGAGGATTTCAGGGACACTTCTGTTTGTTTGGTTTTTTTTTTTTAATGTTTTTATTTATTTCTGAGAGAGAGAGAGACAGCGTGAGCAGGGGAGGGGCAGAGAGAGAGGAAGACACAGAATCGGAAGCAGGCTCCAGGCTCTGAGTTGTCAGCACAGAGCCCGACGCGGGGCTCGAACCCACGAACCGTGAGATCATGACCGGAGCCAAAGTCGGACCCTTAACCGACTGAGCCCCCCAGGCGCCGCCCCGCAGGGACCCTTCTGCAGGGGTGATGTGCTCTGATCCACTAGGCCTTCCCAGCTGCCTGGAAGGGGGCTTCTCGTCCACACTGCTGAGGGAGGGAGGCCAGCGGAGAGGCGAGTTCCTGCCACACCAGTGACGTATTTCTCCCAAGTGGAGGTGAAGCCACGCTACGGCCCCTCTGGCATCCCCGTTCCCAAATGAGCCATGGCTCCTGCCGCTTCTGGGTCATCCCCACCACGCTGGCTGTTTGTCCGTGAGGCTCAGAAGCCTCCAGGTGCAGGTGACCAGGAGAGTAGCTTGAGTCAGGGTCCCTGAGACCTCGCAGGGCCAAGCAAGGAGAGACAGGGTAGACCCAGTAGGTGCCTCACTTCTCTGAGCCCCTGCCCAGCCCCCCGCCCCCACCTAAAACGGCCCCCAGCCTGAGGACCACAGAGCCCAGCCTCTGTTTTCCAGGGCCGTCTTCTGCGTGTGTGCAGCCCCGCACAAGTCTGGTCTCCCATCTTAGACCGGGAGGTCCTGGCATCTGCCCAACTCTGCCGGTCACCCCCACCAGCATTAGGGTTCCCTGAAACAGGCTCCCACCCCAGCAGTCCCACCCCGCACTCGAGCGCTGGGGGCTCCAGACCGGGGACCACCCGAGGGCGCATGGGTGGAGCAGGGGGAGGCTGGTAGCTCAGGAGCCTGACAGGTCCAGCCCTGGCCGCCAGCCACCAATCCTGGGGCCATCTGGTGTCCATCTGGCTGATGCCAGAGACTGGAGGGCAAGGAGGGGGCTGCCTGCAGGCCTCCTGGCAGACGGTAGCTCATCTGCAGGACCCCGAGGTGCTCGGCTGGCCTGAGACGGCGCCTCCTGCCGCCTTCAGAATTTGGGGCTTTGCTGCTGCCCTTGGCACCTGGCAGATGTCTATCCCTTTATGGATTTAATGAAACGGACCCCATGGGAGCATGTCCTGGCTTCTCCCCTCCCCCTCCAGCACAGCTGGCTTCTGGAGGGCCCCCAGCATCTAGAACAAGGCTCAGAGGAAGCAGATGCCCCAGGCGTCCCTTCCTGGCCCTGTCCCAGGTTCCGCGTGGCTTCCGCAACATCCTGCGCAAGCCTTGTAGCCTCCAGGAGGCCACGGCCCTCGGACCCCCGTGGATGTCCCCCTCCCTGTCTGTCCCCCAGCCACGCAGCTTATCACCCACAGCCCCCACTGCCAGCTGGCGGTTCCTGCCCCATCTGTTGAACGTCTCAGGGTGGCTCATGAGGCAGGGCCTGGTCCATATCTTCATGCAGGCGCATAAACCACCAACCTGAGCCGAGCTCCTTCTCCCTCACTTCCGCCCCCACACCCCCACCCCGCCCGAGTGCCAGGCGCCCTGTGTACGGGGTGGGAGCCTCAACTGTGGGAGGAGGGAGGCAGGGCAGAGGAGGGGATGGGTGACAGACCACGTGTAGTCACGGCTTCTACACCCACAGCCGGAGTGGGAGCTCGGGGCCCCGGGGCAAGGCACCTCCCAGAGCCACCATGGGACCAAGTGGTGCAAGTGGTGACATCTGGCATCTCTTCTGCAGTCGCTGATGTTCCTGGGGCTGCTGGCCGCCGTCTGCCTGGGCCTGAACCTCATCTTCCTCGCGGCGTACGTGGTCTGTGCATGCTGCTGCAGGCGGGATGAGGCCGTTCAGACCAAGCGGCACAACTCCTGCTGTGTCACCTGGACGGCGGTGGTGGCCGGCCTCATCTGCTGGTGAGTGCCCCGTGCGCTGGGCGCCGCGTGAGCAAGGGGGCGAGGCGGGCCCAGTGCCCACGGGTGCAGGAGTGAGCTTGTGTGGGCCTGATCGCGTGTGTCGTGATGACCATGACCCCTGCTTCCTCTCCCTCCGCCACCATCCAGCCCCTCACCAAACCCCAAGAGGTTCATCTGTTGTCTGGCCACGTCTCCTGACCGAGCTCCAGGTACCTTGATGGCAGAGCCTTGCACGGGGTGAAGGCTCTTCTTGCCAGGTATCGGGGATGGACAGAGGGCGTGTCTGTTGTTTGCATCTGGCTACCCTGCCCGCTGGTCTGCGAGGTCAGAGAAAACTTGACTGCGTCTCCATCAATTCCGTCTTCTCAAGACATCAGTAGCTCTCAGCGCCGTCATACGGCGAAGGAGGGTTTCTAGCTCCACACAAGAACCCCACACTCCCCGGGCGGGACCCACACATGCTCTGTGTTCGGGAGTTGCTTGTATGTTTCTTGTTCTCGTATCTACAGAGGTTTTTCCAAAAGCCTCGGATCCGCCCTGAGACGCTCCTGGGGGCGGTCAGCCTCGAGGCGTAGAGAGCCTCATTCCTAAGTGTCCGTTGTGTCCCACGGTGGGACTTAGCCCTCTCAGCAGCAGAACGAGAGGCAGGCGGGGCGCACTGGTCCTGGGGGTGAGGATACCTGGGCTGCAGCCTCACTTCTTACTGTGGTCTCTTCTCCATGACACCATGATCCTGTCCCGTCCCCCCTGCGACCTAAGGGTCCTCTAAGCCAAGATACGGAAGCAGCAAGAAGAAACAGTGATGGCCAACACGCTGAGCACTAGGGCTGCAGGGGTGGGGGGTGGGGGTGGGCAGGGAACACACAGCTGGGTCCTAAATCATAAACTGCCCGAGTCAGGAGTTCAAAGACAAGTCTGACTCCCGGCAGAGAGGAGGTGCCACAAAGTAACCAGAATAAAGGCCTCCTGCTGGAGGGGAGCGAGAGACAGCAAGGAACCCGTAGTGCTCACCGGGCAGTGAGCCCTGTCTGTGGGAAATCAGATTTAAACAAACAAACAAACAAACTGCAAATGACAGAAGGATACTTTGGAACAGTAAGAATGACTTTGGAGGGTCAGTTCCAATAAGCGATAATTACCAGCTGTTTAAGGAAAACCCAGAACAGAAGGAAGGCGTGTGGCATGACTCACTCTTCAGAATTCTCCATGCTGTTTGTACCAGGCGAGAGCGAGCCAGCGGTAAGCAGCACAGGTGCTAATTCTGCCTTCCGTGGCCCTTGGTCCACTGGGAGAGGCAGAGAACCACATACTGTTTACAGTTACAAACTAAATTACAAACTGAGGAGTAAGTTTGGAGGAAAGGAACAAGTGTAAAGCTGATGGCCGACTCGAGTCGGGCGTTACTGGGTGACCAAGACCCATAGGCTGACCAGGCAGAAGTCGGGGCAAGGTAGGAGAAGATGCTTCCAGCTGGAAGGAAGAGGAGCATGTGCAAAGGCCCTGTGGCAGGAGGGAGCACAGAACATTTAAGGAACTGAAAGAAGCCAGTGAGGCTGGAGCCGAGAGAGCAGATGAAGGGGTTGGGGTGAGGGTGCTATGGGGGTCTTGGGGAACAGCCGTAAGTGGAATGGTCGACAGTCCCTTCACTGGGGTTATGCTCAGATTGGAAGGTTGTGCTCAGATTCTTCTGGAGAAGAGGGGAGCTTCAGTCCACAGAAGAAAGCAGCAGCAGCAGGTTCCCGAAATGACACAAGGGGTATGAGGAGAGCTCCTCGTGTTTCTATTTGGGAGACAGTAATTTTATAGCTGGGAAAGGTAGGCAGAGCCACTGCCACATTTATTCTCTCTTTTATTGAGCAGAAATGGTCCGTGTGGCCCAGGCAGGACCCATGACACCCAGAGGGAGCCGGGAGGCCCTCGTTACACAGCCGCGGCCATGTCTGGTCTTGGAGGGCCACGTGCCCTCCCAGACTAGCTCCGATAAATCCAGACTAGGAGAAGGCAGAAAATTAGAACATCTCCCATCCCCCAAACAGGGCAAGGGATGGAAAGGCGTTGGCTTCATGCTGAATCCCCAGAAAACACTAGATCCTGACGCAGGGAAACTAAAGGAGAAAGTTAGAAGCACAAGGAGCAAACAAAAGGTATTTTTCAGAACATAATAACAATCTTTTAAAAATTTTAATGTTTAGGGGCGCCTGGGTGGCTTAGTCGGTTAAGCGTCCGACTTTCGCTTAGGTCATGATCTCGCGGTTCGTGGGTTCAAGCCCCGCGTCGGGCTCTGTGCTGACTGCCAGCTCAGAGCCTGGAGCCTGTTTCAGTCTGTGACTCCCTCTCTCTCTGACCCTACACTGCTCACGCTGTCTCTCTCTCTCTCTCTCTCTCTCCTAGAAATAAATAAAAAAACATAAAAAAAAATTTTTTTTAAATTTTAATGTTTATATATTTTTTGAGAGATATAGAGAGAGTGTCAGGGATGGGGGAGGGGCAGAGAGAGAGGGAGACACAGAATCTGAAGCAGGCTCCAGGCTCAGCTGTCAGCACAGAGCCCGACGTGGGGCTTGAACCCACGAACCCTGAGATCCTGACCTGAGCCGAAGTCAGATGCTTAACCGACTGAGCCACCCGGGTGCCCCTAAAGTTTTTTTTTTTTAAATAATGTCCCTGAATAGAAGATCATAAGACTACAGCGGGTCTAATGTCTGAGTATCTCAGCTGGACGGCCATCCCTGTGGCTGTCATGGAGAAATACGGACTGGACAGTGGTGCAGTGAAGTGGATTCAAAGTTGGTTGAACATGTGCTTGACTGAACGGAGTGCACAGCAGGCCACCAAACCAAGGCCAGCGTGTGTGCGTGTCTGTGTGTTACACACAGGAAGCGGTAGGAACTTTGCTTTCAACTAAGTGCACGCTGACACGGTGGGCGCCCCTTACCCACACTTTCCACACGCGCTCCAGGTGATTCTGGCCTGTGGTCCGAGAGCCACTTTCTAAGAAACACTGAGCTCAGGGCTGAGCCCACCCTGGGAGGAGGTTTCGGTGAAATCTCCCAGGGCTTCCTCCCTAGATCCTTCCTCTTTAAGGAGCAGAGAAAACATGTAAGTGTGCACACATGTGCGTTCATCTCCCGCCCACCCCCAAAGTTAGTGTTTCCTCTGGGTGAAATCTCGGAGGCTGCTCAGTGAACCTTCAGATGCCCCCCCAGCGGCAAGGGGCGGACGAAGTACAGCAGATGACGTAGGCGAGATGTGAGATGATTTGTCCCGGCTGGAATGTTGGACTAAAACCAACTAGATGCGGTTTCACAGCGTTAGATTTAAAGCTCTGCTTTTGCTTAAAACAAAACGAGAATCAGAGCGGGACTCCAGGAAGGAGGGGAGATCCAGGGGCGTCATAGGCCATGGGGTCGGCGGTGGGGCGTGGGGGGCTGCCAGGGCTTAGCCCCCGGTGCTTAGAGCCGGGTGGACACCTGGCCTGCGTGCCTCACCCAGAGGCCGTGTTTAGGAGTGACAGTGACCCCTTGGAGGGGTTGAACCCTGTGGACGGTGATCATGGGGACCGGGGTCTGGAGGGCACGTGTCTGACATGGAGAGCAGGAGGGAAGGGGTGACACGGAGCCCCATTCCATGTCTGAGGGGCGTCTTGCAGAATTAGAGGCTTATTCTGGCCCCCCCCCCCTCCAAGGACAGTCGAGAACGAGTGCGTGAGCGGTGTGAGGACGTAGGCTTCAGCTCCACGTAAGAAGGAACTTTCTACCAACTGGAAGGTTTCAGTACAGCAGGTGGCCCCATGGGTGCTGTGCGGAAGCAGGGGGAAAGGGTAGAGAATGAGAGGGGGGAGACCCCAGCTCCTGGAGGTTTCAGGAGAGACCTCAGTGGTCCCCCAAGCCTCCCTGTGACAGTCCCCTGGGGAGCAGGTGAAGGTGCAGGCCCCAAATCTACTGCAGCAGAATCCCTAGGGCCAGGCAGGCAACCGTCCCCCCTTCGGAGCTGCCGGACTCGAAGACAGTACGAGTATTCTGTGCCTAAAGGAAATGCACCGTAGAGCTAGTCAGCCAGGCCAGGGTCCAGGTGGCCGTGAACCTTCACCCCCATCCCCCTCGCCTGCCAGAACCCCCTCCCCTCCCTTCCTGGGGAGGAGAGAGCGCCTTACTCAAAAACCCGCTTTCCACGGATGTTTAGAGCAGCTCTGTTCATAATCGCCAAAACTTGGAAGCAACCGAGGTGCCCTTCCTAGGTGAATGGGTAAATCCAGACGATGGACTGTTACTCAGCACTAGAAAGAAATGAGCTCTCAAGCCATCAAATGACGCGGAGGAACCTTAAGGGCACGTCGCTGCGTGAAGGGAGCCGACCTGAAACGGATGCTCACTGCCAGATTCCAACCGTATGACATTCCGGGAAAGGAAGAAACTACGGAGACGTGAAAAGATCGGGCTTGCAGGGGAGGGAGGGACGGATAGGTGGAGCACAGAGGTGAAGGGCGGCGAAACCAGTCCGTAGGATACCGTAATGATGGATACGTGTCATACGTTTGTCCAGACCCACAGAACATACCAGACCAAGGGTGATCCCTGGGGTAAGCCGTGGACTCTGGGTGATAATGATGTGTCAGTTGTAGGTATTCTCAATGGCTCGGGGCACATGGGAAATCTCTGTACCGCTGCTCAACTTTTCTGTGAATCTGCCCCCCAAAATACTGTACTTTAAGAAAACAACTTCCGGTGTCACCTCTGACTTTGTTTGGGGTCTCGCCTGTAGTGCTGCGGTGGGCGTTGGTTTCTATGGAAACAGCGAGACCGGTGACGGGGTGTACCAGCTGATCTACGCCTTGGACAACGCAAACCATACCTTCTCGGGGATAGATGTGCTGGTAAGGCTCAAGGGCAGCAGCTGGCCCGGCCGGGCGCAGCCCGTGAGGTCACTGTGCTCAGAACAAGGGCCCCAGTCACAGCCCAGCCAGCTTGGCTCCGGGTGCGGGGGGGGGGGAGCGGGGGGGCTTGGAGCGGACACCCCTTGGGGCTGCAGTTGGTTCTGCTGGGAGTAAACAGGCAATTTCTGCTCTTCAGGCAGGGAGGGGCGGTGAGGATAGGGGTGCGGACCGGGTCCTGGGACTCCAATCCTGGTCACTTCCGGAGGGCTGAGCACTGCTTGTCCCAGGGGAGCCTGAATGTGGAAAATCAGCCCCGTGGTGTTTGATGTTCAAGTGCTACGGATGGGGCGCCGTGAGGTTGATGAGATATCGAGGTGTAAAACTCGTCAAAACCAAGCGAAGCGCCCTGAGGGATGGTAAGGCAGGTGTCCTCCGGGCTCTGGCGTCCAGCTGGGGTCTCAGGGTGGAGGGCTGTGCAGGCCGCCAGAGGAGGGGTCAGAATTCTGGGGCCACAGCCACGCTGCTGGGCCGCTGGCCTCAGGGAAAGACCAAGGGGAGGGGTGCGGAATCAGGGTTTTCTCAAACACCGACCTTGGCACTGGCCTCCAAGTGCTTGTCACCTTCTCTGGCCTAGAAACTTCGCCAGTTTCCAGGTATAGTCCCTGTACCCCTAGGAGCCATGTTCCAATAGAAAAGGCAGAGGGCAGTTTTCAGGGAAGCCAGTCTTTGGGCATCCACACTGTTCCTGGTCCCCTCCAGACCCAGCCCCCTGCAGAGGGGTGACCTCAGCAAACAGCCAGTTTGTGTCTTTGGGCAGCGTCGCCCACAAAGTCCAGCCCCAGCCAGAGCATTTGGACATTGCCCTGGTACTGGGTCTGGAAGAGGATTCGACCTCATGGCCCCTCCTTAAGCTCCTCTAAGACCTTAATCCCCCAGCAGCCCTTGGCAGGGGTCGGGTGGTGTACCTTAAAGGGACAGCACCCAGGAAGGCTGCTGACGTGGCTCTGGCCTCAGAGAGGGCCCTTCTGGGGCCCTGAGGGTCACATGCCAAGACCGGGGCCCACCTGTCTCGCAGCGCCCGTTCATCCACCCCTGCATCTATCGGAACCCATCCCTGGGAGACTGAGTCGTCCAGACACCAGGCAGAGGCAGCTCTGTGGGGCGAGGGTGGGTGGCTGGGATGTGGGGCTGACGGCAGCCTCGAGGCTGAACACAGCCTGACCAGCCCTGGAGGCATGGGGGGTCCACACCTTCTGGGCCCCCCAGCCCCCACCTCTGCCCTGGTGGGGAAGGGGCTCTGTGGTTACTCCCTTAGGCTCTGCCTCCCACCCTCCCACCACCCACCAACACCAGACCCCCTAGAGGAGGAACCCATCCCCAAAAGGAGAGTCCCTTGCCCCAGAAAGCCACAGAGAAAATGACCTGCTCTAGTTGACTAGGGCCATCCTGATGGGAAAGATTGAGTTCTTCCCGTAAGATGGGAATATACACACGCAAAAGGAGCTGGGAACAAGCCCCCAGGCTGGCCCATCCACCCCGAGGGCTGAGTATCCAGGCCAGGTTTGGACATTCCAGAGCAAGCCTCATATCTCCAAACTCCCCCACGTTCCCAAAGGGAAGGGTTCCATGTGTCCCTGGATATCAACCCCTCATCTTCAGTGCACCGTTTCTGAAAGTCGAGGTCAGCAGTCCCAGGCTTGTGTGATGGCAGCTGCGAGCTGCCTCCATCCTGCCCAGGACCCCCGCCTGCCGCCTCTGGGGAGCCCAGGGGCCCCCGGTGGAAAGGCAGGGCTCTGGGCCCTTGCCAGAGCCTGTGAGGCTGGTGTGGGCATCAGGGTGGGCACCTACCACTCTGGGTCCCAAGGGCTACAAGAGAGACAGCAGAGTTTGGAGGGCTCCCCGGATCTGAGGGATGAAGGCCAACATCAGCTGAAAATGGTGTTCAATGAGATAATGCCGGTGAAAGTGCCTGCTAATCTACAAAGTCCCCCCAGATGGGGTGACTATGATAATGAGTGCCATTATTATAATTACGATAATTATATATGTTCCTGTAATCACTGTGAAGGAGAGAGGAGGCTTGGGTGGGTGGAGGTGGGCGTGGGGAGGCCAGGACTCCCAGAACAGGTCAGGCAGCCAGAACCGGGCCAGAGCAAGATGAGCCCTTCAGGGCTCTCCTGGACCAGAAGCCCCACCCCTGCACCCTTCCACCCTGAGGACCCCAGTGGGTGGGGGCCACAGCTCAAGGCTCAGGCAGAACTGGCAGGCTTCTGAGTCAGCTGCACATTTTGATTTGGGGGTGGTCAGAAAGGATCATTTGGGAGTGGGGGGGGGAGGGGTCCTCTCTCTGGTCCAGTGCCCCCCATCCACCTCCTCTCTTCCAGTGAAGAGGGCACGAGCTCCAGCCACTCACCCAGGGGATCAGGCACACCTCTAACCCCTCTGCCCCCTGGTGTGACTGCCCTTCTAGAAAACCTCACTAAGTAGAGACGCTTCCTCCCCTCTGGAAGGTTTTCAAACTTGAGTGCCTGGTAAACGCAGATTGCCGGGGCCTCCCCCGCAGTTCCTGATTCTGTAGGTCTGGCACACGGCTGAGAATTTGCGACTGATCGCCCAGCTGCGGCTGGGTCAGGGGTCACTGCTCCATCCTCTGGGGGACACCTGCCCGCTCGCCCCAATCCCAGGCCAGCCCAGGGAGCTGAGTGAGCCGCCCTCTGTTTTTCACAGAGCTTGTCACCGGGGTGGGGGAGAACTCTGTCCCAACTCCGGCACGTCCCTGGTCCCTGTCCCTTGGGAGCTCTGTGTCACCCTCTGAGTGAGGCCTGAGGGGGTCGCGGGCAGGCAGTGGAATGGAGTGGGGAACAGGAGGGGGCAGGGCCGTAAGCAGGTCAACGTTGTGATTTTTGTTTTTTTTTGTTGTTGTTATCTTTGGGAGGCCATCCCGAAGGAAGCGAGGGACCTGACAGATGTTCTACCGGCTTTTGGGTTTTTTTTTTTTCCCCAAGGAAAGATTTAAGGAATCAAGAAGTTAAAACTGCAGAGCTATGGAAGGAGAAAAACAAGCATCTTACAGAAAAAGTTTACAGATCATTTTTAGCAGCCCTTTGCTCTAAAGCCCGTTATCTATCATGGAGGAGTATAAAAAATATCCTAATCTTGGCATTTAGTGCCCTTCGGACCAATGGTGACGAAGCACTTACACGTGGATCTTAGTGAATTGAAATGGAGGGTTTATTAATAGTTAGAGAATCTGCCTTTATGTCTCTTTTCCTTCCATGTGAAGCTGTAAACTGCCCGATCTAGACTACTTCTGCCGTCTGGTATCTCTTAGTCCTTAAGCAGCTTGTAAGAATGGAGAACAAGCCAGGAAATGGAACAAGGCTCTGACATTGAAAAACAAAACAAAGGGGAACAAAGGAGGCCATTCTCTTTTCTGGAACCCGGAACACAGCGCAGATGCGAAACGCCACAGTGTTGCCTCACACGTTGCCCCTCGGCTGGTGACCAGGAGTGTTATCTAATGGGCCTTCCCTGCGGGAAGCTTCTGTCCTTCCCCTGGCATTTAATCTTCCAGACCCGGGGGAGCTGAGGCCGCCCGAGGAGGATTAGCACACACTCCGCCCTCCATCCGGTTCTGCTTGTTGGTTTGGCCAGTTTTGACAACAGAGCCTTGGTCCCCTCGCCGCCAGCACGCGGACTCAGAGCAGGCTTGCGGGGACGAGCTCGGGGTCCCCAGGCTGCGTCCCTGGGTCCGGCAGGAACCCTGCGTCTGGGCTGTTGGGACCAGACCCTACTTGTGGCTTCTTGTTTGAAAGCCAAGGGCAGCCTTTGCCATCGCCCTTCCCTCTGTACCTTTGGAAAGAGAACTGTTCCTTCAGGGGTCCGCTCAGCTGCCCAGCCCGGGGAGGGAGCCCGTCCATCCACCTGGCTGGACGACCACAGCAGGGGCGGGTGCATGAGGCACAGAGCAGGCCCCGATTTCCCCCTTCACTTGGCCAGGCTCTTTGGAGGCAGGATCGGTCCGTTTGTGTCATTTCAAAGTGCTATTGTTCTGCCTTCATGCTGGCCCGGGACACCCTGAGCTGTTGCTAGGTCCCAGGAGCAAGCCTTTGTCTTGTGAGGCCTTTAGAAAGCCTATCGTGGGAATAAAAAGTCAGGTAGCAACAGAGGTATTTTTCAGTGAAATACTCTATTCCTCCATCTAAAAAAAAAAAATTGATTCTCCAAGTGTTCAAAGATTTAAGAGAATCCTCAAGGAAGCAAAACAGATTTGGTTTGTTTCCCCATCTGGGAGCCCGGCGCCTGGTTAAAGCCAGTTTGGGCCTCCCCTCCCCCCATGGATGGAGGAGCGTGAGGGCTGGGGGCGGGGTGGATCGGGACCTCTGCTCTCCTGCTCAAGTCACGATAGGTACATCTCTGGCTTCCTCTCACTCCCAGGAGGCCAAACTTAACAACCCCGACCCCTTCCGCAGGTATCCGGAACCACCCAGAAGATGAAGGTGGACCTAGAGCAGCACCTAGCTCGGCTCAGTGAGATCCTGGCTGCCCGGAGCGATTATATCCAGACGCTGAACTTCATGCAGCAGATGGCGGGCAATGTCATTGTCCAGCTGTCAGGGCTGCCTGCGTGGAGAGAGGTCACCGCGGTGCTGACCGAGGTGGCCGACCAGACCACCTACGTAGAGTACTACAGGTGAGGGGCCCGAGGGCGGGGCGGCGGGGGCCCTGGGTCTTCCTTCAGCCCTGCCTGCACTTGGGGGCCAGGCAGGGAAGAGCCACCAGAAGGCCTTAATAAGCCGCGACTGAAATCAGAGGGGTGTTGGTGCTGAGCGATGGTCATGTAAAGCAGCCCCCTTATGCGGGCAGGCTCAGAGACCCAGAGAGGGGCAAAGGGGCCATGATGTACAAAGATCCAGGGCTGGAGGCTGGGCCTGGCCCCTGGGGACTCCTCCGGAACCAGCATTCTCTGTGGCTGGTGCTGGGTAAGATGCAAGTGCTTTTATGGGTTCCTTGCCAGCCAGGGTTTTGGGGGAAGGGTTCCCTACACCTGCAGACTCAGCCCCAGGGGTACAGGGGGCCAGGAGACGGTGGCCTGTCTGCCTGCATAAAACTTCCCCAGAGAGGCCCCAGCTTCACTTTCAGAGAGCCCGAGGGATGGGGGAGCTGAGGGGCAGCACCCCACCTTTGCCACACCCAGCTGTACAAGCTCATACCTACGTCATCTAATCTCTGGGAGTCTGTTGCGTCCCCTGCCTCCCCATTCCCCAGACCCCATCCCAGGTGAAGGCACTGGACGCAGGTCGGCTGACCAGGGACCGGCTGCCTCCCTCCGTGTGCAGGATCCAGTGAAGCTCCCTCTGGGGAAAGCCGAGGAAGGAGGCGGCCATCTTGGCTTTGGGTGGCTCCCAGCCAGAGAGAAGGGGTCTTCCGCTCGAGAAGCGCAGGCCACCGTGCCGCCAGGACCCAGCACCTCGCACGGAGGGAGGCCCCGGTTGGAGTGAATAAGTGAGGCTTGCAGAGCAAACAGCAGCTCTTGGGATCCACCCCCTGCCCCAAATGTGTTGGTTCCCCCTCAAGGCTCTAGGTCAGAGCCTTTCCCTCTCACCCCATTGCACAATTTACTCTGGTTTTCTGGATTCATTTCTCCTTTATGAGAAGGCCCCACCCGGGGCTGACTAATAAGAACACAGAGGATATGCTTCTGGTGAGACCTCCCGTCCGGGGCTCTCCCTTCCCCTGGGGTAAGATAAAGCCAGACCTTGGCAAGGGAAACTCCCGAAGCCCCCAGCTCCGGCCGGCATTCCCCACTCATCCCTGCACTCATTCAGCCGTCGCGGACCCAGCTTCCCACCAATGCTTTTTTTTTTTTTTTTTTTTTTGCTCACATTCAAAACTGCCATTCTCCCAAGCAACAGAAACTCCCGACTCTAAGGACTTGGCTGTGACCCGTGACCTAAAATAGCGGCATCTGATTAGTCCTGTGACCTGAGGGCCATTCATTTGTCTGAACGTCTGGAACCGAGGTTGGGGGGCTTGGGGGCAGGTGGAAAGTGGGCGTCCACTTTGACCTTGCCATTCTCTGTGAGTGCAGCTTGTACACCCAAGGGCCTCGTGTGGGCATTTCGACAAAGACGAAATCGGTCAGAGTCTACATATCAATAGGGACTTCTTTTTAAGGCGATTTCATTAAACATGGGAGGAAGGGTCATGACGAAGCCTATGAGCTGTCTCAGTGTGGGTGACCGACAGGTCCCCCTGACCCCCAGCCCCCTAGTTCAGGCTGAGGTAGAAAAGGACTAGTCCGAAGTTAGTACCCATGCGTGGCCCCTGAAAACCGATAGTATTCTGCCTCTTCCTTTTTCACCTTCTATTTGCCCATTTCTTCTCTTGCCTGAGCTGCCTCAGCCTAACCAGCGTTAGGGGCTCCTCTGAACAGACTCCCCGTCTTCGCTTTCCAGATGGTTCTAGAGCACAACTATCCAGCTAAGCACATCTTTTTTTTTTTAATGCTTTTTTTTGGTTGTTTTTTTTTTGTTTGTTTGTTTTTTGGTTTTTGGTTTTTTTCTGAGAGAGAGGGAGACACAGAATCTGAAACAGCCTCCAGGCTCTGAGCTGTCAGCACAGAGCCTGACGCGGGGCTCAAACCCACGAACTGTGAGATCATGACCTGAGCCGAAGTCGGACGCTCAACCGACTGAGCCACCCAGGTGCCCCTAAGCACATTTTTTTAGCACTTGTAGGCAAGGCCTGGCTGAGTATTGGAGACCATAAAAATCCAAGCCTCTCCCTGAGGCTTATAAGGGGTGTGAGCAAGGCGTCAGCGGAGGTGGGATCTGGGAGTAAGGGCCCCGGGTAGCTCCTGCCAGAGCCAAGTTCTTGGTTAGAAACACATCCCGGGTCATCGCTGGGCTCCTCCGGGAAAACACATCCGCCTCATAGAGCTATTTCCAGGAATTCCTTACAACATGAGGTGTGGATGCAGAGAAAACATATTGAAACACGATCATGGAGGGTGAGACAGAAGCAACCCTAACCTGATTTCCTGCGGATGTGCAGAGCAGGGAGGGAGGTAATAAGAAACCTTGAGGCCTGAAACAGGAAACCAGGATTCTGAGAGGTGCTGGTGGCTGGCTGTGTCTCTTGTGGGAAGACTCGCAGATGTGGAAAGTCCAGAGTTCCTGGACCAGGCTCTCCTCCTATGGGCCTCTGTCTGCTTTCAAATCTGCAGAATGGGGCCCTCACACGTGACGTTCCCGAGATTCCTTCCTGCCCTGACTCTCAGGAAACGGGCTCCGTGATGGAGGGAGAGCCTTGCATTTGCTCCAGACCCCCAGCTCCAGTCCTGGAAGCCCCAGAGGCTGCAGCACACCTCCATGCAGCAAGTCAGGGGTCTTGATTAGCCCCCTTTCTTGACACTCAGCCTCCACTCACAGAGGCGGGAAGAACTTCCCTTGGCTGCCAGGTGGCCTCAGCGTGTCCCCTTCCCTCTGGGAGCCACTGTCGCTTTCTTCCAGCTCCACCCCCTCCCACCTGCACTTGGCACGCCTTCTCAGCCTCCTGACAGTGCTGGTGAAGCAGCAAATCATTGCTGGAGAGGAGGGGGTCCGTGAGTTTATTTGGCTGTTGCATCAAGAGAAATAATCATTCCTTCCCACTATGGGAGCTTGGAGAAGCCCCTCTATCTGTCCCTTCTGTCCAGCAGTCTCCCAGTACAGGGCAGATGGAAGTGGCTGCTAGGTGAGGCTGGCACTTGGTTGTAAGGACCCCCTTGGGATCCTGTTTGGAAGCGAAAAGAACTAGGGGGCTTTGCATAGGATTGGATCAGCGCCTCTGGACTCTCGACGCTCCGGAATCCTCAGCCCGTGCTTTGGAGAAGCAGGAAAAGAAGGACTTTGAAATCCCTCAGTGACATGCCTTATGCATCTAGTGAGCATTTAATTTTTCATCCAGCTCTGAGAGATGAAGTTTCCAGCAATAATGGTTTGGAAACTGAGGCTCAAAGGAGGGAGGGAGGCAGCCTGTCAGGGTCTCCCAAAAGGCCTGAGGAGTGAGGGGTGCCTGGCCTGGGGCTCCCTTGCCCGCCGCTAAGCTCCCTGGTGGTCTAGGAATGAGCCCTCCCCCCTCCTACTGCAGGCACCCCTGGCACTAAGCCCAGGGCCTGGCACAAATATTGCTGACATGAACCTAACTGTCCTAAGTAGCGTGTCCCAGGCCCCTGGGAGGGCTCGACGGGAAGCCAGGTGGAGCCTTCATCACAGAAGCGGCAGCTTAGGGGCTTTCTTAGATCTGTGGACATAAATGTCAGCCATGATCTAACGCTGGTGGGAGTCCTCGAAGCAGCAGGGACCAGGGTCCAAAGACGTGCCTGCTGGGGGCTGCAGGGAGACCATGGCCACCTGCCCTGTCCAGCGAGGGGCCACTGGCCACAGGCGGTACTGGAATAGAAATTGATCAAAAGCAGCTAAGCTTAGAAATCCGTCTCCTCCGTTGCCCAAACCACATCTCAAGTCCTCCGGAGCCACGCGTGGGCAGGGGCAGGTACAGTGGGCGGTGCAGAGGTTGAACACGTGAGTCACTGCAGAAAGTGCTAGCGGGCAGTGCTGCTTTAGATCCTCAGCCTCGGCGGCGGAGGGTGGCCCCTTTGTCCAGGCAGAATGGGGGGGTGCAGCTCCGGGAGCCCCTGAAGAGCCTGTCTGCTGCGCACACTGGGTCTTCCTGTCCAGGGCAGGGGGGCACAGCCTCATGTGCTCTGCTGCTGGTTCGGGGCCGTTTGTCCAGGGGTGTCTGGGGGTTGCCGTGCAGGCATCCCTGGTGAGCACCAGCTGTGGCCACACCTCCCCCTGACCGTCCCTTCCCCCCCCCCCGCCCACCCAGATGGCTTTCCTACCTCCTACTCTTCATCCTGGACCTGCTCATCTGCCTTGTCACCTGCCTGGGACTGGCCAGGCGCTCCAGGGGACTCCTGGCCTCGTAAGTATCCCTGTCTGTGGGCTGGAGAGCCAGACAAGCATGGAGGGTGACAGTGCCTCCACCTGAGAGAGTGGGGGCCTGGCCAGCCTCGGAGGGTGTGGTGGGAGGGGTCGAGAACCTGAAGCCACCTTCCGACGCCTCCTCAGCCCCCAGCCGAGGGAGGCAGCAGCCATTGACTTGCCATCTGGACACGGAGCAAGGACTGGGCTTTCCTCCGTGGCCCCCAGCTGCCCCTGGGCCTGACCGCTGAGCAGCTGGAGCAATGTGGCCCAGGCCTTAGAGCCCCTGTCATCTCTAACCAACACCTCAGTGGGCGGCCTCGCGGCTCTGTGTTCAGCCCAGGGATCTGTGCTCCAGGCTCCATGCCTCTCCCAGAAGTCAGCGGGCTGATGTTAGAGCCCACTGCAAGAGTTTCAGGAGCCAGGGACAACAGGGTGGTGGCTGGGAGGAAGGGCACTGGAGGCTGGTGGGGTGACAGCCCTCACCGCCTGCCACCATGTGCCTCTCCCCCAGGATGCTGTGCTGCGGGGTACTGGCTGTGTTCCTCAGCTGGACGTCCCTGGCGGCCGACACGGCTGCAGCAGTGGTGAGTTCGGGGTGGGGGTGGGGGAGGGAGGGTCCGGCCAAGCCTGTCCGTCTGATGCGTCCTGTCCAGAGTCCCCAGGACAGGGCCAACTTCCGGTCTCTGTCCCTAACCTAGAATCTCTGAGCTGAGTGAGCTTGGCTCATTCACACCAGCCCCCTTGCCCACGATCACGAGGTGTTTAAGGGCAGAACCAAGATACGATGCCTGACGCCTGATCCCTTTCCCACCCCACTGGCCCGTTCCCAGCCACTGCTGGTAATGCCACGCTGGGATGGCCGGGTGACCTCTCTGGGCCTGAAGGACTAACTGGCTCTGGTGGGGATGGGCGGGATCTCAACGTCAGGCTGGAGAAGCCTCCGGCTTCAGAAGCACACTGCTTGGCTGGCTTCCCTGGGCATCGGGAATGTGGAATGTGGCATTTAGCTTGCCTTCCGGCCCCTTGCCTTGGACTCACACACACAGCCTAAAACACAATGGTGTATGTTTCTGGATGCAATGCCTCAAAATGCCTCAAAAGAAACACACAATGTGGGGGGAGCTTCCTATGTAGGTAGGTATGGCCTTTAAACACACCTAATGCCCAATTTAAGCTGTTTGAAAGAGTCGTTTGTTCACTGACTTCTTGGCTCTGTGGCGCTCAGTGGTGCCTGGTGCCCCAGAGCCCAGGAGGACATGATATTTGCTCTTGACATAGTCTCAGCCTGCAGAAGGACCTATAACTGCGACCTCGTGTGAATGGATGCCATGGAGGTACATGGTGTGTGTGTGTGTGTGTGTGTGTGTGTGTGTGTGTGTGTGTGTGTGTGTGTTGAGGGAGGCAGGACTGACCAGGGGATTTCAGGGCCTCCCTGCCTCATTCAGGGGCCACAAACTAAGCCCATGACCTGTACTGCCCTAGCTACCTGGGGATAAAAGAACAGTCAAGGGCACCTTCTGGAAGCCCATTCTCCACACGCACACCTCGCCCAGGGACTTGGGGGCCGGCCGGTCTCTCTGGCCTTGGGCAGTTTGCCTCCATGATGCCCACAGTACGGATGGCCCCTGGGCTGCTTGGCTCATGGCAGCCTCTGGGAGAGCTCGTCCGGAAGGGAGAAGAGGTGGGTGTCTCCTGTTTGGTTCCCGCCCCCACCAAGCAGTGCCCACCTTGGGCATGAGGGAGAATAAGCAGGCAGGAGCCTGTGTCCCAAGGGCCGGGGCCCCTCCAGTTGCAGAGAAGGGCATGATGGGAGGACCTCGGTCATGCTCCGAAGCATCCTGATGTCATCAGGAGCCGCGCGGGCACATAGTCCAGGGAGTGGCTGCTGCCCGAGCCACATGCACAGCTGCCTGGCCGACAGCCTCTCCTCTGGGGACGAAAGCTCAGGGGGAGTCTGCACAAGGCAGGCTTTCCAGGGGGCTCCGTGCTGCCCCTCAGGCAGCCTCTGCCTTCTGGAAGCAGTGGAAACTTCCAGCTTGCTGCCATGAGCTGCCCTTGGGGGGACAGCTCCCTCCCCGCAGGGGCTTCTGTGTTTGGGGAGGCCAGAGGCGGTTTAATCCCCCAGCTGGGCGCCCTGGCTGCTGCCAGCTCTGGCGAGAAAGGCCGAGAAAGGCCGGTTCCCTAATTGTTGAGTCAGGCCCGTGTGAGAGAGCGCTGTGAGGGAGCTGAATGCGCCTTTGAGAGGCTGCGGGCCCTGCTGCATCCTAATGGGAAGCGGGGTGAGCGGGAGGCAGGCCGGCACAGGCTGTTGTGGGAGCCTTTGTGTGGTCCCACCGCCCTGCCCTGCCCCCGGGGGCCTGCTTTCTTTGAGCCGTGGGGCTGGGGAGGACAGCCGCCCAGCTCCTCCCTCCCTGTCCCTTCCCTGTCCCCAAGACAGGACCCCCTTCAGGCCCTCCCCCCCAGGACCTGCTCGAGGAGGATCTGGGGGAGCTGAGCTCTCACCCCAGCGGGCAGCTGAGCAGAGCACTTCGTGTAAATCCTGCCACCCATGGGGAGGCCAGGCCGGTCTCACCCCTTCCCGACAGGGGACCCCTGGGAAAGTTACTGAAGCTCTCCAGACCTCAGCTTCCCCGAGTGTGAAATGGGGAGAAGGACAGCACTTGCCCCAGAAGAGGAGAAGGGTTGGTCAACCCCGGAGGGGGGGGGGAGGCTATAGGTAAGCAGTAGCCGTCATTGCTTTGCCGTGCATTTTTGTCTTGTGAGGGGCACAGGGGGACTCTGGAGTGTCACTTGTGGTCTCCAGAGCTGCCTCAACTGGGCTGGACACTGGGCTTCTCCGGTGCTCAGTCCCCCACTGCACCCCGTGCCCCCTGCCTCAACCCCCTCCCCATCACTGTGTGAATAATGCACATATGGGCCTTTGTCTTCAATGCCAGGAAAGTTGAATCCTCAAGGGCCTGAAGGGCAGGGGCCTGAGTGGGGTGGGAGGGGGCCTCCTGTCCCTCTTTGGATCCCATACTTTTGGAGGGTGGTGTCCCAGGCCAAGATGGCAGCCTCCCTCTTTCTTTCCTAAGGCCTCCCACCCCCCACTCAGGTCTGCCTCCTCCCTCTATGCCGCTCCAGTGACGGGTTGGGGGTGTCCCCTGGCCTGCTGGTACTGTGGCTCTGATTGGTAGTAATAAATCAGTCTGAGTGATACATGTTAGTGATTTGCCTATAGAGCAATTCTCCCAGGGTCCTGTGCACGTGACTGTATATGTGTGTAGGCATGTGTGCACGTACAGGTGTGTCTTTTGGAAGCTCCGTGTCTAAAGGGACATCTAGGGGCACCTGGGTGGCTCAGTCAGTTGAGCATCTGACTTTGGCTCATGTCATCTCATGGTTCGTGGGTTCGAGCCCCGCGTCCGGCTCTGTGCTGACAGCTCAGAGCCTGGAGCCTGCTTCACATTCTGTGTCTTCCTCTCACTCTCTCTTTCAAAAATGAATAAACATTTTTTGAAAAATGTAAAGGGGCATCTTATTCCCCAACCCTACTCAGAGCCCATAAGTACCATGATGCAGCTTGCCCCGTACTAGTGCCTAGAACGGCACAGGCATCTAATCTAATAGGTGCTAACTAAGTAGTTACTGACTCTGTGAATGAATGAATGCGACCCCAGCATGGAGCCACTCCTGAAGGAGGGCAGGGCACAGGCAGTGTGGAGCCGTGGGGAGGGGTTCCTCCTCGGGGAGCACTCCCTGGAGCAGGAGAGCCCCTAGGAACAGGTTGGAGGACCAGAGTTTACTCTGGCTGCTCTATAAGGTAGGGGCCCCCCTTTACCCAGTGCTCCACTGTACCCCCAGCTGGACCTGGGAAAGGCCTGGCTCAGAGGATGGCATCCTCACTGCTCCCTCTCCCAGCCCCCCGACCTGCCCCTGCATAGTCCATGGGCCCTTGGTGGTTGCCTCTCCAGGCCATGCTGTGGGGCCCAGGCCCTCCCGCTCACTGGCGGCAGAGCCGGGAGCCCGTGGTCTAACTCCCCATCTCCCCGCTCTTCCCATCTTACCCTGAGCAAGACGCGCACCCAAAGGCTTAGAGGTACATCAATACCAATAGAATTCTTAAGGAAGAGTCCGGGGGATGCTTCACAGATTGACACCCCAAAAGCACGTGTCAAAAGTCACAGAGGCCAGCAAAGGCCAGGGTGCGGGAACTGCCCAACACACACCTTGCAAGTTCACGGATCCCTGAGGTCCATCCCAGGATTGAGAAATAAAGAGTAAGAACTAACAGTGCGAAGTGCTGGCTCTCCACCAGTCACTTTTCTGGGTGTCTTATTTTTTTGTTTATTTTAATGTTTGGAGAGAGAGGATGCAAGTGGACGGGGGGCAGAGAGAGAGCAAAGAAGGAGAGAGAGAGATGTGGGGCTCACCCAAAGCAGGGCTCAAACTCACAAACTGAGATCATGACCTGAGCCAAAGTCAGATGCTTAATGATGAGCCACCCTGGCGCCCCGGATATTTTACATAGATTAGTTCGTAAGGTGGATGGCGTTTTTCTCTCCGTGTTATTGACAAGCAGCTGTGACACAGAAAGAGTAAGTCACTTGTCCCAACTTACAGAGCTAGGAAGGGGCAGAGCCAGGATTCAGGCCCAGGGAAGCTGGCTGCTGCCTCTCCCTATCCATCCAGGACTGAGTGGAGGGGTCTGAGCGGCTGGGGCTGTGGGTGCCTGTCTCCAGCCGGGACCCCGGCGTCATAACTTTCCTCAACCCTCCCGTCTCTCTCTGGCTCAGAGCACCAGTGACTTCTGCTCGGCTCCCGACACCTTCATCCTGAACGTCACAGAGGACCACATCCGCACAGGTAACCAGCCCTCGGGCCCTCTGTTGTCAGGAGCAGCTGTGAAGACTCAGAACCGCCCTACGGCCAGCCAGAACTTTCCGCCCTGTAGTCCCCTGCCCTGCCCCACGCCCCAGCCTTAGATCCAGCTGGACCTCTGGGCCATTTCTTAGAATCACCCTCCTTTGGGAGCTTGGGGACCGGCTTGGCCACTGAGGACGGATGAGGGCCTGGTCACCTGTGAGCTCCTGCCTGATGCCGATGCCTTTGCCTTGCAGAGGTGACCCGTTACTACCTCTATTGCAGTCAGAGCGTAAGCAGCCCCTTCCAGCAGGTACGCCCACCCAGCCCCATCCTCACCCTGCCTACTGCCCCCTCTCGACCCTGACCAGTAGGGTGTAGGTGGCTGCGTGCTTTTGGCTCCATCGTGAGGCCGATGCCGCTTGTCCGAGGGCCACACCTTGAGTAGCAGGAAGCAAGGGGACCCATGCCGCTCCCGCAAAGCCTGAAGGATGAGGGGAAGGGCCGGAATCAGGGACGCCAGCGGTCACGACTGCCGGGGAACAGGGCCTGGGAAGGTGGGCCTCACGGCGGGGCTGCCGTCTCTCCTGGCCAGGCCCTGACCGTCTTCCAGCGCTCGCTCACCACCATGCAGATCCAGGTGGCCGGTCTGCTGCAGTTTGCCGTCCCCCTGTTCCCCACGGCAGAGGTAAGGCAGCGGCCTCCTCGCAGTATCTGTGCTGGAACGGGGCAGGGAGGGAGCCCCAGCTGGACCCTGACAACCCTTCTCCCCTCTTCCCCCCCACCTCACCCCTCCTGAACCCCGTGGCTTTGCAGAGCCAGCCTATGGAGAGCGCTCCCCTCCCCGGGGATCTAATCCCCCTCCTTCCTTTGGCTCGAAAGGCCCCTGTGCACCTGCACACGCTGCTGTCGGTGGAGTTATCCACGAGCCCTTCCCCACCGCTCACTCCCTGTCTCTCTGCCTGTCTGCGTGTTTCCTCTTCCTGCTTCAGAAAGACCTGCTCGGAATCCAGCTCCTGTTGAACTCATCGGAGTCTGGCCTTCACCAGCTGACAGCCATGCTGGATTGCCGGGGGCTGCACAAGGTGCTGGGGCGGCCCTGGGTGGCATGCAGGACGGGGGCACCCCAGCCGGCCACGTTTTCCCAGAGAGCAGCCAGTGAAGGCTAGGAGAGCGATGGCCCGGGCTCCCTTCAGGCATGGGGTCAAAGCTGAACAAGAGGAAGCGGGAAGAGGTGTCTGGCTTCTTGATCCTCTGAAATAGCTGAGACAGGGAGAGTCCATGGAAGATACCGGGGGACTGGGTTATGATCAGGTTAGTCCTAGAACATTGGGTGACCGTAACCCACATGAAGGAGGCTATTTTCTATTGTCCGGACTCGCCCGCCATCTGGTCAACCCGTCCATGTCTCTGGCTGCAGGTGAATATCCTTTGCTCACTGCCAGGGTCACCTCTCCAAGAACTTGGCATACCAGACAGCTCCTAATGCAGGGGACACTCAGAGTATGTGGGCTTCCCTCCCCCTAAGCACTAAGCCAGTGTGTGTGGACACTTCCCACATCCTATATGGATTTAGCACGAATGGGCCTATAATGATCATGGCTGCCATGTAGTAAGCCCTGATTCTGTCCTCACCCCTGTTCAGTACAGTCTGTACCCACAAACCATTCAGTTGTCATGGTGGATATTGTCAAATATGTGTTATTTCATGGGCAGTTTTATAGAAAAAGAAACTGCATGTGTAGACAGATAGGTATTTATATACGGATATCTTTTTTTTTTAATGTTTGTTTATTTTTGAGAGAGAGAGACAGAGCACGAGTGGGGAGGGGCAGAGAGAAGAGGGTGACACAGAATCCCAAGCAGGCTCCAGGCTCTGAGCCGTCAGCACAGAGCCCGACTCAGGGCTTGAACTCTCACAGTGAGATCATGACCTGAGCCAATGTCGGATGCCCAACGAACTGAGCCACCCAGGTGCCCCTGTATGCATATATATCTATAAAGTGGCTCACTGAAGGTTCCAGGCTATCAGGTCAAGGGCTCGGGTTTGGACTTTGCCACATGCCGTTTCTCCCTCTGTACCACCCACCTCCAAATCCCTCAGCACATCCTAGCATCTAAACTCTCAAATATGCATGTGATTACATCCACTTCTCTCTCCCTCCCCACTTCCGCCATGACCCAAGCACTCCCCTGCACCCCTGCTTGACGGCCGTGGCCTCTTAACCGATCCCCAACCTTTCCTCACCCCTTTACCTTCCATGACCTTTCATACACAGCAACCACAGCGGTCTGTAAAAGTGAGTTGAGTCACATCCCTTTCCTCCCATCCTGTCCCTTTCTGATAAAAAACAAACTCCTCACTTGCCTGCAAGGCTTAATCGGGAACTGGCGCCCCCTCATCCCGTCTCCTCTGGCCCTTTTTTCTCTTTCCTGAACGTGCCACACTTGTCCCCTTCCCCCATCTGCTCAAGCCACAATCCACTCCTGGCCATGCTGGTCTGAGATGAAATGTCCCGTCTTCTGGCTTCCCTACCCTGCAGCCCTGTCTGTCTTGCTCGGAGCTGATCCTGACCCTCCCGTGACTAGCACCCAGTAGGTGGTCAGCACACACTTACGGAGTGAACCCAAGAAGCCCCTTCTGTTGGGTTCCAGAGTGTGGACCCTTTGTACAAAGTGTACAAAGTGCTCGAGATAGAGACCGGTAGATGGTCCCAGGCCCAGACTTGAGGCAAGGGGCTACCGGAAATGAGCTCAGACCCCGGGCGTGCCCTGACCCGCCTTCCAGCCACGTGTCCCTCCTCCTCCAGGACTACCTGGACGCCCTTGCTGGCATCTGCTACGACGGCATCGAGGGCTTGCTCTACCTCGGCCTCTTCTCCCTCCTGGCCGCCCTGGCCTTCTCCACCATGATCTGCACGGGGCCGCGGGCCTGGAAGCACTTTACCACCAGGTGGGCTGCCTGGGGCCCTCCTGGGGGGGCAGGCGGGAGGCTCTACTCTGTGACTGAGCCCAGAGCCGATAACCTGGGCCAAACAACGGCAGCAGGGGGCCCAGACATTCAGCCTCAGCAGCTTCTGCAGAAATTTTCCTGAGAGTGCAGACAGATCCCCCCAAAGGAGGTTCCAAGGGCCTGAGGCAGGAGTGCAGCTAAGGATGGTGACAGCATCATACGACCCCCTTGCTTGTCCGTTTTCTCTGAAGGACTCTGTGACGCAAGATGATGAGGGCTCTGGATGCTGGAGGGGTGCTTCCAAAACACCATGAAGGATAGGCTATCGCACTGTTAGTGGGGCACCCACATTCTCTTGGAGGAGATAGAGATGAGGTGGTGTTTCAGTGCCTGTGGGTAGATCAGACCAAAGGAAGCAAGGCAGGGAGGGTCAGTGCAACAGGGTCAGCGCAGCGGGCTGCCTGGAGGAGGTGGACGTGAAGCTGGAAACGGGTGATCTGTGTGAGGCATGTGTTTCAGGAACCTGAGGGAGACACACGCGTGTCAGAGAGAGTCCTGGGAGCGAAGACCGGGAAGCAGGCCACGACCCCGCTGCCTCCGAGTCTGGGCCCTCACGGCCGCCTGTGTCCTGTGTGTCGTTCTAGGGACAGGGACTATGATGACATTGACGGTGACGACCCTTTCAACCCCCAGGCCCGACGCATCGCCACTCACAACCCCCCTCGGGGGCAGCTTCGAAGCTTCTGCAGCTACAGCAGCGGCCTGGGCAGCCAGACCAGCCTGCAGCCCCCGGCACAGACCATCTCCAACGCCCCAGTCTCGGAGTACATGTATGGCAACGGCTCCCCGGGCCTCCCCCTGCACATGTCTCCACACATCGCGGCTGGGGCATCGCCGGCCCACTCAGCCCTGGGGGAGCTAGATCTGGGGTGCATTTGGGTCCAGAGAACCGGGTTGGGAGGAAGGCATCAAAAGCCAGCCATGGTCCCCTCACCCCCCTCACCCTGCTGCAGCCACAAGGTGCCTGGTGGGAAGTCCCCCTGGGGGCATTAGCCACCCCAGCTCATGTGCACCCCGTAGATGCCAAGCCTTGCCCTCAGGGCAGATTGCAGGGCCAAGAAGCTGCCTTTCTCCAGGCCACGCTGCTCCGGGCCCCTGGTGCCCCATCCGCTGCTTCTCCCCTGGGCCTCTCCTCTGCCAGCCCACGGTTCCCCCGAGGTCCGTTTCCCTCCCCCACTTGCACATGCACACCCACGGGCCCCTCCTGGAGAAATCCGAGCACCCCCACCCCAGTGCCTCCCCGTCCTGAGCTGTGCTCTTGGCCCACAGGAACCAGGCCATGCTCTTTGGCGGTAACCCACGCTACGAGAACGTTCCACTCATCGGAAGAGGCTCCCCTCCTCCCACGGTAGGCTGGGCTCCCGGGCAAAGTCATAGCTACGGCCCTTGTTGGGGAAGCGATGACAGATAAGACCTCTCCCCCAACCCCTCCGCAAAGGTAGGAAATGCGAAACAGCTTTGGTTACTGAGTAAGCGTTAAACCAGGACCGCCATGCACGTCGCTGGCAGTCCGCTAAAGACAGTGCAAAGACAGAAGGCTCACCCCGTGCACGCCTGTCCCCAGGCAAGAGAACCCACACTAGTCCATCCTGAACACCTGCCAGTTAGGGTGGCCATCAGCGTTGCTCATCGCCACGGAGATGGGGGCAGCCCTTGATGCTTACCTTCCAAAGAGGTGGCTCCCAGACCCTTAAGAAAACGTTCCTGGTTTGTGCATCTCAAAGGGACAGAGAAATAACTCGCAATGATAAGTTTTGCCGAGCAAAATAATCTGAGAAGAGAGAGCGTCCCTTTCTGCTCCAAGGAAATTATTTTGCTCTCTGAGGGTGTTTAGCCTTTCACCCTGGGCGGTGGGGTAGAGCCCTGCGATGGCGCATCTGGAACACTAGACTTCCTTAACCCTGCTCAGTGGGTACCTGAGTGGGGCCTGTGCCTCCCGCCCACGCCTGCCTCCAGCCAGGGGACCGAGACTCAGAGTCGGGAAAGGAGCCTGTGGCAGGAGGGGGTGCACATTGGAGAGAGAAAGCTCTGTCCTTTCCCAGATGCCTGGGTTCGCACCCAGCTCATTGCTTCCGACCTCTGTGACTTTAGACGAGCACTTTGCCTCTTTGTGCCTCAGTTTCCCCACCCGTAGAATGGGGATGGTAAAAGCACACACCTCACGGCAGTGGTGGGCGTGGGAGGAGTGGGTCACCGTAAGCGCGTGTATGTGTGGTGCATAGGTGCTCTTAGAGGGAGCTGCGTACTTCACCCCTACTTCTACTGGCACGCACGCTCCCTCCTGCCCCACCTTCTCCACAAGCTGTGGCATTTGTATGGTGCGTGCTTTCTGTGCGGCAGATGGAAAGCCAGGTTGGAAGTCTGGGATGGGGATGGGTACAGGGCACAGCTCAGGAGCCCGGTGTCTGTCGGGGAGGGCACCCCTGCCTCCACTTGACTGGACAGGCATTTAAAACTTTTGTTAATGTTTATTTATTTTTTGAGAGAGAGAGAGCGAGGAAGCATGTGCAAGGTGGGGGACAGAGAGAGAGTGGGGGACAGAGGATCCAAAGCAGGCTCTGCACTGACAGCAACAAGCCCAATGCGGGGCTCAAGCTCACGAACCATGAGATCATGACCTGGGCTGATGTCAAACACTCAGCTGACTGAGCCACCCACGCTCTCCTAGACAATGCATTTTTATTCAGGGGGTTTGGAAGGGGCCCTCCAGCTGGGAAACTAGAGCCGCTGCTTTTGGGGACCCAAGGACACAGGGCCAATGACACATGCCCGGGCCCTGGTCCTCACACACACTCATGCATGTCCAGTGAGTCAGCCCCAAACACAGATGGTGCTTGTGGTAGAAACCACAGTGCTGCTCTCAGGGGAAGAGAGAGGTGGAGACCCAGCCCTGCCTTCAGGAAATGCCTAACCTGCAGCAAGAGAAGCTAACAGAGGCGGCTCTTTGGGACATTGGGAGGTGGGAGCTGTCCCTCTGAGGAAGCCCTGTGCAGCAGGTGGCATTGGAGCCATAGCTTTGAGCGGGGTTCTCGCCCAGGGACAGTTCTGCCCCCAGGTGACATTTGGCCTGTCTAAACATTTTGGGTTGTCACAACTGGGAGGGGCGGGGGGGGGTGGGGGTGGAGGGGTGTCCAGTGTCCAGTGCTACTGCCACCTAGTGGTCAGAGGCCAGGGATGCCGCTCAGCATCCTGCCGCACACTGGACAGCCCAAGCACAGAGAGTAATCCAGCCCCAAATGTGCACATTTGGGACATTGAGAAACCCTGCTCTGACCAGTCCCCCACCTTTCTTGCCACGGCCTCACCTTGCTGTGTTTGCCCAGAGCACCTCACCTGCCGTCCTTTTACACACAGCCCTAGACACAAGCCTAGCGCTCGCTTCCTGGGGTCCTCAGGAAGGGACAGCAGGCTGGTCGAAGCCAGCGATCAGAGTAGGCACCTTTTAAATCGCCACCTGGCTTTCTCTACCCAGAATCCTCCTGGGTTCCTTTGCATATTACCAGTTGCTGTAGTCCCAGGAATGCAGACTGATTTTAATTGTAATCTGAGCAAAACATAATTAGGGGAAATCTGCTGCTGTGAATGAAGAATTAGTCAGTGCGCCATGATGCCAAATAAAAATGATTTTTGGATTACCTTCTGTTTTGAAAGATCCAGGCCACTCTCCCTGCCATTAGCGGAGATAATCAAGAGCTGACCTTATTTGCAAGGCTCAAGGGCAGACTTCCCCTTCCTCTTTAGAATTAAGACCTACTTAGGGACTCTTAGAGCTTTGGCCCAGTTGCTGCCCAGCCCCACCCAGCTCGACCCCCACCTCCTGCCGTGCAAGCGGCAAGGGGCACAAAGAGGCATCTACAGGTGCTGCTGACGGAGGAACCCACGGGGGGGGGGGGGCGGGTATGGACGCGCACCCCCATAGACCGCGCAGCTGGCCACTCCCTGCCCTCCCGAGTGCCTGCTCTAAATATTCATCAGCCACTGGTGACTTTGTCTGATAGATGCATCCCTCCCTCTACCAGCTCCATCCCTGGGACAGATAGGGATTTCACTACGGGGGCGGGGGTGGTGATAGCGACCTAGACAGTCCGAAGGTACAGGGTACAGCCCGTTCCACTGGCTGGAAGCGTGCCTTTCCCCAGGCTCCACCTTCCCCCCTTCCCTCTCGGGCACCCTGTCCTAGACTTGATGGACAAAAATGACCCAGGCAATTGTGGAAAATACCAATCCCAGGACTTCAGTCTAGACTCACTGACATACACTGTCCAGGGAAGGCGCCTGGGAAGTTCTAAGTGTCTCAGGCAGCCAGGTGATCCTTATCAAGGAAGTTAGGGAAACAGTGCTTGGAGAAAGAGATGGTCAGACTCGAGTGTGCATCAGAATCTCCCAGAGGGCATGTTGCAACACAGGGTCCTGGGCCTGTTGTTGTTGTTTTTTTTTAATGTATACTTTTGAAAGGAAGAGAGGGCAGGGGAAGGGCGAAGAGAGGGGGACAGAGGATCCAAAGCAGGCTCTGTGCCAACAGCAGAGAGCCCGATGCAGGGCTCGAACTCAGGAACCGTAAGATCATGACCCAAGCCGAAGTCGGACGCCTAACCTACTGAGCCACCCAGGCGGCCCCATCCTGGGCCCAGCCTGGTTCTGATTCGGGACATCTGCAGTGGAGCCCCGGGGACTGGCATTTCTAACATGTCCATGGGTAAAGCTGGGGCTGCAGGTTGGGGAAGCTGCCGCGGTCTGATGCAGGCTTCTTCCCCCACACTGCTGACCACCTGGGTCCTTCTGTGGTGGGCGGCTGTCCTGGGTGCTGTAGGATTTTTACCTCCATCCCTGGCCTCTCCCTACCCCCACCCCGAGTTGTGATGACCAGAAATGCCTTCAGGCATTTCCAGATATCTCTGGGGGACAGAAACCGCCCCTGGTTAAAAACTGCTTGGTTAAAGAGCACCAGCACCCATCCTCCCCATCCCTGAGCCCCCACCGGCTAGAAGCACGTGCTCCCCCTCTGGTGTGAACAGCCTGGACCTGAACCCCCACAACCTCCCTGGGGCCAGAGACGCTCAGGACTCTGCTGACCCCTGCTGCCCCAAGTCCACAGACCAGCAGCATCTGGAGCTTGTTGGAAATGGAGAATCTCACGTCCCGGGATGTGGAATGTGACCACGTGGGAAGCCCTTGCTCCCTGCTTCAGAGCAGTCGCCAACTAACATCTGTTGAACGTGCACTTTGTGTTAGCTCACTGCTTCTCTCATGTGGCTGCATTTGGAAGAGCTTTTTAAATAATGCTGATGGTGCAGGGCGCCTGGGTGGCTCAATCGGCAAAGAGTCCGACTTTACCTCAGGTTGTGATCTCACAGTTCGTGGGTTTGAGCCCCGCGTCGGGCTCTGTGCTGACAGCTCAGAGCCTGGAGCCTGCCTCCAATTCTGTGTCTCCCTCTCTCTCTGGCCCTTCCCCTGCTTGTACTCACTCTCTCACTCTCGCTCTCTCACTCTCAAATAAATTAACTTAAAAAAAAAAAAAAGTGCTGGTGGCACTTTAAGGTGCTTCATTTTATGTTATGTAGGTTTTATCTCAATAAAAAAAAATACTGGTGGGCGTGGCCCGAGCATGAGGAACTTTTGGGCTCCCAGGTGTTTGTGACATGCAGCCAAGTGTGAGAAGCGCCTTGTGAGGTGTCTGGCCTGTTTTATGGCATTTTATTCTTGCACGGTTACTGCCAGTGCTCGTAGGTCCCTGATTGCAGATGTTGAAACTGAGGCTTGCAGAGGTTGGAAAGCCTCAGCCAAGGTCATGAGTAAAATGCGTCACTGGGATTTGAACCTGGGTCTCTGAGTCTCAGGGCCTGTGCCCTCAGCCTACTCACGAGGCAGGCTCCCCAGTGCCTTGGTGCACCCTGACAGTGTCCTCTGTGGCGGTGCTGTGTCCTGGAGTGGACGTGGCAGCCATTGCAGAGGGAGGGTGGCTGGTCTGTGTGCACATCTCACATCTGATGCTGGGAGCCGGACGTCCTGATGGCCCCGGGACTGGAAACACGGCCAGCAGTGAAGCCCGCCCGAGCCACGCTGGTGTGCTCCAGTCCCCGCGATGCCTGCGATCAAGACTGGCGCGGCTCCCGCTCCCTGAGAAGCCCCCGCACCTCAGCCAGTACAGTGTCTGGTTGTGACAGGCAACCGTGTTCTGACTCGTCCCCTCCCCCCTCTCTCCCACAGTATTCCCCCAGCATGAGGGCCACCTACCTGTCCGTGGCAGATGAGCACCTGAGGCACTACGGGAACGAGTTTCCAGCCTAACACACATTCTGCACAGGTTCCTGCCTCCTTGATCTGTTTTGGTTTTTAATTGATGGCAGCGCAAGCCATTTCTTCGATAGAAACCAAAGGCGTCTGGAGACTGGACGCAGGACCACGGGATTGGCAGGCCCCTGAGGCTGCAGAGGGGCAGCAGCGATTCGGGGAGGGTCAGCCTGGGCTCGGCTGCGATGCCTGGGCCTTTGAAGACCCGTGACTTGGGCCAGCCCCTCCTTCCTCTGGCCTCCTGTCCACACCGGAAACGCCCGCAGGTGTTTGGCTGAGTCCAAGCATGGAGCCTGGTCCTGCTCACCCCCACATCCCCCCCGCGCCAGGTGGGGAGTGGCCGTAAGGAGGGTCAGGCGTCACCACCTGAGTGCTGTGTGTTCTCCTAGGTCTCATTGCCAGGACCGTGCCTCCTGCTAACACGGCCGGAAGTCCGGGTGACCACCCCGAGTCCCTCTGCCCTCTCGGCTGTGTGGCTGATGGGCAGCATTTTCCTGCGGGTAAAAGTGGAAGAGCTGATCAGGAGATGCCTTTAGGGGAGGCGATGTCTCTGATGAGACAAGACACTGTCCAAATCAGTCCCCCGGAGCCACCAGACGGACTCTCCCTGGACCACAGAGGGAAGGTGTTGGAGAGGCTGTGTGGTGGGTGGTCCCAGGACTGGGGGCCACAGCTTCACCCCTGGTCAGCTTCCATGGTGAGAGCTGGTGCGAGTGTGGGTTAACGGCAGCCACACTCTGCCCCTCCCTTGTCCCTCCCTTCCAGAAGCGATGCTGTGAGTTTGTTCCCTGCAGATAGGGACAGTCTCAGGTATTAATAGACACTTTGAAAGCGACATTAACTCTTTTTTTTCCCCCAGTGTTTTAAATATTTTCATTATCCAAAGAATTGAAGCTCATAGCACATCCGGTTTTTACAATAGACTTGGGACTCATTCCTTACTCCTGGCTCCAGTTCTTTAAGCATCTGGAGAGAGGCACGGAGGGAGGGAGGGTTTTTAAACAAAGTACAGATCAGTGAGACGTGCTGTCCCAAGCTGCTGCTTCATGGGGATGTAGGTTCAATCCCACTCACGGAGGAGGCCCTTTAAGACAGGAAGGAAGTGAAGGGAGACAGCTGAACAGAGTCCCCTGTTCCGGGGAATGCCCCTCACTTTTGTCTTCGAGCAAGTTCGTGGTAAAAGGTTTTAGCCAAATGAGATGATTATGTCTTGACCAGAGACAGGCCTCTTCTCTAATCCCCGCCCCCCCCCCCCCCCCCCCCCCGCCAGCCTCGTACCCACCCCGTTGTCCTGGGCCCCTGAAGCTGTACCTGCTCGGTGAGAAGGAGCTTGTTGGCCAGGAGGAAATGATGACCCACCATCCTGCCTGCTGAGGATCCAGGGTTAGGGTCTCTGGTGCTTCTAATCTCCTGTCAACTCAGAGTGCACAGCACTGAAGCCCCCACAGCCTTGCCCACCCAAAGCCAGGGACGTGGGGAGGCCTGGCTTGCAACAGGGGCTCCATTTACATTTGGAGAGAGCCACTTTCCCATCCAAACACTCACAGCAGAGTGGCTCTCGGCGCCCAGCCCAAGCCTCTAGGACAGAACAGAGCCACAGGGCAGCAAGGACTTAGCTGCGTTAACCTATACATACCGTGTACCATAAACGTATCTGTGTATAGCCACGTCGCATGCAGTAGGATCTCGGCGACGTCAAGATGTAGCTTCTTAACATTTTGTGGTTGACGACTATTGAGTTGTTTTTAATGCATGTAAACTAAACTAGAATCCTTCGGGTGGTTCCTGAAGGAGCCGGGTGGGCACACCTCTGCTTGATACATGTGCGCCCTCACCTGGGGAGAAATAAACCACTTGTACTAAACTATGCACTCCGTCTAACTTCCTCTAGTGAACGCTCCCTTCCTTCCGGCTGGGTATTGGTGGGGAGAGCTTCTCGGCAGATTGCAGTGACTTCAATGCAAGGATTGAAAGACAGGACTATTGAATGTCACAGACCTCTAGTGTGGCCTCCAGCTACTCTTCAGGACCAAGGACAGACCTTGTTTCCTCCTCCCCCAGCTTGCCTTTCTCCCAAGTTCCCCCTGAAATCCAACGCTCTTAATGTTGCTAGTAATAAGGAGTAGCATTTATTGAACACCTGCAGTGTACTGTGGACTGTAGTTAGTGAATTGTTCATTAAACTTCATGATGACCCTGTGAGGTCATTTGTTTTGCAGATAAGCCAACAGGTGCAGAGAGAGTAAGGACTTGGAGCAAGTGGTAGATCCTGGGTGTCTAACCCAGAGCCCAAGCTGAGCACCTCTGGACAATATTTTGGGGCTGGAGGGGAGGGAGCTGTGCTCACAATGGACTGCCTCCCCCAGGTGAGGCAAGTGAGGCTGATGCCTCCCCCAGCTTTGCAGTGGGTCCTTGCTGCACTCTGTGCATAAACTCTGTCTCCGGGGGGGACCTCTCTGGGCTGGGTCACTGAGATGCACTGCACCCTTCATGTAGGGCAGACTCCAGCTCTCTGCCCATGGCCCTGTGCCACTGTTTACTCTTGTGTGCAGTAGCTGTGCTCCCAGAAGTGATTGCATTTCAGGGAACTTCCTGAAGGGAGCAGCTTATGCATCCCTGGGGAGCACTTGAGGTGTGACCCAGAGGTCTCTGTTCCACGGAACATGCCAGGCTCAGAACCTGCATCCCTCAAAGCTGAGCACCAGAACTAGGGCGTTTCTCAAGTCAGAATGTCCCTCCCCGCCTCCCCGATGGAGCAGGCACCCTTCTCCCTCGTCTCAGGAAACCAAGAGCTGTGGGGGACAGGCTTGAACCAATGGAGAAACCAATCTGATTTTTCTAAAAGAGAGGGAGAGCACACAAGAGCGAGCAGGGGAGGGGAAGAGAGAGGGGGAGACAGAGAATCCTAAGCAAGCTCTGTGCTGCCAGTGCAGAGCCCCATGTGGGGCTCGATCCCACAAACCATGAGATTATGACCTGAGCTGAAATCAAGAGTCAGATGCTCAACCGACTGAGCCACCCAGGCACCCCCGATCTTTTTTTAAAGGTAACTGCAGTTCGACACTCAAATGAGATTCACTTCAGGGGCTTTCATTGTCTCTAGGAGCTGCAGGGGACCTGGCTATAGGCAGGCTGTGAATGAAGTAGGAAGGAGGCCACGTGGGAATGCACAAGCTGAGGGTGGTTTGGGTCCCCAGGTGTGTCACCCCCTCACCCCCACATTCCTGTCTTGGTCTGCACCAATCTCTCACCCAAGGGAAAAGGGTGGGGTGAGTGGCCCTCTGTGCCAAGCACGCCAATGTTTAACCTGCTGGCCCACCAGCTCAGCCCTGCTATTTCCAAGCACCTCTGAACAGCCCTGACCCCAGACCCAGGGACCTGCTCCCAGAAAGAAAGTGATGAACATCAGGCCCCTCTGTGAAGGGAGCCTCAGCCAGGAACAGGTGTGCATTTGAGTCTGTTGTTCAGGGCCAACTTACCCATGTGGAGCAGTGACAGAGGGGTCTTTTCTCCAAAGCTGACTCACCTCCAGTAGCCCTACATTGTGCTGTGCTGTGCTTCCCCCCCTCCAAAGCTGTGAGGTCTCCTGTTTCAAAGGAGTGGGGGCAATATCACTGCCTCTAGGCTCTAAAGTGCTAGTGGAGCAGTCAGCACTCAAGAGGCCTTGTGTGCCCACTGACAGATAGACCCAGATCAGGAGAATTTACCTTCCTTTCTTCTCCCTTTCACATTTCAATTTCCCCATTCAAAAATGCATTGATAGGGGCGCCTGGGTGGCTCAGTTGGTTAAGCATCCGACTTCGGCTCAGGTCAGATCTCATGGTTCATGGGTTCGAGCCCCACATCAGGCTCTGTGCTGACAGCTCAGAGCCTGGAGCCTGTTTCTGATTCTGTGTCTTCCTCTCTCTCTGCCCCTCCCCCACTCATGCTCTGTCTCTCTCTGTCTCAAAAATAAATAAACTATTTTAAAAAATGCATTGATAGCTTAGCACAGGAGCCAGGAAACTACCTCCCATGAGCCTAGTCTGATCTGTTGCCATGTATGGCCTGTGAGTATAGTTTGTATAATTTTAATGGCTTTTAAAAAAATCAAATATTTGCAACTGATTTTGACAGCAGAGAATACCAATCCTGAGCCTCAGTGAAACAAGGTGTTGTCCCCCCTGCAGAGAATTTCATTCTCATTAATTGTCCCGTATTACAGAAAAATTATGCTCAGCATAATATTTTGAATTTCATTAATCAAAAGATGGGTGGGAATTGTTTTCTCATGATATAAGTATCTACAAAATGGCTTTGATTTTGTGTCTTAACCTGCAGCCTAAAATACTTACTATCTCTTAAACTAGTTTATAGTTTGCTCACCCCTGGCCTAAGCGCATCACTTTCTATAAATTCTGGGGCTACAGAAGTCTCTAAGGCAATTATGGCCTTGACTTCATAGAGTTTACAAATAGGCAAGGCTTCCTGATTCATAGATGGTGCCTTTTCTCTGTTCTAACATGTAGAAGGGGCTAGGGAGTCCTGCGGAGTCTCTTTTATAAGGCACTAATCCCATTCGTGACAGCTCCACCATCCTCATGACTAATCACTTCCCAAAAGCCTCACCTCCAAATACCATCACATTGAGCATTAGGATGTCAACATATAAATTTAGGGAGGACATAAACATTCCAACCATAATAAGGGTATATGGGAACTCTATACCATCTTTACAACTTTTCTGTCAATAAAAATTAACGGTGAAAAATCTGAAAATGAAATTTAAAAAGCAATTATGTTTACAATAGTATCCCCCCCAAAAGCCCTTAGGAATTAGCCAAAGAAATGAAAGTCTTGTATAATGAAATCTACAAAACATTGCTGAAAGAAATTAAAGAAAAATGGAAAGACATCCTATGTTCAAGGATTGGAAGACTTCATATTGTTGAGATGTCACTACTACCCAAAGTAATCTACAGATTCAGCACAACCCCTATTGAAAATGACATTTTTTTGGAGAAATAGAAAAACCCACCCTAAAAATCCATATGGAATCTCATCAGGCTCCAAATAAGCAAAAGAGTATTGAAAAAGAAGAACACAAATGGAGGACTCCCACTTCTGATTTCAAAACTTACTGCAAAACCGCAATAATTAAAAGAGAGTGATATATGTAAACGAACTTGACAATAAACTATAAAGAAAATTAAAAAAAGTAATAAAAGAGTGATGCTGGCATAACACCAGACATAGAGACCAACAGAGTAACATAGAATCCAGAAATAAACTCTCACGTGTGGTCAAATGATTTTCAACAAAGAGGTCAAGGTAACTCAATGGGGAAAGGACAATCTTTTCAACAAACAGTGCTGGAGAAACTGGATATTCAGGTTGCCTGGGTGGCTCAGTCAGTTGAGCAACCAACTCTTGATTTTGGCTCAGGTCATGATCTCACAGTTTGCAAGATCAAGCCCCACATTGGGCTCTGTGCACTGATGGCACACAGCCTATTTGGGATTCTCTCTCTCCCTCTCCCTCTCCCTCTCTCTCCCTCTCTCTCTCTCCCCCTCCTCTTGCTCTCTCTCTTTCAAAACAAATAAATAAACTTTAAAAAAATACTGGATATCCACATGGAGAAGAATTAAGTTGGTCTCTTACCTAACAACAAATACAAAAATTAGCTCAAAATGGATCAAAGACCTCAAAATAAGACCTAAAGCTATAAAACCCTTAGAATAAAGCATAGGGTAAAAGCTTCACAACATCAGACGTGGCAATGATTTCTGGAGCATGACCCTAAAGGCGTGAACAATGAAAGAAAAAATAGACAAGTTGGATTCTTAACAAAAATTTTTTCAGTAATGTTTATTTATGAGAGAGAGAGAGCAAGGAGGGGTGGGGCAGATAGACGAAGAAGACACAGAATCCGAAGCAGTCTCCAGGCTCTGAGCTGTCATCACAGAGCCCGATGAGGGGTAGAGCTCATGAACCGTAAGATCATGACCTGAGCTAAAGTCAGGCGCTTAACCAACTGAGCTACTCAGGCACTCCTAATTCACAAGAAATTTTTTAATTGGAGGCCTCAAAAGACACTATCGACAGAGCAAAAAGACAGCCCAGAAAATGGGAGAAAATATTTGCAAATCATGTATCTGATAAGGGATTAATATCCAGAATATATAAAGCACTCCTACAATAACAAAATAAAACTTGATTCAAAACTGGACAAAGGACTTGAGTAGACATTTCTTCAAAGAAGACACACAAATGGCCAAGAAGCACATAAAAAAATGTTCACTATCACAATTGCTGGGGAAATAGGAGGCAAAGCTATAGTAAAGTACCACCTCACATCCATTAGGATGGCTACTATCAAGAAACAGGACAGAACAACTGTTGGAAAGGATATGGAGAAGTTGAAACCCTTGTGCTCTATCAGTGGGAATGCAAAATGGTGCAGCTGCTGCAGAGAACAGAATGGTGGCTCTTGAAAAAATTAAAAATCAATTCTATTAAGTAGATAAAATTACCTTTGAATCCAGCAATTCTCCTTCCCAAAGATTTGAAAGCACGGTTTCTTTTTAAGATTTTATTTTTAAGTAATCTCTGCACCCAACATGGGGCTCAAACTCACAATCCCGAGACCAAGAGTCACAAGCTCCACCGACTGAGCCAGTCAGGGGCCCCAAAAGCACACTTTTGAAGAGATTTCCTACATCCATGTTCACAGCACCATTATTCACAATAGTAAAAAGTAGAAGCAACCCTAGTGTCCATCCATGGATGCAAACAAAATGCAGTGTATATGTGCAATGGAATATTACTCAGTCTTAAAAAGGAAGAAAATTCTTTTTTTTTTAAAGTCTGTTTATTTCTTTTGAGAGAGAGTGCAAGTGAGGGAGGGGAAGAGAGAGAATTCCAAGCAGTCTCTGTACTGTCAGCACAGAGCCAGATGCAGGGCTCGATCTCACAAACTGTGAGATCGTGACCTGAGCCGAAGTCAGATGCCTAACCGGCTGAGCCACCCAGGCGCCCCAAAAAGGAAGAGAATTCTGACACGGGCTACAACAAGGCTGAACCTTACAGACATTATGCTGAGTGATATAAGCCAGTCACAAAAAGACAATGTGTGATTCCACTTCTATGAGGTACTAAGAGGAGTCAAAATCAGAGAGATGGAAAGTAGGATTGTGGGTGCCAGGAGGTGGGGGAGGGGAAATGAGGAGTTACTGTTGAATGGGTACAGAGTTTCAGTTATGCAAGATGAAAAAGCTCTGGAGATGGATGGTGGTAATGGCGGCCCAGCACTACCAGTGGACTTAATGCCGCTGAACTACACTCTTCAATATGGTTAAGGTTACATTTTGTGTTCTGCGTATCTTACCACAATAAAAAAACAACTGGAAAAAGAATAGGTGGGCATAGACAGAAGCGCAATGGATCGTGGACTGGCCTAAGAGGGGCAGGGCAGGGGGCTGCCTTCAGCAAAAAATCTCAGTAGCCCATTCCCTTCAGCTCATTGGGCAGAGATCAGAGAGACATTGAAAATTGTTTTTAACGGGATCCCTGTGCAAACTCCTAATTATACGACATCAGGCTGGCTTCCCAGCGCGGCTGAGACAGACCCGCCAAGGGGTGACGGCTGTTTTGCCAGAGAACAGGGGTGCCCAAGGCTGCTAGCAGCAATGGAGACCTTCTGAGTGCAGGGGTGGGGGTGGGGGGAACCTGTAATAAATCATTGCAGCCCCATGAGAAAGGTGAGTACAGGTTATCTTTCAACTTTTCCTATTTCTCCTTCTTTCCTACTCACCGTCCCCACTTCCCCACCCAGGGAATAACATGTGCACAGAGGGTCTCGACTTTCCAGGGCTGGGGGGCGGGGGGAGGTGGATGTCTGTTTCCAGCCCCAACCAGCCGGTGCTCCATTGTGGAGCCGATCTGTTTCTTCTGGACGCTTCGTACGGGTCTGACGTGCCTCTGAGCACACAAAGCCAGTTCAGTGGGGCTTTCAGACGCTCCTGCACCCAGCCCCCAGCAACACCCTCAGCGCCCACCCCAAGGAAGCCCTTTGCTTAGAGACGCTGGTGGGAGCAAGAGCCAAGGGATGGGGGTTGGTGGCAGCCACAGCCGTCACTGTGGGGCTTGTTAGTATGTTTGAGCCAAGTGCCATCGTGCTGGGAATTCTGTTGCACCTGCCCTGTTAAAGGCAATGGTGAAGACACACTTTTGGAGAAGTCGGGGAGCCAGAGTGGGGGAACATGTGCTTTCTTCCTGTAATGTGACAGCTCCAAAAACCCACAGGGAGTTGTCTAGGTGCCTCAGCCTGCCTCTCAGGACACCCCACAAACTGGCCCCAGCTGACCTTTGCAAATTCCCCTCTGATTTCCTCCCCTACAGGGACTGTCAACCCGTGCCACAAGGAGGCATCAACCTCCCCAAAATGTCTTCCTTCCATCACAAATAACCCTCCCTTGCATACACCATGTCCTCCTCCAATCTGGAATGCCCACGCCTCCCCCGCAACTCCTCACCTTTTTCAAGGCCAGTTCCAACCCCAAATCCCACTTTTGGGCTGACATATCCCATCTCCCGCTGTCCGGATCTCCAGCACTCACCCCTAAACCTGGTTAGCCTGATTCCCGGAGACGGGAAGTACAGAGCTGACCTGTGTTAGGGGGCAGACTGCCGTCAGCACAGGGTGGGCACCTTGCTGTGTTGTCTCCGTCCTGCCTCCCAGCTCCGTCACTGTCCCCCCAACTTTGCAGATGAAAAAGGTTGAGTCTTGGGGCGCTTGCGTGGCTCGGTTGCTTGAGCGTCCAACTTCGGCTCAGGTCAAGACCTCACAGTCCTTGAGTTCAACCCCCTCATGGGCTGTCTGTTGTCAGGAAGGAACCCACTTTGGAATCCTATGCCCCCCCACTTTCTGTCTGTCCCCTGCTCATATGCCCTCTCTTTCTCTCTTTCAAAAACAAGTAAACATTTTTTAAAAAAAAATTAAGAAGGTTGAATCCTAGGGGCGCCTGGGTGGCTCAGTCGGATAAACGTCCGACTTCAGCTCAGGTCATGATCTCATAGTTTGTGGGTTTGAGCCCTGCGTTGGGCTCTGTGCTGCCAGGTCAGAGCCCGGAGCCTGCTTCAGATTCTGTGTTTCCCTCTGTCTCTGACCCTCCCCTGCTCGCATTCTGTCTCTCTCTCTCTCAAAAATAAATAAACATTTGGGGCGCCTGGGTGGCTTAGTCAGTTAAGCGTCCGACTTTCGCTTAGGTCATGAACTCGCGGTTCGTGGGTTCGAGCCCCGCGTCGGGCCCTGTGCTGACTGCCAGCTCAGAGCCTGGAGCCTGTTTCAGTCTGTGACTCCCTCTCTTTCTGACCCTCCCCTGTCATGCTGTCTCTCTCTCTCTCCTGGAAATAAATAAAACATTTAAAAAATAAATAAATAAATAAACAAACATTTAAAAAACAAAAATAAAATAAAATAATAAAGAAGGTTGAGTCTTAGAAAGTAACTCTCTCAGGGTCATACGATCAGTAAATGGCCCAGCTGGGATTCAAACCCATGCCTGCTAGCCCCCCATCCCCGGATCCCCGTTTATATTATCTTGCCTCATTCCTTAACCCCAGGAGACACTTCATCCTATTCATTCATGCATTCAGTGAACACTTACTCCATGTTTACAACCACCAGATAAGCTGCGGAAACACCCAGCTCCCACTTTCCGGGAGGGGACTGTTGGTGCGGTCAAGCTTGGTTATTCCACGATGTCCCCGGGATATGGGAGCACAGGGACTGGGCGGGTTTAATTCCCAGTGAGTGGTTGAGGAACCCGACGGAAGGGACAGTAAGACAACCCGGCATCACCAACCAGGGCGCGGGGCTTCCGAGGCCCTGCCTACAATAATTTGCACTGTAGGCATCTTACCCCACGCATTTTTTGTAGACACGGATACGCACCTCGGCAGAGGTGCTACAAACGTTTATTATTACCAGCGTTCGATTCACTTGGTTAATCTTTCTCCTGACTCTGGGGACTTCCACTAGAGGAAGTGCTTCGGCCGCAGCGGGACGGGCCGTCACGTGCTCTGGGGAGCCGTCCGGCGCCGCGTCCCCGCCCATCCGGGGTTGCTAGGCAACGGGTAAACTTCCTACCTCGGAGCCGTTGAGAAGCGCGGCGGCGGTGGCTCAGGTGCTGCCCCTGCGGCCAGGAGGCGACGCGAGCGGACCGAGGGTAAGGGCGCGGGCCGGGAGGAGTCCAAGGCTGAAGAGGAGGAGAGGAGAGTGAAGCGGGGAGCCCCCAGGTTAATAATCAGCGACAGTGCAAGAAACTCTTCCTGCGGGCGGCCTTCTGGGATAGCTCTGCGGGAGGATGGCTGGCCAGGTGTCCGGACCCCATTCGTCCTGGCTGCCAGCAGTACTCCCGACTCTCAGGTCCCCGCAGGTTCTGGTCATCTTGCCTCCAAATCCCGTGCCCCCCGTCAGTCTGGTCTGATCCGCCAGTCTCCTGAAGGGGCGGAGACCTCTAAAGGGTTCGCAGCTGGCTGGTGGGAAGGTACAGGCTGGGCTGAACTGGAGGGAGGTGGGCTTTCTTCTAAGTAAAGGAGGGAAGGGAATTCAAAATTACTGAGCACCGACTAGGCTGCAGGTACCCTAAAGTGCATGATTTTACTTACTCCGCAACCTGAGGGGGACATTTATTTTTCAGTTTATTTTGAGAGAGAGAGAGATAGGAAACGAACAGGGAAGAGGCAGAGAGAGGGGGAGACAGAATCCCAAGCAGGCTCTGTGCTGTCAGCACAGAGACGGATGCAGGGTTCAAACCCACAAACCGTGAGACCATGACCTGAGCCGAGATCAAGAGTCAGATGCTTAAACAGCTGGGCCACCCAGGCGCCCCTTATGCCCCCTGGGATACCACGCTCAAGGTCACATGCTTAGTTTCACCTTCCTGCAACACGTTCACATGCCTGGAGCTCACCGCGGGGGGACCCCAGGGTGCCTAGGAGTACCTGGTGGGATGTCCTGGTGGGGGTGGGGTGGATTCCTAGAAGATGCACTTTTTCCAGAAGATGCATAAAACGACAGAAGAAAGAAGGAAGGAAGCTCTCTACCTGCGTTCCTCTGCCCAGCTAGGTGCCACACAGAGGCCATCAGTCCTGGGCACACAGACTGGGGGCTGCCCCAGGGACCACGAAGAAGAGAAAAATGTTCTTGTGTTTATATTGCGTGGAGTCCAGAGCTGAGGGAAAGCAAGCCACCTTCCTCTTGCCTCCCCCTAAGCTCCCAAACAGCTTCTCCGTCCCCATGGCTCCCTTAGCCTCACCCCAAGCTTGGAAAACACACTTTCTCTTAAGTTGAGGGAAGTTCTTTCCAGGAATCGCTTTGCACCTTATCATTGCGCAAGGGGAGTTTTTATAGCTAGTGGAGGTCCCAGGCCGACCGTTCTGGGATGCAGGTTCCACGGTCACACCAGCACATCCCCAGCCAGACATGCTTTTGTGTTTGGGACTCACTGCAGAGTCCCGCTTGCCCCTGGGTCTCTAGGTTCCCACGGGGGGGGGGGGGGGGGCCTTCCCAAACTCCTGAAAGGCAGCAGTACTGCCCCCGCCTCCCTCGGAAGCCCCCCCACCCCGCCCCCGCAGGCGGGGAAAGCCCAGCCCATGGCATCTGTCTCACCAGGGCAGGGAGAGACCCCCTGGAGACCTCCGCTCTGACCTCGCTATTCATCTTCGGGCCCTGCCAGCTTGGGAGAAAAAGCTTGCTCTGGGTGCCTGAATGAGCTGTCTTCCCGTCACCGGGCCAGCCTTTAAATGTCCCCTCTGTCTGCCTCCGGATAGAAAACAATGCCCCCGTTCTCACTCCTGCTTTGGCCTTGGGAGGCACCAAGGAGGAAAGCAAAGCTGTTTCAAGTACGATCTGGGCTAAAGAGACTATTTTTGCCACCCCTGGAGTTTCCACACGCTCTTAATCCTCCTTGTGTCCGCAGAGAACTGGCTTTTTCAGCAAGTGTCTTTTACTGAGGAAGAGACAGGCAGCCCCTCACTGTGGGGGCCCAGGAGCCGTGCTGTGGCCCCTTGACAGTGCACCGGCGAAGGCGAGAATCGACTATCTTTTTCACAAGGCCCTATCCTTGCCCATGTAGAAGGGCCACACTGGGGCAGCCTCCTGCAGTTTATGTTTCCGTCCCCGCCCTCTGCTCTCCGAGCCATGGCCTCTACCTTTCCTGGGTTTCCAAAGCAGGAGGAAGAGCAGGAAATCTGCTTTCTGGGAGTCTGAGTCAGGTTGAGCTGCTCTGGGGCTGGGCACGGGCTGGGATGGTGCTGCGCTCAAGGGACAATGGATGTGGATGCAAAGGGACCTAAGAGTTAACTCTCCATCGTCACCCCCGGGCTCCTGCCCCAGTTGCTCCAAGGCCCAAAGGCCACTCCAGGCAACTGCTTCTGAGCTGTCACAATAGCTCTGCCCCTGGGTCTCAGGGGCCAGTAGCCAGGGCCCACTGGTCTGGTACCTTGCGGCCTTGGAGGTAAGAGAAGGCAAATTAGACACAGGTCTGGCCATTACATTCACCAGCGGGGGGGGGCGGGGGGGGTGGTATTGTGAAAAACACAAATTGCCAGGCCCCGCCCTAGACACACAGTCCACATTTGCAAGAGGGGGGCTGGGAACCTCCGTGTTTTGAATGATCGTCCCAGATTTGAGATATGCTAGCTGAGAAATTAAGATCCTTCACTTTATTTTTTTTTTTAATTTTTTTTAATGTTTTATTTATTTCCAGGAGAGAGAGACAGCGTGAGCAGGGGAGGGTCAGAGAGAGAGGGAGTCACAGACTGAAACAGGCTCCAGGCTCTGAGCTGGCAGTCAGCACAGAGCCCGACGCGGGGCCCGAACCCACGAACCGCGAGATCATGACCTAAGCGAAAGTCGGACGCTTAACCGACTAAGCCACCCAGGCGCCCCAAGATCCTTCACTTTAAATCGGTGCTTCTCAACCTTGGCGGCACGCTGGAATTCCCCAGGGCGTTCAAACCCTTCTGCTGAGAGATTCTGATTTCTTTTGTCTGCAGTTTAACCTGAGGGTTGTGATTTTATAAAGCCCTCCAGGAGTCTCAAACCCTGTAGCCAAGGTTAAGAATCACTGCTGTAGAGCCAGGCGTGTCTGGGCCCCGGCTCTGCCTCAGCTTAAGAACCATGACCTCTGACAAGGGATTTAAGCTCTCTGGGCATCGGTTTCTTCATATGTAGAATGAGAATTGTGAGTTTTTTGGTGGGGGGGGGGTGCTGTGGGGGGCACACAGTGAAAGAACCTCTAAACCGCTGTCCATAGTGCCCGGGACCCTGCAAGCCTCCTTATTTCTGGATGCAAGTCCTTTATCAGACACAATTTGCAAATATTTTCTCCAAGTCTGCAGCTTGTCTTTTCATTTTCTCAATGTTATCTTTTGAGGTAACATCCAACTCAAAAGAAGTCCAATTTATCATTGTTTTTGCTTTTACGGACCATACTTCTGATGCCCTGCCTAGGGAATCTGCCCTATCAGCATCACGAAGATTTCCCTCTACGTTCCTCCCCCTTAGTTTTCGCTCTTACGCTGATGCCTGAGATCCATTTTGCGTTGATTTGTGTGTGTGGCGTGAGGTAGGGGGTCCTTGGTCATTCTTTCGCATGGGAACGTCCAGGTGGCCCTGCACTGTTTGTTGAAGAGACCATCATTTCTCCAATAAGCTGCCTTAGTGCCTTTTTCAAAAGTCAGTTGGCTATAAATATAAGTCTATCTCTGAGCTCTCAACGCCATTGCATAGATACATATGGCTATTCTGATGCCACTGCCACGCTTTCTTGATTACTCAGCATTAAGTAAATGTTTGCCAAAAGAGTAAGTGAAGGGGCGCCTGGGTGGCTTAGTCAGTTAAGTGGCCGACTTTCACTTAGGTCGTGATCTCGTGGTTCGTGGGTTCGAGCCCCACGTCAGGCTCTGTGCTGACTGCCAGCTCAGAGCCTGGAGCCTGTTTCAGTCTGTGACTCCCTCTCTCTCTGACCCTCCCCTGCTCACGCTGTCTCTCTCTCCTAGAAATAAATAAAACATTAAAAAAAAATTAAAAAAAAAAGAAAAAAAGAGTAAGTGAAATAAGGGAAACTAAACGATCGTCCAAAAGGCCTCCCACCCCTTCCCAGAGTTCTAGGTTACTGGGCACTCCCCTTCACCGCTCCTGAGGGTCCCCCACGGGAGACTCTCTCCTCTACATCACTCTGACCTCAGTGGGGCTGGGGGTCCGCCTGAGAAGGGGAGAGAGCCGGACCACTTCCTCAACAGGCAGAATAGTTGGGTCTCTGAAAGACTGGTGGGGCAGAGCACAGTGGGGAATCAGAAAGTGGGCTGGGCTGGGCACTGACTTCAAGTCCTGGGCCTGCCACTTGCCAGCAGCTTGACCATGGCTGGGCCACTCTCTCTGCCCCTCTCCAGCTTGTCCTCTCTCTCTCTCCCAAAATAAATAAATAAACTTAAAAAAATCTAATTACAGAGACTTTTAAAAATTTTTTTAATGTTTATTTCTTTTTGAGAGAGAGACACACACAACGTGCGAGCAGGGGAGGGGCAGAGAGAGAAGGAGGGAGACACAGGACCTGAAGCAGGCTCCAGGCTCTGAGCTGTCAGCCCAGAGCACGTAGCAGGGCTTGAACCCACGAACTGTGAGATCGTGACCTGGGCAGAGATCAAGAGTTGGACGTTTAACCGGCTGTGCCACCCAGGCGCCCCAATAAATGATTTTTTGTTTATTTATTTTGAGAGAGAACACACATGATAGGGGCAGAGAGAAAAGGAGAGAGAGAATCCCAAGCTGGCTCTGCAGTGTCAGCACCCAATGCCGGGCTCGAACTCACTGAGATCATGACCTGAGCTGAAATCAAGAGTCAGATGCTCAACTGGCTGAGCCACCCAGGCACCCCAAGAAATGATTTTTTAAAAGTGCCGATGCAGCTTCTGAGCAAATCCCCTAGGACCCTTCCCTGCTACCTGACCGGGAACCTGGAAGCTGCCCCCAACCTGGGGAAGCAGCAGGTGGGGTCCCTTGCGACACACCCTCTCTCTCTGCCCCTGCAGCCACCGGCACCATGGAGATCGTGTACGTGTACGTCAAGAGGCGAAGCGAGTTCGGGAAGCAGTGCAACTTCTCCGACCGCCAGGCCGAGCTGAACATCAACATCCTGCCCAACCCCGAGCTGGCCGAGCAGTTTGTGGAGCGCAACCCCGTGGACACGGGCACCCAGTGCTCCACCAGCATGTCGGAGCATGAGGTGGGTCCCTGGCCCCGGGCCTGAGCCAATGAAGGTCTGGTCTGGCAGGGTGGCCGGCCAGGGTGCTCAGTGGGACTGGGTGGCGCCATCTGGGTGACCGGAAGCCAGTTAGAGCGGCCCAGGGCGAATGCTGGAAGTATGGGGGCAGAACCGCCCCACAACCCACCACGGTGCAGGGGGGGCAGAAGCGCCACCACCAGCCACTGCCTGGGCCGGGGGAAGGGGAATCAAGGTGTCTTCTCTCCCATGGGGTCTGGTCTCACCTCTAAGCCATCTTAGGCATGTGGTACAGCAGGAGAGAGGTATCCTGAGGGGGCAGGGATTCAGATCTGCAGGCACCTGCCCGGAGGGTGGAAAGGAAAGGGTGCCATGGAAAGTTCTGGTCCGAGGGCCTGCGTGACAGGAGAACTGAGCGCGGTGCCGCAGTCGGAGCTCCCTGCCTGTCTAGAGCGGGCGATCCGCCTTGGATTATGCCAGGCACCGTGGAGACAAAACTAGTTTGAGGGAGAGAAGGACCCAGTTGGTCATGTCCCAAATCATCCGAGTGAAAATCACACTTGATTTGGCCAAAACACTTTGTGGGATGTTCCAGTAACTCACGGTTCAAACACGCTGAGTCTCTTGCTCTCCCGGAGCTAATGGCTGTCACAGGGCTGGGCCATTTTGTCCACAGCGTAACCAACTCAACAGAATGGCCACCGTGAAGGCCACACGTGTTAGGGTCTGCTGCCAGCAGCCATCCTGGGGCAACACAGAGCTTTCAGGAGCACTGGCTTAGAAAGGAAATGAGGAGGGGAGTGACTGCTTAATGGCTTTGGGGTCTAGACCCACTTGGGGTGATGAAAAAGTTCTGGAACTAGGTGGTGGAGATGGTTGTATAACCGTATGAATGTCCTTGATGCCACAGAACAGTACATTTTTAAATGGGTAAAATAGGAAATTTTATGTCTTTTACCACATTTAAAAAAATTTTTTTAATGTTTATTTGTTATTGAGATGGAGAGAAACAGAACATGAATGGGGAGGGGCAGAGAGAGAGAAGGAGACACAGAATCTGAAGCAGGCTCCAGGCTCTGAGCTGTCAGCACAGAGCCCAATGTGGGGCTCGAACCCACAAACCATGAGATCATAACCTGAGCCGAAGTTGGACGCTCAACCGACTGAGCCACCAAGACGCCCCTACCACAAATTTTTTTAATGGGGAAAAAAGGGAAAGGAGGTAAAGTTGCAAGTTTAAGGAGTAAAACTCTACCTGTACATACCATCCTCCCCACTGCAGAGAACGTGGAAAGCAAGCCCCAGCTTTTAATCATTTCTGCGTTTCGATTCCTATGACGTTGCAAATGGTAAGGCAGAGCAAGACCACTCACTTCTATCTCTTTGGGACCACAAAGAACAACTGGGTGGGCTCCTCTGATGCATTGGGGTTTCGATAAAGTCAGAACTGGATTTTCCATGGCAAGAGGCATCAGCTTTGAAGCTGCCAGCTCCATGGGGTGGGTCTTCTGTGACTCCCTGTGACCACCCGAGGACCACAAATCTCCTTGCTGGAACCTGAAAGTGGCTTTGGCCAGGGCCACCTTCCTGATCCGTCCCTGTGCGCTCAGGGCCCAGGGGCAAGCCGGCCCCAGGATCCTGGTTTGCAGAAATGACCTAATGTTTACACCTGGGGTAGGCATCTTCTCACCTGGGGCTCTGTTTAGGCCAACACAGAGCGGTTCGAGATGGAGACCCGGGGGGTTAACCACGTGGAGGGGGGCTGGCCCAAGGATGTGAACCCCCTGGAGCTCGAGCAGACGATCCGGTTCCGGAAGAAGGTGGAGAAGGATGAGAACTATATCAACGCCATCATGCAGCTGGGCTCGGTAAGGCTTCCATCTCTCTGGTGCCCCACTGGCCTGTGAGAGCCCTGGGTGTGTGCCTGGCCCTGGGCTCCGCTCCTGCGGCTATGCGGACAAAGAGTGCTACTACCTTAAAAAACCTCCCATCTGGGAGCAGATAGACCAGTCCACAACAGCTGCTCAGTGGGGAAGATGGGAAGGTACCAGGGCTGAGCAGGCTTGAGGGGGAGTCTGACAGGTGCTCCCCTGAGCATGGACTCCAAAGAACCCCACCCAGGAGCTACCCGCCAATAGGGAACATTCATTCATTCGTTCATTCGACACATTTGGACTGAGCCTCTAGTCTCTGCCAGGCACAAGAGAGACTGCAAAAATAAAATGCACATACATCCTGCCCCAAACAGTTTATCATAATCCACTGGAGGTCAAGGACAAATACAGAGATATCACTGTATAATGTAGGATGACAGATGCTATTTTGCCCCATAAGGAGGAAGATTCAATTTCCTGCTGAAGGGATCCGAGAAGGCTTCCTGGAAGAGGAGGCACTTGAGCTTGAGGTTTTTCCTTGTTAGACATTTGGGACAATGGAGAGGGCCTTCTGGGTGGCAGAACCAGAAGATGGGTGCTCTATATGGAGTGATTCCCAGTTCTGTTTGACTGGAAAGTTCTTCACCTTTTTTTCATTGTTGTCCCCCAATGAGCTTTTTCAGACATTTTTTTTCCCTAATTTCCTCCCCCATGAAAGTTTAATACCATAGGTATATATATTTTTTTATGTACTGTGTGTATATCTGTTCTTTATACGTGAAAAGTAACATTATTTTACCCTCCAAAACCAAATTTCACTCCCTTGGAAGCAATGTTGCCCCCGTTGAAAATGCAATGGGCTGGAAGGCTGGGAAAGACCACTAGACATTTCTTGTGCCTCCCAGACTCCGCCTCAGCCTTGTTCAGGCTGCAGGGACCCCCCTTTCCTGCCAAGAACTCCTGATGTTCCCTCCTTAGATCATGGAGCACTGCATCAAGCAGAATAATGCCATCGACATCTACCAGGAGTACTTTGATGACGAGGATGCGATGGAGGTGACAGAAGAGGCTCCTTCAGCCAAAACCATCAATGTTTTCAGGTATGTCTGTAGCCAGGCAGGTGTCTGGACATCCCTGCCACCCCTGTGGCTGGGTGCTTCCCAAGGTCACTCCTTGCCGATCACTCCATGCCGTGGGTACAATGCCCTCCAGAGCAACTGAGCACCCAGCAGCCAACTGGTCCCTGCCTAACTGGGGGCGGGTCTAGTTGATGGAAAGAGAGGACAGACTCCAGGGAAAGACTAAGCGAATTTGCAAAGCTGTGCACAAGCTGGGTTGATTCACGCAGGGCAGAATGAGTACGAAGCTGGGAGCATCAGTGACCCAGCAGCACTGTGGGCACACAGGACCCTCATCCCACACTCGTGGGCGTGTACCTGGTAATGACCTCCAAGGACCGGAGCTTGACAAAAGGACTTCATTCCTCAGAGACACGTGTGTAAAATCACCATGTGTGTGTGGACGCTCACTGCTGCAGGAGGCATTCCAGCCAAAGACTGGGACCAAGATAAGTCCATGGGTAGGGGAGTCCTTCTAGCAATTCTGGCATGCCTACCGGGTGGAATGGCATACACACATCAGAATGAAGGGCGCGGCATGATGGGGAGTGTTTCCAAGATTGACTTTCTGAAGCCAGACTGACACAAGCAAGGTGTAGACCAGCGTGTAACTATTTTGTTTGTTTGTTTGTTTGTTTGTTTAAAATATGTACATATCCCTGTGATTTGGGAAGGGACTAGCCTCAAATGCCAACTCTGGGGTAATTCATTTTGCTACCATCACTCACCGAGGGCCTGGAAGGTACTTGACCCAGTCCCAGCACAACTAGGAAAGACCCTTTTGTGATCCAGGGCTGAAGGGCTGATCCAGGGCTGAAGGACCAAGGGCTCCCAGGAGAAGGGCCAGGGAAGGGGGAGGGGCGAGGGCTGTCATCCCTGCTGCCCCAGCCTTACTGGGGTCTGACCTCACGTATGGAAACCTTAGCAGGATGATGGATTAGAAATCATCTCACAGGGGTGCCTGGGTGAATCGGTCGATGAAGCATCTGACTCTTGATCTGGGCTCAGGTCATGATCTCACAGTGGTGACATCGAGCCCCAACGTCGGGCTCTGTGCTGAGCACGGAGCCTGCGTGGGATTCTCTCTCCCCCTCTCTCTGCCCCTCCCCTGTGTGTGCATACTCTCTCTCAAAATAAATAAATAAATATTTAAAATAATAATAAAAAAAATGATCCCATCCAACCTCTACATATGACGCATAAGGGGACTGACCTCAGGGAGGAGAGGATGCCCAGGGCACGCAGCAGGGTGGGCATGGGCGACCCAACCAAGGATGGAACTCAGGTCTCCTGGATCCCAGCCTGAACTCTGCGTACTCTAACCATGCTCCCAGGGAGGACCGAGGCGGAGGAATCACCGGGCGTGAAGGTTATCTTGCTTTCCACTTTCCTTCATCCCTTCTGGTGACTTCAAGGACAAAGTCTCTGTTTGGGCCATTAAGTGCTTAATTCAGTTTTACTTCTTGCTCATTCTCCTTCCTCCCCTCTTTCTTTGAATGAAGAGGTGATTGTTCAGAGCAGTTTTAGGCCAAAGTACAGAGAGTTCCCACACTCTCCCTCCTCCCCGAGTCCACACAGCCTCCCTGATCATCAACACCCTGCCCCAAGGTGGGGCCTTTGTCACCGTCAGGAACCAGCATCCTGGTTCTGTTAGTACCGCAACTTGGGTGGTTTATAATCAACAGAAGCTGACTTCTCACAGCTCTGGAGGCTGGAAGTCCCGGCTCAGGATGGTTGGGTTCTGTGTCTGGTGAAGACTCACTTCCTTGTTCATAGATGGGCCATTGTTTCACTGCTGGAACTCACATGTCAGAAGTGGGGAGAGGGCTCTCTGGAGCCCCTTTATCGACCACTAATCACTTCCCACAGCCACGCCCCCCGACACCATCACATTGGAGATTAGGTTTCAACATATGAATCTGGGGGACACAACAGTCAACCTGCAGCACCCCAAAGTCCATAGTTTACATCAGGGCTCACCCCTTGTGTTGCATACTCTGCGGGTTTTTAAAATTTTTTTTCAATGTTTATTTATTTTTGAGAGAAACAGAGCACAAGCAGGGGAGGGGCAGAGAGAGGGAGACATAGACCCTGAAGCAGGCTCCATGCTGTCAGTCCAGAACCCGATGCAGGGCTGGAACCCACGGGCCGTGAGATTATGACCTGAGCCAAAGTCAGATGCTTAACCGACTGACTAAGCCTCCCAGGTGCCTCACTCTGTGGGTTTTGACAAATGCATCATACAGAATAGTTTCACGGCCCTAAAATCCCATGTTCTACTTATTCATCCCTCCCTACCCCCAAGCCCTTGGCTAATGCTTGATCTTTTTTACTGTCTCCATGGTTTTGCCTTTTCCAGAATGTCACAAAGTCAGAATCATATAGTATGCGGTCTTTTACAGACGGGTTTCCTTCACTTAGTGATGTGCATTATGTTTCCACAGTGTCTTCTCATGGCTTGATAGCTCATTTCTTTTTAATGCCAAATAATATTCCCTTATCTGGATGGACCCCAGCTTATCTACCCATTCACCTCCTGAAAGATCTCTTGGTTGGTTCCGACTCTGGGCAGTTATGAACAAAGCTGCTGGAAACATTCACCTGCAATATTTTGTTGGACAAAAGCTTTCAACTCTTTCGGGCAAATTCCAAGGACCAGAATTGCTGATTCTCCTCTTTCCCTTTCATTGTTTTTTTTTTTTTTAATATTTTTATTTACTTCTAGGAGAGAGAGAGAGACAGCGTGAGCAGGGGAGGGTCAGAGAGAGAGGGAGACACAGACTCTGAAACAGGCTCCAGGCTCTGAGCTGGCAGTCAGCACAGAGCCCGACACGGGGCTCGAACCCACAAACTGCGAGATCATGACCCAAGCGAAAGTCGGACGCTGAACCGACTAAGCCACCCAGGCGCCCCTCCCTTTCATTGTTAGAACAATGAGAGATCAGGCTTCAGGCTCAAAACTTTCAGCAAGTGAAAATATGGGACTGGAATTTAATATTTTGTTTCCGTTGGTTTAGTTTTTATTATTACCTTCTATTTATGGCTGGTGAGATCCAGGTTTGAATTAAGGGATCTTCAAACTTTGTTCTTAAAATAAATTTCTCTAAGTGAATGTGATTGCTTAAATACGCTTGGATTTTTTAGACACATAACTGAGTCAATAAGAGGTGTGGGGAGCCTTCCACGCCAATGTTCTGCCCTCTTCTGTAAAGGGATCCCCAGGAAATCAAGCGGTCAGCCACGCACCTCTCCTGGCACCCAGATGGCAACAGAAAGTTGGCGGTGTCATATTCTTGCCTGAATTTTCAACGTGCGCCTGAGGGCATGAGCCATGAATCGTACATCTGGGACCTGGGTGAGAAGCGGAAAGGTCCGGAGAGCTAGGAAAACCGAGGGGGTGGGGTGGAAGCCAGCTGAGCACGGGAGTGGAAGGTAGAAGCCACACGCAGGGGACTCTCACAGGGCTGGACCAGGAACCCCAAGAAGCTGCCCATCCCTTCCTTCTCTGGGTTCAGGCGCAGCCAAACCAGACCCATATCAGAAGCAGGAAACTCCCTTCATTTCCAGATCCTTGATCAGGCCATTCGGGACCAGACTCCATGGAATCTCAATCCCAGACCCCACAGACTCAGGGACTCACCTCTGTCCCACTTTCCTGGCATTTGTCCCTAATTCATGATGAATAGGGGCAAAGTGTCCACTTGGGAGCAGGGACCGTTGTTGACAGAAGCACTCGCTCGAAGGGCACGAGCCTGGCAGGTGGCCGGCAATGGTGGGCGACACACTGTAAGACATCCTGTCACTCTTGCTGTTGTGAAAGTAAACACTAGCCATTATTTGTAGGCTCAAGTGCCAAGCTCAGAACCGAGCACATTATGCTTTTGAACAGCCCAACAATGCTTGCAGCAGCCCTGGGGGGTGGGCTCCTTCATTAGCCCCCCCAAACAGACAAAGAAACTGGTTTGGAGAAATCAGAGAGAGTTTGGATTTATGGAAAAACCTTGGGGCCAAAACCTGGTTTCCTACCAGTTCTCCAAAATGTGTGCATGTGCGTGCGCGCGAGCACACACACACACACGCACACACACACACGCTCCTGATTACCGAAAATAAAATCATTAAAAGAGCCCCTCGGGCCAAGAGCACCAGATTCTGGCCACCGGGACCTAGAGGTTGCAGCCGGGAGAAGGACAGGAGGGGCTTCCAGACTTTCCCCCGTCCCAGTACGGGTTAAACCATTTGACCCTGTTCTTTTCTTTCCAGACCTGGTGGGATCAATGTGCTTGTTTGTTTTATAGAAAACCCCAACAAGCCTGAAACTGTCCTGAAGCCGTCTTCTCCCCTTGTCACCTTGGAATACAACCCCAAAGATTCCCACGTGCTTCTGGGAGGCTGCTACAACGGGCAGCTGGGTAAGGAGGGACCCAGTTGCTTAGCCGGGAGGGAGCCCAGCCCCTGCTGCTGTCCTCCAGGGCCTGCCTTCCTGCCTGGGCTTCCCAGGGGGCACAGAGTGAGGTGAGGACTTCTCACAGAGGATAAACTCCAGACATCTGGGTGTGTCAGGTTTTGCTGATAGTATGGCCGTGTCTCCAGTTCAAGTAAGTCTAAAACCAGTTCAGAATAGCAAGTTTTAAGAAAACTACAGGTCAAGTATAAAGCCAAGGAATGTTTACTGCCTACCTGCCCTGAGCTGGGCTAGAGCAGCTGAGAGCAAAGGAATATTGAGACCAGGGGGGAGCTCCATCTCGAAAGAGGCAAGCAGAGACACCTGTATAGGAATGGGTGTGAGTGATCCCAACCATGCACAATGAGTGGGGATGCCTTCCTTCCCCTTCTGATTTTCAGGAGCATTTAGTACTAATTCTTCTTTTAAAAAAAAAAAATGTTTATTTTTGAGAAAGAAAGCATGAGTGGGGGAGGAGCAGAGAGAGAGGGAGAAAGAGAGAATCCCAAACAGACTCTGCATTATCAGTTCGGAGCCCAACGTGGGGCTCGAACTATTGAACTCTGAGATCATGATCTGAGCTAAAGTCAAGCATCTGATGCTTAACAGACTGAGCCACCCATGCACCCTTGGTACTAATTCTTCTTTAAATGCTCAGTGCAATTCACCAGTGAGGCCATCTGGTGGTTCTCTTTTGGGAGTTAAAGATTGCTAATTCAGCCTCTTTATTTGTTCTAGATTGCTTCACGCTTTCTATTTCTTGAAACAGTTTTGATAGTTTTGTTCCCCTTTCTTTCTATTACTCAGACTGGATCGTCTCAAATGACCTACCTTCAGCTCAGTGAGTCTTCTGCCTGCTCAAGTATGCTTCGAGTCCTCTACTGAATTTTCATTTCTGTTCATGTATTTTTCAACTCCAGATTTTTATTTCACCCTTTTAAAAATAATTCCTATCTCTTTGTTGATATTTCAATTAAGCAAGAGACCATTCTCATGCTTTCTCGGTCTAGAAATGGTTCTCTGGGGTTCTTTGAACATACTTAAAAATCAATGATTTAAAGTCTTTGTCTAGTAAGTCCAACAGCTCAGCTCCCTTGGGGACAATCTGCTTATTGCCTTTTGTCCTGTGCATGAGGCCATACTTGCTCATTTCGTTGTTCATCTTGTAACTTTTTTGTTGAAACTTTCTCTCTTTACATAATATAAAGTGACAGCTTTGGAAATCAGGTGCTCGTAACTCTGCAGGGTTTGTGTTCACTGCTATTTGCTCTGTTGTTTCTTCAGTGAATTTTCTGAGCTAATTCTGGGAAGTCTGTGCTCTATCATGTATGCCTACCATGGTTTCTGCTTGGTTAGCTTAGTGGATGGACAGAGATTTCCTGAAGCACCTGTGGGCAACCAATCTTTGCTGAGAGCCTCTTATGCCTTTTTGAGCATGCCTGCGACCCTCTGCCAGGCAGAGCCTCAGGGTCAGCCAGAGGCGAGAGCTTAGGGCCTCCTCAGTTCTTTCCTGAGCATGTGTACAGCTCTGGGCACACACACACAACCCTACCCAGGCATGTGGCCTTCCAGATCTCCAGGAAAATGATGGAGCTTTCCAAAGTCCCAGTAGACATCTCAATGGACATCTTGTTCTCCAGGCCAGTCCTTTTTTTTTTTTTTAAGTTGATTTATTTATTTTGAAAGAGAGAGAGGGAGGGTGGGGGAGAGAGAGTGAGCGTAGGAAAGGGGCAGAGAGAGAGAGAGGGAGAATCCCAAGCAGACTCCACATTGTCAGCATGGAGCCTGATGCAGGGCTCAAACCCATGAACCATGAGATCAGACCTGACCTGAAGCTAAGAGTCAGACGCTCAACCAACCAAGCCACCCAGGTTCCCCTCAAGTCTTGCCTTTTAAGTTTTTTGGTTAGTTTGCTGTTTGCCCACCTGTTACCCACCAGTTCAGGAAGCTGCAAAGTTAACCAGTTGCCTATAATTATCATTATTTTCAAAAGTTGCCTTCTCCTGTTCATGGAGCAAGCTCTGAGTCAGGTTAAATACAGATAACTTGCAGGGGGAGGAGTTTATGGTCATCCAGGGAACCACCAGACAGTTCATACAGTCACCGTTCTTTGAAAGGGAGACGGAATGAACTCCAGCCCCATTACCCCTCCTGTAGCTATGAGGCTGCGGGTTTTCAACGGGAAGGCAGAATGTTATTCCTCAAGGCTACCGTGGGACTTGAGAGTGTGGGGTCTTAACCAGGGCAAGTTAAAAACGCCGCAAAACTCCCTGTCTTAGCAACATTCAGCTGTGTTTCCTGCAGTGTGCTCTGGATGGCTGCAAGCCTTTGGCTCATTTGTTCTGAAAAAGTTGGCCGACAGCTGTTGCTGGTTTTCTCATTGCTTTTATGCAGAAGATTTTCAGAGGCCCTTGCTCTGCTGCTTTTGCTGATGGGATGCCTAGAAAACAGGGGTTCGGATCCCTAGGGAGCTTGGAAGGCAGCTGCCCACATGGGCCCTGTCTGCCTACCCACCACATCTGGCGCCCAAGCAGCAGACGCTCAGCGTGACTGCATCCCAGACTTGACTTGACCTCTGGTGTGAAAAGGGCCCCCTCCCATCTTACCCTCCCATGTTGTCTTATTTCCTCTTCTTCCTCCCAGAGTAGGAGCTGGATGGCTGGGAAACTTCTTAGACAGACACTCTTCCGATGCCTCTGAACCCCCTCTCAGATCTGCCACCTCCTCCCTGGGAATAGACCTGGGCTCCCACAAATATCCCTGCCAAATTACCTGGGTGCCAGGACTCTAGAAGCCTGGAGCGGAGCCACCTACAAAACTAGCTTTTCTTTTCTTTCTTTCTTTCTTTCTTTCTTTCTTTCTTTCTTTCTTTCTTTCTTTCTTTCTTTCTTTCTTTCTTTCTTTCTTTCTTTCTTCTTTCTTTCCTTTCTTTTCTTTCTTTCTTTATTATTTTTGAGGCAGAGAGAGACAGAGCACAAGTGGGGGAGGGGCAGAGAGAGAAGGAAACAGAATCTGAAACGGGCTCCAGGCTCTGAGCTGTCAGCCCAGAACCCGACGCGGGGCTCGAACCCACAAACCATGAGATCATGACCTAAGGCGAAGTCGGACGCTTAACCGACTGAACAACCCAGGTGCCCCCCCACCCCGGCCTTCTTTAAAAAATTTTTTGTTTTATTTATTTTTGAGATCAAAACTAGCTTTTCTGGGGCACCTGGGTGGCTCAGTCAGTCACGCATCTGACTCTTGATTTCGTCTCAGGTCATGATCTCACAGTTGTGAGTTAGAGCCCTGCCTCGGGCTCTGTGCTAACAGTGCAGAGCCTGCTTGGGATTCTTTTTCTCACTCTCTGTCTGCTCCTCCCCTGCTCTCTCTCTCTGTCTCAAATAAAAAATCTGTCAGGAGAAAAATGAGATATGTTTCAAGGCTTTCTTGGTGAAGAGGTGAAGCTCTAGTAATAGATCTGAATAAAGGGTCTGTGAGTTGCATTCCCATCCAGGGCAGCCTAGGTACAGAGGATAAAAAGGAGTTTATGTAGCAGGAGAGATTTGCTGCAGTGTTTTTACTTTCAAGAGGCTTTCTTTGGGGTAGAGACGCTTTTCTCTCTGGCTGGTCCCCCTTCCCCCCATCATCCCAGGCTCCTCCTCAGTCTGTGCTCTTTCTCACTCCTTCTAGGAGGCTCTCCCTGACCACTCCCACGTGTCCCCACCAGGAAAATCACAGCAGGCCCCCTCTTCCTGCTCTCAGGAACAGGGATGGTCTTATTTCCAGTGGCTTCCCCTAGGGCCTAGGGTGGTGCTCAACACTTGGTAGGGGCTCAAAGGAATGAGTGAAGCTTGCACTCGGGTAGTCTTTCCATAGAGATTGTGTGGGAACTTCAGGGGTTGGGAGGAAACTCAGGCAGGTTAGGATAGAGCCCTGCTTCTAGAAATAAACAAACCACATGCCTGCCAAACCAAGAGAAGTAGCATCCCTCCACCCCCTGCTTTCTGCACAAAGGAAGAAGCTTAGGCTTCTGTTCACCTTGCCCTCACTTTCCTCCCTGCCAGCCTGTTGGGACACCCGGAAGGGCAGTCTGGTGGCGGAGCTGTCCACTATTGAGTTCAGCCATCGAGACCCCGTGTACGGCACCATCTGGCTACAGTCGAAGACGGGCACTGAGTGCTTCTCAGCATCCACGGATGGGCAGGTACCGGCTGGCCACAGTGTGAGGAGCAGTGATACTTCCCCAGAATCCCCTGGCGAAGCATCTCCTTTTACATTTTATTTTTAAATTGAAGAGTGGGTAATACATGCACATGGAACAAAGTCCAGAAAGCACAAAAGGGCAGATGGAGAAGTACCTTCCTCCCACCTCTGCCCACAAACCTCCCAGCCCCCCTTCCCATACCCGCCTGCCTGCCTCTGTTTCCCATGGCTGCCTTCAGGGACGGCCTCTGTACACAGAAGCAGATACATCTGCCTTCTTGACTCTTTCTGCATACCTTGTACATTGGTCTGCACTTGACGTTTTTCATTTAGTATATCTTGAAGATGATATCATATTTCATAAAGCACTGCCTGTACCTGTTAGAAACTGCATTCGGTATGCCATAATTTATTTAAGTGGATTTTAATGTGTTGTCATGATAATGTAGCAAAGAGTGGGCCCGTCTGGGTGGCTCAGGTCATGATCTCGTGGTTCACGGGTTTAGGCCCTGCATCTGACAGCTCAGAGCCTGGAGCCTGCTTCATGGATTTTCTCTCTCTCTCTCTCTGCCCCTCCCCCACTCATACTCTGTCTCTCTCTCTCTCTCAAAAATAAATAAAACATTAAAAAAAATTTAATGTAGCAAAGGGTATATTTGTATATAAGTTTTTGCACACATGTGAAGATACATCTCCAGCGGTACAGTGGGACTTCTCGATCAAAGCATATGGGCATTTATAATGTTTCTATATATTACTATATTATGGGAGAGTTTAAGAATTCAGGTTCCAGGGGCACCTGGGTGGCTCAGTTGGTTAAGCGTCTGAGTCTTGATTTCGGCTCAGGTCATGATCTCACGATTCGTGAGGTTGAGCCGCTGCATCGGGCTCCACGATAACAATGTGAAACCTGATTGAGATTCTCTCTCTCTCTCAAAATGAATAAATACACTTAAAAAAAAAAAAAAAAGAATTCAGATTCCAGAGTCCACATCAGACAGTTTTGATGCAGTAGGTTGGGGGTAAGACCCCAGCATCTGGATTGTGTGAAGCTTGCCTGCGCCCCTGGTGAGCAGCCAGGTTTGGGACTGTGCAGCCAGAGCAGTGGTTCTCACCATGTGTTTGTCCTAGATAGCCAGTCGCCTCTAACACATGCCCCTTTGGCCCCAGCGATTGACCCCAGGAAGGCAGGGAAGGCAAAAGCCAGGAGACTCAAAGGACCTCCAGTCTCAAAGTTGCCCCGCCCTCCCATCAGGTCATGTGGTGGGATATCCGAAAGATGAGCGAGCCCACCGAAGTGGTGATCCTGGACATTGCCAGAAAGGAGCAGTTGGAGAATGCCTTGGGGGCCATCTCCCTGGAGTTCGAATCCACTTTGGTGAGTGTTCCCGGCTCTCCCTTCCCCAACTTTCAACGTTGGGGTGGGCAGCCAGAGCTCAGTCAGGGTCTACCACATGCACCCCAGGAACTCCCTCCCTCCTGTGGTCATCCTGCTCGTGTGCGGTCTTTCCAAGAACTTTCCAGCAGGGGGCAGCAGAGCTTCTTGCAGAAGGAAGCCAATCCATCTCATTCACGCAAAGACACCGCTTGACTAGCGGCTGTGCTGAACAGAAGGCAAGCTTTCGCAGAGGACAGGATTCCAGAAGGGCCCCATTCCGTAGGAAGAGCCCCGTCCAGGACTGACATTGAAAGGCCAGGCCCTGCCTCTGCCTAGTGTGGGTTGCTTCACTGTCTGAGGGGAAGGAAGAGGTATTGGAGAGGGAAATGAGGTCAGAGGAAGCTCCTTGGAAAACCAGGACACAGGCAAGATTAGAGCATCTAGCAGTGGGAAGGAATGGTAAAGAAAGATCAAAGTTGAGCAGTAACGTGAATGTGTCAAAGGATGGAAGCTTCTAGAAGCAGCAAATGAAGATTCCTTCCAAAGCAAAAAAACAACTTTCCCAAATGACTCTTGGCTTGGGCTCATTCCAGGCTTGTGTCTCACTGAACCCCAGGCCAGCTCCCCTTTGGGATTATCACTTGTTTGCTTTCAGGTCATGTGACATCATTCCCAGGCCCTTGGGAGGTGGAGATGCTCTGGCCTTGCCCCTGCCCTGGGAGTCCCTACCCAAGGCTGGGGAAGGAATGCTGAGGAAGTCAGGTGGAAGACAATTTAACTGCCCCCCAACCCTGGAGGTGGTAGGCAGCTTGGGGAAGATGCAGAAAAGCATTCTGTCCTGAAATCAGGGACTTCTAGAGCAAGTGCTGGGTGTGATGATGATGCCACCATTAGTCCCCAGCTCTCCTACGCCTGTCGCTGAGCACACTCTGTGTGCTGGACACTTATAACTCCCTTGAAAGATGAGCTTGCGTAATCATGTACAACCACCTTGTACCGTAATGTTATTATCCCTCCTTTCCAGACAAACAAATGAGTCTTAGCGTGGTAAGTCATGTCCTGTAGAACATGCTACAACTGGGGCTCAAACCCAGGGCTCCAACTCCAGGTCCAGGCTGACCATTCCAACCCCACCGAGAAGTCCAAGGCTGGAGGCACGGCGGGCCATCCGGATCTGGGTACTTCTCTCCCTCGCTAGCTTGCAAGAGCCCTGAGTTTCACTTCATTATTCGCTTTCCTGGGTCTTTCGAGCTGTCTCTCTTCACATTCCTTTGACCTCCCAACTTGTAGTCCGGTTTTAAGTTGTAGTAAAACCCACATAACATTAAATTTACCACCTTGAAAATTTTACCGTCTTAACCTTTCCTCAGTGTACATTCAGTAGGGTTAAGTATCTGCGCCTTGTTGCACATCATCTTCAGAGCTCTATTATCTTACAAAACTGAAACTCTGTGCCTATTAAACAGCTCCCACTTCCCCTCTCCCAGCCCCTCTACTTTCCATCTCTACTCTTCTGGTATTCATCCTTCCGTGACTGGTTTATATCACCGTGCATCATGTCCTCAAGATACACCTGCATTGTTGTGCGTGTCAGAATGTTCTTCATTTTCAAAGCCATGAGTTTCCTTTCTTTGTATTCCACCGTAGGTATAGACCACACGTTGTTGATCCATCCACTTCACTTGGGTTGGGACACTCAAGTTGCTTCGTACCTCTTAGCTGTTGTGAATAAAGATGGTATGAACATGGGTATACAGGATAGCCCAGTTTCGTAGGGAGTAGCTGGAAGCTGGGTGAAGGGGCTTTCTAGACTCCTGTTTTACATTATTTATTCATTCAGTCATTCATGTTTTCCATGAACAGACATTCAGGATCTTTATGGCAAAATGTCTAATAGACACAATGATGCTACATGAAGAAGTGTTTGTCATGTAGCTGCTGCTGAATCTCTCCAAGGTCTAGAAGAGTCAAGAGGACTTCATTAAGCATGGTGCCCCTGAGCAGGTTCTAACAGAGGGTGGGGTCTAATGAACCCAGGAAAGGCAAGGGCACCTCCTTAGGAGGGGCTAGACAACAGACTGAGCAGAAGCTTTCACCAAAGTCCCTTCCAGCACCTTCCAGAGTAGACTCATCTACTCTGACCCCAGAAGGCTGCTCACCGTGACAATGAAACTTTGAGCTGCCATTTCATGGAGCCTTCCACTCCTGTGTCACCCCTTCCACAGCCAACCAAGTTCATGGTGGGCACTGAGCAGGGCATTGTCATCTCCTGCAACCGCAAAGCCAAAACGTCAGCTGAGAAGATTGTGTGCACCTTCTCAGGACACCACGGCCCCATCTATGCCCTCCAGAGAAATCCGTTCTACCCTAAGAACTTCCTGACTGTCGGCGACTGGACCGCCCGCATCTGGTCAGAAGACAGCCGCGAGTCGTCCATCATGTGGACCAAGTAAGACGGATGTTGGGGCAGGAGGGCGATGTAGGAGGGTGAGAGGGACAGAGGGAGCCAGCCCATGCAATGGAGAGAACACCCCTCCATGCACACCTGAGCCCAATCGAGCCACTTCACAAAGGAATGTGCTTCCAACAGCCTGTATTAGTCATAATAACAGCCTTGGGTTAATTTTCATGACCCTTAGGATCACCCTACAAGCAGGTAGCATTGCTCCTCTGGTCCCTCATTGTGTGTGTTAGGGGACAGAGTCACGAGGAGGCAAAGCCACTTGCTTCTGGTCTCTCAGCTGGTAAGGAGTTGAGGTGGGGCTTGAACCCAGGAAGCTTGGGCTGAGAATCTGGGCACCTCATCAGGACAGCTTGGTGGGTCTCCTCTCCTGCGAGGCTGGGCACATAGGAGCAGAGAGGGACAGAGCTGTGAGCACTGTAGTTGGATCAGAGAAGCTTGTGGGCTTGCCCAGTCTTCCCAGAGGAGAGGCCAAGGGGAGGCTGTGAGATTGAGCCCCTCAGGATGGTCCCACTGCTCCTGGGTGAGCCAGGGAGTGCCACATCCACAGAGATGCTGCAATGCAGGCAGAGCCAAGAGACCAGAGTGCAGGCGTCAGGTGGGGGGACTGATGCCCTCTCAGCCTTCATGTGGGTGAATCTGGGGTTCCTCTCTAGCTCACGCTGTCACAGACTCCTGCAATGTTGGTGCTGCTGTGGACCCTAATGAGCATCTTCTATTCCAGTGGCTCCTGAATCTGGTTGCATCAGGATCTCCTGGGAGGAGTTACTTAAAAAATAAATAAATAAATAAATATATATATATATACATACACACACACACACACACACACACATACACACGTTTAACCATTTTGTTGAGGTGTCATTGACATAGAAAAGGCTATACATCGTTAATGCATACAGCTCTGTGAGTTGGGGGCTAAGTCACACCTGTGAAGCCATCACTACCATCAAAGCCATAAACATTTCGATCACCTCTCTTCTACACCCTTTATTGTAATTATTCTTGTATGCGGGGGCGGGGGTTAAGAACACTTCACTTGAGATCTACTCTCTTAGCAAATTTTACTATTTGGTCTAGTATTGTTGGCTAGAGGCACTGTGTTGCATGCTAGATCTCTGGAACTGACCTGTCTTGCATAATGACTGTTTGTATCCTTCGACCATGACCTTCCGTTTCCCCCTCCCCCCAGCCCCTGGCAACCACTGTTCCACTCTCTGCTGCTGTAAGTTTGACTTTTTTAGATTCCACATATAAGTGAGATCATGCAGTATTTGTCTTTTCTGTGTCTGGCTTATTACACTTAGCAGAATGTCCTCCAGGGTCCATCCATGTCACTGCACATGGTGGGACTTCCTTTTTTAAGGCTGAATAATAGTCCGTGGAATATCTATCCCACATTTCCTTTATTTATTCATCTGCTGATGGACAGTTAGGTTGTTTTCATATCTTGGCTGTTGTCAATAATGCTGCAGTGTACCTGAGGGTACAGATACCTCTTTGAGATTCTGATTTGAATAAGAACCCAGAAGGGGAATGGCAGGATCATACGGTAGTTCTAGTTTTAGTTTTTTGAGGTTCCTCCTTACTGTTTCCCTCAGCAGCTGCACCAGCTCGCAATCCCACCTACAGTGCACAATGGCTCACTTTCTTCCACATCCTCGCCAACATTTGTTATGTCTCTTTTTTTAACGTTTATATATTTTTGAGAGACAGAGAGAGACAGAGCATGAGTGGGGGAGGGGAAGAGAGAGAGGGAGGTACAGAATCCGAAGCAGGCTCCAGGCTCTGAGCTGTCAGCACAGAACCCGACGTGGGGCTTGAACCCACAGACTGTGAGATCATGACCTGAGCCGAAGTCAGACGCTTAACCGACTGAGCCACCCAGATGCCCCCTTTTGTCTTTTTAAGAATAGCCACTCTAGCAGGTGTGAGGAGCTATCTCTCTGGGTTCTTGATTTGCATTTCCCTGATGATGAGTGGTGTTGAGCACTTTTTCATGTACCCATTGGCCATTGGTATGTTTCCTTTGGAGAAACATCTGTTCATGTCCATCGTCCATTTAAAAAATTTTTTTAATGTTTATTTATTTTTGAGAGAGAGACAGTGCAAGCCAGGGAGGGGCCAAGAGAGAGATGGAGTCCATTGCCCATTTTTTAATTGGGTGATTTGTTTTTTTGCTACTGGGTTTTTTGGCATGAAATCTTTATATACTTTGTGTATTTTGGATATTAACCCTTTATTACACATATGATTTGCAAATATTTTCTCCCATTCCATAGGTTGCTTTTTCTCTTTTCTTTCTTCTTTTCTTTATTTTGTTATTATTATTTTGCTTTTTCAGTTTTTGACTTTGCTGTGCAGAAATTTTTTATGTCAATGTACCCCACTTGTTTATTTTTGCTTTTTGGCTTGTGTTTCTGGCATTATATCCGCTAAATGGCCACCAAAACCAAGGTCAAGGAGGTTTCCCCTATGTTTTCTTCTAGGAATTTTATGGTTTTGGGTCTGATGTTTAAGTCTTTCATCCATTTTGAGTTGATTTTCATATATGGTGTAAGATAAGGGTCTGATTTCATTCCTCACGGCAGAAATCTTCAAAAACCTAGATCCTACCAAGTAAGAAGTACAACGCTCTTCTAATGTTGATATTAGGAACTTTTCGGGGCACATTCTTCCTCTGACTCCTTTCGGTGAGTCCCATGGCTGGGAGACTGGGCCCAGACCCGGAAGCATGTGTCTGTCCCCTGGAGTTAGCTGTAGAGAAAGTCTAGGGGCTCAGCCCCTGGGAAGAACCAGAGCCTTCAAAATGCATACTGTCAACCGCTGGTGCGTGAAGCTGGCATGGCTAGAAGCTAGACACAGGGAAGAACTTCCTGCCCAGCAACGAGACCCTGGACCCCAAGGGGCCTGGATGAGCAGAGCGGAGGCTCAGCAGCCTCTCTGCCCCTCCCACCCACAGTGGTCCTTGACCGCTGGCACCCGGCCCCCCACAGGTACCACATGGCTTACCTCACCGATGGCGCCTGGAGCCCAGTAAGGCCGGCGGTGTTCTTCACCACCAAAATGGACGGGACCCTGGACATCTGGGACTTTGTGTTCAAGCAGTGTGACCCTGCCCTCAGCCTCAAGGTCACGTGTATCCCACTGCCCATGCATCCAGGCCCTCAGGCCCTTGGTGGCCCAGCAGAATCACCTGGGGGAGATTTAGAAGAGAAAAGCAGAAAGCCTGCCCTCTCCTCCCGCCAGGCCTATTCCTTTGGCAGCTCCGGCGTGGGCTCCTGGCAGCTGACCCTTCCAGCCTAAGCTAACGTCACATTTGCGTAGCTACACCTGAGCCCCGCTGGCTTGCGCCATGGAAGGGCATGGCTTTGGGAAGCTGCAGCATGGATGTGGGCTGGACTGAAGGGGTGAGGTGTGGTGAGAGAGGTCAGGTGTGGTGGAAGATGAGGCTGGGGGTGGGGGCGGGGTGGGGGGCAAAGGGTCTTGACAGCCAATCTCAGAGCATGAACTTCATCTTGTGAGTCAGGGGAGTCGCCGAGGGTATTCCATCACAGAGCTTGGCCACGCGCCCCCGTCCCTGGGGGCCAGGGGCTCAAGACAAGCTGCTTCACTCCTCTCTCCAACCCAACCAGACCTGCCTGGCCCCCCCAACAGGTATGTGACGAGGCCCTCTTCTGCCTCCGGGTGCAGGACAACGGATGTTTCATCGCCTGCGGCTCCCAGCTGGGGACGACCACGCTGCTGGAGGTCTCTAATGGGCTGTGCACCCTCCAGAGGAACGAGAAGAACACGGCTTCTTCTGTAAGTGCATGCCGCGGCCCCGACCCCGTGGCCCAGCAGGCTAGGCAGAGAGAGAGAGAGGCGTGGAGCTTTGGGGAGGCGGCGTGCTGTCCCGAAATGAGTGCGGTAAAGTGGGATCAGCAGTGTCCGAATCGGCCCCGGCTTACCCACCCGGTAGCCAAGCCGCCCTGGGCAAGTCACGTCACCTCCGCAGGCTTCGGCTTTCCCACTGTCCAAGCAGACTGACTAGGTCAGTTTGTCTGGTCTCAGAGGTCACATTCTTTGCAGCAGAACTTGTTAAACGAAGGGTTAGCAGATGACAGTAGAGAAGACAGAGAGAAGATGGCTACCCTGGGGCAGGGGGTTAGGGGGGCTGGGGGACTGGGAGCCATCACAACGCCCCACCCCCAGCACTGGGGGCACACCGTGGCACTGAATCCCCTGGTGCCGAGGCCCTACCCGAGGTCGTGGGCCCACCACGGAGCGTGTGCTCCCCTCGGCCCAGGGCCCCGTGGTGCACAGCTGTGTGGCTGTTCCGTTCCATGTCTTCTATGTTCTGGGGACCCCTCAGAACTGGGTGACAGGGTGGCTCTGCTCCTGCCTCCTGGCCTCAATGTCCAGCTCTCTTGCCGTTAAGGCTGAGAATAGACCCCTGTCTTGTACTGTGAGCAGAGCAAGGGCACTCAGCCCTGCCCTCCACGGGCCTCCTTGTCCCCGTGTACCCCAGATATTTGAGCGGGAGACCCGGCGGGAGAAGATTCTGGAGGCGAGGCACCGGGAGATGCGCCTGAAGGAGAAAGGCAAGGTGGAGGGCAAGGATGATGACCTGAGAGAGGAGGAGCCCACCTTCAACCTAGAGGAGCTGGTCACCAAGGCTGAGCATGAGTTCTTCGACATCATCTACTCAGAGCTGAGGAAGAAGGAGACGGAAGCCATGAAGAACAAGACAAAGCCTGTAGGGTCCCGAACGGGGGCTCGGGTGGGCCGGGTGGGAGCCCAGGCACCTCTGTTCCACCTGCTCGCTGACCTCCTGGGTGACCTCGGGCACGTGGCCTCAGCAAGTGGACCTTAACTTGTTCCATCCGCCCAATGGGAGCAATTACTCCCTTCCTCCTGAGAAATATCCTAAGTCTCCACGTGGACGGCAGGCTGCTTGAGGGCAGGGGACACACTCCATGCTTCTTCTGATCCTCCTCCCCACACACGGCCTGCACCGGGACACATCTGTAGCCACTGCAACAAGGACCCAGGGCTGCGTGGGCTAGCAGCTCAGAGTGAGCCCCGAAGCCCAGGGAGAGGGCCTGGGAGGTCCGAGGGAGGCATGGAGGCCAGCTGCTGACCCCGCCTGGTTTCGCGGGGGTGTGATTTGTGCACAGCTCACCCATCCGTGCTCCCCAGCTTTAGGGCACTTTCTAGAGGTATCACCTGGGCCAGTCACTTCACTTCTTGGCGCCTTCATTTTCATCTGGAAAAGAAGAAGGTTGAGTTACAAAGATGGTCACCTTCCGGGCCCTCTTCTGTACCCATAGACAGAGGAAGGAGACATCGGTGCCATGGGTCATTGCCTTCAGGGACCCCCAGATGAGAGGCCGAGGTGTCAAAGAACAGCACAGTGGGGAAAAGCCCTGGCGAGTGTGTGCCAGGATCTAACCCCGGGAGCAAGTGTGTCAACATGATTCGAGGGTGTGGGGCGGTGAGGAATGAAAACGTGAGGCCTGGAAGTGCAGGGCACCCGCTCGTGAAGCCAGGCCCACTGGTGAGAGCTGTGTGCGTGGCTCCCGGATGCCAACCTCGCAGACATGCTGGTGGAAGACGGGCAAGCACATGGTGGGGGGGTAACTGGTTCCGTCCCAAAAGCTCTCCCCCCTCTGCCTCCCCTCACTGGGGCAGGTCACAGGCTGTGACATCGGCCCCTCGTATTGCATTTGGAAGCACCTGGATAGGAGTGGCCTTGTTCTCACACCGTTGTCCATGTGGCAAGGTGGGGCAGAGACCTCCCTCTGCTTATGGCAAAGGCGGGACCAGAGTCCCAGCTTCCTGAGCCCCCCCCCCCCAGAAGGCAGTGCTGGCAGTGACCATTGTGCAGTGCTCCTGGAACACACCCGGCCTGGGGCTGCGGGTCCCGAAAAGCGCTCCCCCACCTCTCCCCGCTTGAACACTCCAGATGGAGAAGCCAGGCCTCAGAAGAGACTAAGGAGCACACAACAGCCTGCTTAACCTTAGTTTTCTGCAGTTTGGCCAGAACTTCCGGGGTCAGAGCTGGGAAAGCAGCGCCGAGTCCTTACACCCCTTGTCTCTAATCATGTCCACGTCACGGGCAAGGGGACCAAGGAGACTCAGGAAGAGCTTTAGCCCGAGGTCACCCAGGCAGCAAAGCGACAGAAGCAGCACTTGTACCGGAGTCTGTGAGATGCCCGAGGCCGTGCCCACCGTCCATGCTCGCTCTGAGCCCCCACTAGGCCCTCAGGGCCACAGAGCCGGCAGCAGGGTCTCCCGGGCCTCCACCGGTTGGCTGGCTTTGGCCTCAGGGAATTACCTTCCCAGGGCGCAGGGGAGGCCTGGCCCCACCAACGAGTCCGCACTGTCTCTCTTTGGCAGAAACGGTGGGGCCTGGAGGCAGACGAGGAAGTGGAAGGAGAGGACCGTGGGGAGGAAGAAGGCGACAGTGCCCAGTCTCCGACCTAGAAGGACCAGGCCAGCCTTGCCCGCAGCCCCTCTCCAGCCGCGCCTCTGTCTCGCATCCCCTGGCACTGCCCTGGCTTTGCCCGTGGCGCTGAGCTCCTCCCTTAAAGTGTCACAGGAGGGAGGGAGGGCTGGGCGAGCAGAGGGGCCCTGACCCGACCCGACCCAGACACCCAACAAGTGCTGACCCCCCACTGACTCACTGAGCCCAGTCCCAAGGGACCCCCTGGAGGGAGGGAAGGGGCAGGGCTGGTGCGTGAGTGGGTACCCCTCCTCTCTGCCGCCCCAGCGCACCCCGACGGGCTCCACATCGCCTTCCCGCCTGGCCCTGCCTCTTTCCCTTGGGTTCTGCTTCCCCGGGGTTTTCCTAGCAATCATTTTCCTTCAAAGCCTCCAAAGGGCTTGCTTCAGCCTCGCAAAGACCCGTTGGGGCGGGGAGGGGCTTCTCCTCCCTTCCTGACCCTCCCCTCCACACACAACTGAGAAACGCAGTCTGTCCCCTTCTAAAATGTCTTTGAGCGCCACGCCGGGACACGTTTATCTCCCAGAGCCAATGGACGAACGAGTCTGCTCATTCCTGTACACCTGCAAGCTGTCTACTGGCTTCATTCTTAGAAAATTAAATTAATAATAATGATGCTAACAGCGCTTATTGTATATCCTGTGCCGAGCGCTTTCCGTGTTACCTCATCTAATTCCTTTTACAAAATCCCCAGAAGGTCTGTCGTCTGATGGCCCTTACTCTGCAGAGGAATAGTCTGATCCTGGGGGAGGTGTGGGTCACAGAGCTAACGCAGGGCAGAGCAGGGACAGGAGCCCCGGCAGCTCGGTCCCCACCCTGCATGGCCATCGACAGTAAGCCAGGCACGTGCAGGGCCCATGGGGGCTCCAGGAAGGGCAGTGGCTCTGGCACAACTGAGTTTTCAGCAACCGTTGCCGGAAATGCCTGTAAGCAAGAGAGCACCTCCGAGATCCCTCAGCCACTGTTCATTCTGTAGGTGTTGGATGGTCCTAACAGGGACCCAAAGTGCCCTTCTAAAAATTGCCTGTGTTAAGAATCTTATTTCTTAATAAGGTTCCCACCCGGAGGGGGGGGGGGGCACCTGGAGGGCTCAGTCGGTTAGGCATCTGACTTCAGCTCAGGTCATGATCTCACCATTTGTGGGTTCAAGCCCCACGTCAGGCTCTGTGCTGACAGCTCAGAGCCTGGAGCCTGCTTCAGATTCCCTCTCTCTCTCTCTCTCTCTCTCTCTCTCTCCCCCTCCCCTGCTTGTGCTCTGTCTCTCTCTCTCAAAAACAAACATTACAAAAAAGAAAAAAAGAATCTTATTGGGAAGGGGCCCAGGGCCAGCCATCCTTAGTGACTAAAGGAAAAACATGAAGTTACACGGCGGCTGGACTTTGATAAAATAATCATCGAGGGACATATTCATTGGTGCTTGACCTTCACAAGAGCCCCAGAAGGAGTGCTGTCCCCATCTTCGATTCCCAAGTCACTGATGTGCCACATGAGACAGAGGGAGGGAGCGATGCCTGAGTCCCAGCAAGAGGGGCGAGCCGGCCATGTTTCTGCTCCCTGCCCAGCACTGCCCTCTGAGCCCAGGGCACATCACACGCCTCCTTCTGTACAGTCTCCCGTGATCAGTGCCTGTCTATGTGAGGACACGGGGAGTCCCGGAGCTGCCTGCAGAGCGGTGGTTTCATCTGGGGGTGATTTTGCCCCCGATGTGACATTGGGCAATGTCTAGGCACATTCTGGATTGACATAAGTGGTTGGGGGTGCTCCTGGTATCCGGAGGGTGGAGGCCAGCCATGTTTCCCAGCATCCTACAGTGCACAGGACGGGCCTCATTACAAAGAATGTCAATAGTGCTGAGTTCGAGAAACCCTGGCTTAGAGGAAAAAAAAAAAACAATTCAAATGAAATGTTGCAGGAGAAAGTCACAGCACTCTGTGGCCTCAGCCCGGGCACACTGACGGACCCTTGATGCGTGGCTGGGACAATCAGCCCCAAGGGAGAACATTCTTTTGGTCTAGCAGACTTTGGGCCTTTGATGTAGGCATGCCCAGGTCCTGCTGGGACCTGCTGTGGGTACAGAGAGCCACCCCCCCGCAGGGATGGGGAGCGGGAGAGGAGGGCCCCCAACATCGCTGGGCAAAGGGCGGTGGGAGTCCTGTGGATGTGATGCCCGGCACTGCCCGCCCTTACAGCCATGACCTTCACCTCCTCGTAAATCAGCTTCATCTGCTGTTTAGCCTCTTCCAAGAGGAGCCAAACAAAACCACGAAGCATCACTGGAAAACCAGAGGCTCCTGGGAAAACCCACCTCTCCCTTGCGCGCGGAATGCGAAATGTCAGTTTAGCGGGGCCTGGGTGCAGGAACACAGCCGATCAGGGTCAGAGAGTGGCAGAAGCAGCGACCGGGCCCCAGGGACCACAGGACAGGCCCCTTCTGTCTGTGCGCACCTGCGGGAGAATGTACCCCTTCTCCGGGTTCTGTTCTGCTCAGCTGACCCGACTGATAAGTATAGAGGCTCCCGGCTGACGAAGCTTCAGCCTGCAGCTGCAACGGCCCAAGAAGCTGGCGGGGGAGTCATTGTCCCACATTCTCTGGCTACCATGGGGGACTATGGACTCCCCGGCCCTTTGTTAGAGGCCCCTGGGATGACACTGACAGGCGAGGCCCAGGTGACTGCCGGTAACCCCCAGGGCCAGACCACCACCCCTTTGGCCCTTCCCTGACTCCCCAAAGCAGAGGCCCAAGAGCCAGCACCTCTGGGTGCTAAGGGCCTGCGGGATGGAAACGGAATGGTGGACAGAGGCCGTGTATTATGGCGCTGGGAAGGCGGAATGGACTGGGCTCTGAAGTCTGCATTCTATCAGGCACTTGCCCATCTGGGTACCATTGCCGCCACTCGGCACCGTGCCAGGTACCAACCACAGAGCAGCGCGTGAGCCGGACAGGGACTCGGCTGTCTTGGGCCTTGTACGCCAATGGGAGAGCCCTGCACTGACAAATGCATGCAGAATGACAGTTGCACAAAGTGACATCTTATGGGAAGCACGGGGGTGGGGGTGGGGGCTCTGAGAGCGATCCTAGCGGGATGGACTTCTGAAAAGGACAATCTAGGGGCACCTGGGTGGCTCAGTCGGTTAAGCGTCCAACTTCAGCTCAGGTCATGATCTCATAGTTCGTGGGTTCAAGCCCCGCGTCGGGCTCTGTGCTGACAGCTCAGAGCCTGGAGCCTGCTTCAGATTCTATATCTCCCTCTTTCTCTGACCCTCCCCTGTTCAAGCTGTCTCTCTCTCTCTCTCTCTCTCTCTCTCTCTCTCTCTCTCTCTCTCTCAGAAATAAATAAAAAACATTTAAAAAATTTGAAAAGGACAATCTTCCATGGGTGTTTCCTAGCAGCCCATTCGTTTCCCCTCCCCCACGCTGTAAGTAGTAGGGGTGGACTTTGGTCCCGCGGGCGCTGGAGTGTCACAGGGCTTTAGAAAGTGCTCAGGGCTCACTGAGACCAGTGGATTCCAACTGTAGGCGGGTTTGGAGGGGGGTGGAGAATGTCACATATCTGTGTTAGAAAACAGGGTGGAAATCATGAGAACAATGCTCACTGAGGGCGTCAACACTCAGGAGAGCAGCCGCAGCCTTCTTATTTTATTTTTTAATTTTTCTAATGTTTTTTTTAAATTTTTATTTATTTTTGAGGGAGAGAGTGTGAGTTGGGTAGGGACAGAGAGAGAGAGGGAGACACAGAATCCAAAGACAGGCTCTGAGCTGTCAGCACAGAGCCCGATGCGGGGCTCGAACCCACAAACTGCGAGATCACGACCTGAGCTGAAGTCAGACACTTAACCCACTGAGCCACCCAGGCGCCCCTAACCAGCAGCCTTTTTAAAAGGGAGCTTTTGCCCACCGGAAGCTTCAGGAATGTGAATGAAGATCTCAAGAGCTCAGAAAAGGGGGGAGGGACTGTGAAACAGGTTCTGAAGAAGCCATGGGTCTGTGCTAGCCAGAGAATTCGAGGATGGGCCTCTAGGACACACAGGCCGGAACGAAGCCAGGGACAACTGAAGGGGGTGGCCCAGTGAGAGCACTGCCCACGGCGGAGCACGGCCAGAGCAGGGGTGAGGGGAGGAGACGGGCCAAAGAAGAGGCAGGGAAGGCTGGGACTCCGGGCCAAGGGGCACGCTGTGTGTGGAAGACAGTGGGGAACAAGTGGGGTGTGATGCTGATCTGACTTTTGGAAACGTGATGGTGGGGGGCGCCTGGGTGGCTTAGTCGGTTGAGCGTCCGACTTTCGCTTAGGTCATGATCTCGCGGTTCGTGGGTTCGAGCCCCGCGTCGGGCTCTGTGCTGACTGCCAGCTCAGAGCCTGGAGCCTGTTTCAGAGTCTGTGACTCCCTCTCTCTCTGACCCTCCCCTGCTCATGCTGTCTTTCTCTCTTTCTCCTAGAAATAAATAAGAAATATTAAAAAAAAGAAAAAAGAAAAAAAAAGAAACGTGATGGTGGATTGGAAGGCAGGCGGCCCCTGCGGGCTGCTGTGGCCATCCAGATGGGACGCGGTGAGGTCCCGGCCTGTGGGCAGTGGTGGGGGGCGGGGAGGGTGTGCAGCTGAAGGACAGAAGCGATGGGACCGGATGAGTAACCAGACTCCAGGGCGGTACTAGCCTGTGGAGGGTACGTACCGAGCGTGCAACAGAGGCCTGGTCCCTGCCCTCCTGGAGCCTACTCTGATGGGTCTTTAAGGGCATACATCAGAGTTTTATGGAGGAGAGGAGGGGTCTGATATGGCGGAGGAAAAGAAATTTGACAGAAGTTGGCAAGGGTGCACCAGGCAGAGGGACCAGACTGTGCAAAGGACCCAGCGCCAGTGTGTGTTCGGGAACAGACAAGCAGTCAGCGCAGGGGGGCCCCTGAGTCTGTGTCTGGGGACCCGGGAGGTGACGCCAGGCAGGAGGCGGGAGGAGGTGTGGAGAGAGACGTATTTGCATTTGCCAGTGCATTAGAGCTGTGCCCCCTGAAAGTGGGGAAAACCGTGGGCAGCGCGTGCCGCGAGATGCCACGTGTTGCCCAGGTGAGAAGAGGTAAAAGCCAGAGCCAGGGGTGTGGACAAAGGGGAGAAACACCTACAGAAGTCAAAGCCCCAGGGCTTGAATAGAGAGGATGAGGGAAAGGAAAAGTGAATGACGGCTTAGCAGTGTCCTCGACAGGAAACACGGAAGGCGAGCAGAGACCTCAGTTTGAGAACAGAGACGACTTTGGGACGAGACTCCGAGTAAGATGCGCTGTGGCCTCCTGCTCAGAGCTTCTCGTATTTTGAGCTCCATGGGCCATCCTGGGTGAGATTTACGCACCTGGAGGAACAGAAAAGAAAAAGAAAAACAGCTATAAGTCAAACGACCAGGGCTCTCTAGAGGCTGATCCCAATAGATTAGATTCAGGGTCTGATATGCAAGCCAGGGGGTGTTTTCCATAGAATAACTATCTATCCTCACACTTAACCTGACTCTCACTTGCAAACCAGCCAGACTTGGTGCGCAAGCCTTGGGGAGGTGACCTGGACCTGAGAACGGACCAAAACCGTGCGCCACGCCCCGCCCGCCCACCC